GTACTTCCAGCTACAGGGTGTTCAAAAAATTGAACCGCCAATAAATCATTTAATTTTACACTACTTTCGCACTTCATATTTGGCACATAAGATGTTGATTTCGTGTTCGATAATATCTAAAGTTTCATTTTGATCAGGCATGGAGTTTTGACATTATTCCAGTTTTTATGATATGCTCCAGGTGGCAACCTTGCCTCTGTAGACACATTAATCGGTTACGTTTTCTTAAAGTTATGGCAAGCCTTTTGGTTAAGTTTTTTAACACCCTATATGAAATTGATTACTTCAATGTTCTTTCTGTTATGAAATGAACTATTTTTAATACAAATTTAATTTCAGGTATGGAATACAATATTTCATTGCACTTTCAGGTAGGGAATGCTATATTTCAATGCACTTTCAGGTATGGAATGCAGTATTTCATTGCACTTTCAGGTATATTTCAATGCACTGCCAGGTATAAAATGAACAATTTTATTACAGGTATGGAATGCAATATTTCCAGATGAGCAAATGGACGGAAAAACTGGAATCAGTGTCATTGTCACATTGCTCCATCCAGCAACGAATGGTACAATTAGACTTCAGAGCACGGACCCATTTGATCATCCATTGATTGAGCCCAATTACCTTGAAAATGCAGTTGATGTGAAACATTTGATGGCAGGTTAATATGTTTAATCATATGAAAAATTATATAAAGTTATAAAAAATACAATTAGTCAATTGTTAAAGAGAGCATCAGATCTAGCGAGCAGGCAAACAAAAAATTGTTTCTGGCTCATGTCTTCCTTGTCATGTCTATTTTCTTAAAATTCCAAAAGTGCACACTTTATTTCAGGAAAACTAAAGATTTTTACAATAAAGTGTCATTTGTCTATAAGAATGGTTACACCCCAGTCACATTTGTCGCACGGCGGCCGCAAGTCGACCGCAGATCAATTAAATCGGTGAATTTCTGCGGCGAGCGTAGAAAAACTACGCTCGCCTTGCGGCCTCCGTACGGCGTATGCAGATTTTTACAGGGCGCAGGGAAGGCGTAGAAATTATAACTCGGAGTTATAATTTTTGTTCATTTCTGAGGTCGCCGTAGAAATCAAATGGCTCAACAAGATTGAATCATTATTTGTCAATGTTTCACTATCACTTTTCATTTGATATTACATCCTACCACTATGAATGACATTTATAAGTTGTCCCGATGTAAATAAAATGAAAAAAGTATTATTTATCAACAGACATTTAAAATTCACCATGCGGCTGCCGTGGGAAATGTGACTGCAAAAGTATGAGAGCGCAGAAATTCCACGGCGAGCGTAGAAATGTTACTGGCCGCAGAATTGATAGACCGCAAGGTCGCCGTAGGAAATGTGACTGGGGTGTTTCTTATTATTTGGGAGAATTTAAACATTTTCACCCATTTTTGAACTTTGAATCCATAATAACTTCACCAATTTATAACGTATCATGAAAATTTTGGTAGATATTGTATTTGAGATTGTAAAGAATAGATTAATAGGTCAATTGTACATTTTGCTTGTAATTGTTTCATCCCTCTAGATCTGATTCTGCCTTTAAAGATTAATACAATACAAAAAAAATTAATTTCAAAACTTAAAAAAGCAGCGTAAACATTCATCGCTAGCCCTACTGATCTGATATCTAAGTAATGTTTTTTCTGAAATTATATATGATTATTTGTTTTATATACTAGGTTTAAAGGTTTGGACAGAAAAACTTGCAAAAACAAATGCATTCACACAGGCAGGATTTGAACTCAATAGAAATCATCACCCTTTATGTAAGGCTCACCGATTTGGTACAGATACTTATTGGGATTGTTTCATCAGAGCAAACTTGTGGACTTTATACCATCCGACATCAACATGCAGAATGGGACCAGCAACTGATAAGAACTCAGTTGTAGATCCACAGTTAAGGTACATGTACCTTTAACCTTGATTTATGATTTTGATATGGTCTCTGTTACTATTCTACTTATGGTTATATGGTACTGATTAGAAAATGTTGTGAAGAATTTGGAGAGACATCGTGTGCTTCTTCAATTGATCCCGAAATCTCACGCACGAGGAAAATCAATACCTAAAGAAAAGGATAAACCATAGGCATCCAATAGACTAGATGCAAGTAGAAAGAATCTTGAGTAACGTCATTAAATATTCAAAAGTCAGTCAAAAAGATGTCATATTTGAAATCTATATGTAGATGTACATCTAAATATATGATTTGAAAATTGTTTATCAACTTTGAATTTTTTTTTTTGAAAAGGTGACTTCTAGTTCGGATTGATTCCCCATAGACCCCATGTTACAAAATCACAAAAAGTGAAATCTCTTTTTGTTGTATTGGACAGATAACATTTTCTTTTACTGGACATATTTTAATTTGCATATCTATTAGATACATAAGGGTAATATGAAAATTGACTGAAAAGTCACTAAAACAGATGTAATTTAAGTTATAAAGTACTTTCTACTATACCCGCCATGCTATCTGAACCGAACATGCCACCTGGTGACGAAACTGGTAACTACCTACTCATATCTATGTCATTGTTTGATACATGAAATCCAATCATCTTTGTCTGAAGTGTGCCTCGTTTTAGATTATCCATGGCAAGATGAACGACAAACGTTACGTTACAATTTTGATGTCATCCATAGACTTCGGTTTTCATACTTTGGAAATATAGTTGATTGCTCAGATATTTTTTAGAGAAATGTTTTTTATTTGCATAGTGCTTGTGTTGTGTATTAACATTTCCCTAAAAATATCTGAGCAATCAGCTTTATTTTGAAAGTATGAAAACCAAAGCCTATATATAGACATCAAAACTGTCACGTATTGGTCATATATTTTTGGGATCTGCTTTTGAGCGGTCACAGTGTAATTTAAATATTTAATTACTATAATCACCCCGGAATAGCCTGACAAAGGCAGTCAGATACCGTTGTCACAAATGGGGGACATAACCTTCGCTTCAATTAGATTTTCATAGATTTAATAGAGCACCTAGACTAAATTCCTTTGGAACAACAATCAATCAAAGTGTCTATATACTCATTGTACAGTTAATAATGTTCTACCATCAAACGGTCAAATTGAGATACGGGACAACGGATACTGTAATTACCATATGCCGTTGTCTTTCTAAATCACTCAAATTTAGATTCCGTTGGCATTAACGATATCGAAGGCGCTCTATTGTGGCGATTCACGACCCAATTTGATCGAAAATTGGGATTTCATATGACACATTTTCACAAGAGCAAATGAGGACCAAGTGATTGAACAGTTGAAGCGACGGTTATGTCCGCCATTTGATTTGTGACAACGGTACCTGATCCTTTAACGTAGTCAGGCTATTCCGGTGTGATATTGCCTTTGCTCGGGATCTTACATGTAGTATTGTCATATTTTGCAGAGTGAAAGGGATTGAGAATCTGAGAGTGGCAGATGCATCCATCATGCCTCATGTCATATCAGGCAACACCAATGCGCCATCTATTATGATAGGAGAGAAGGCTGCAGATTTGATTAGACAATCGTAAAGATTCTTTTTCGCAAAGTGATAATTTATCGAAGCATTATTGACTCTAAACTCTGTGCTTAGAGCAGAAATCCTTTATGATAGGAGAAAAAACTGCAGATTTGATCAGACTCTATACATATGGGTTATGTACTGGGAGGTTTTGGATATGGGGTTTATCCAGAGGGAGATATGCATATCTACCTGAGGGACCGTAGGGACCGAAGGTAGATGTGCATATCTCACGAGGGATGAACCCAATATCCAAACCGACCGTACATAACTGCTTTATCCTATACCAAGTAGAGTTTCATGTGCATATGGCCATTTCAATAGTACAAGGTGTAAAACAATCAAATCATTCTTATGCAAAGTCATTTTATTGCATTTCCACTACTTACCGGAAGCGGGAAGATATGCACCGAAGCGGGAGATATGGCGGGAGATATGGAGGTTCTGGATATGGAAACCTCAAAATCAGGATACGGGATATATCTTACCAACTTATCTCCCTAAAACTCTACTTGGCATAGGATAATACACTATATTTTAGAAACCATTCACATTCAGATATGATCCATAAATATCATGCAAGTATTTAACTTAAGCACAAATGCAACATAATTATATCTTTATAGGATAAAGGGAGAATCCGATCTAGCGAGCAGGCTAAACAAAAGAATTCTATTTTAGAATATTTTTGGCTCATATCATTTTTTATTATGTCTATTTTCTAAAAATCCTCAAAGTGCATACTAGATATAGTACTTGGTCAATTGTGCACGTTGCTTGCAATTTTGCCCCCTAATAAAGATCTGGTTCTGCCTTTAAGGCTGCGATTATCAAACGGAGTGTATTAATTTGTAAAACTATGCTGTATTAGCAAAGCTGGTAATTATGTAACATTGTGAATAATTTGATATTCACACATAGCTATGGAAGCTGTGTCCGCGGATTCCAGCCAACCCGAAGAAGCTATTTCACATAACTGCATTCCATTATATAACCAATAACCCACTCAAGGTCACTAGTTAAACGGTTGTCAGGGTGATAACTGGATTCCTCAGATTGAAATTGATAACTTTCCAACTTGACCTTTGCTCCGCATGTCATGCAAATTTTGGAAAGCACATTCGAGAAATGGTCATTCCACATTGCACTGATTCCAGGGCTAAATCCTTAAAAAAATGATGTTTACTTATTAAGCATCGCTGCCTTTAAATGGCATATGCTGCAATTTCTTTCTGTTTAATATGTGCTGTTAGATTGACAATATATGACCTTTTGCATGTTCGAGGACAAACATTTTTATTTAAATTTTGGGGGTAATGTTACAAGTTTTAGATTTTAACATACATAGTAACGATTTTGTTTTACTCTGCATGATAATTTAAGAAGATTTGGGTTTTGAGATATATTTCATTTTCCGTGCATCGTAATACAACACTCGTTTTTGTATATACATCGATTCATTTCTTTATTCCTCTATAGTTTCTATGTACTTATATTGGCTCACATCTTTGATAGGTATGTGAAACATCCTTTAATTACATCTCATGATCAAGACAGCTTTAACATGGAACAACGTTGGATATTATTAACTGAGTGTACCTTATTTATTTTAACATGGAAAATAAACATTAAAGAACTTATAATCTTTATGTATTATTTTAAATCAGAGCCTCAAAAACTAATAGTAGTACTATAGTAATACATATTGAACATTGTGTACATTTACGTTACAAAGACCCTTTGCTGAAGATACTGATGTTGTTAAGGTCATATCATTACGGTCTGAAATAACTGTTGCTACTCGCACCAGTGGGTAGAGTATTCATTATAATTCTTCAGCCAACATTTGCCAAGTTTTGTAGTATATATTTAATAGTTCACTGTGACCGGTGTTTACGGCGATTACTTCACCAGCAAGCAATAACGCACAAAAACTTGCCTCGGGATAATCCCAATATCCTGAACCTCATATAGGATAATCTCTATATATCCTTTGATTTGCTAACATGACCTCAGGCGTTACTCTCATTGTTATCAAGTGTGTTACTCTCTGATTTTGGGCACGCGATACCATCATTTTTGCAGGCGTTATTCCCCGCTTCATTGTCACAAATGTTGCGTTCAGAATTGTCACTGGCGTTACTTTCAGAACTTTGGGAGGCATTATCCTCAGTGGTTTGTAATGCGTTACTCTCAAGATCAGATTTTTGAGGGGCATTACTTTCAGATATCTGTGAGCTGTTATTGTCAATTGTTTGGGAGGCGTTACTCTCAGAGGTTTCAGGGGCATTAATCTCCGAGTTCTCGGAGTCTTTACTTATTGAGTTTTGGGAGTCTATATTCTTGGAGTTCTTGCGGATTTTGTTCTCAGATTTATCGCAGGAATAACTCTCATTTTGATGACTTCCCAGAAATTTCGTAAGAAATTCGGCGGTTTGAGAATGACCCATCAAAACTGAAACATCCAAAGGGGTTCTTCCAAAGTTATCCATAAACTCTGGATGGGCTCCCTTTTTAAGCAAAACCATCGCGACATCTGTGTATCCATAGCTACAGGCTTTGTGGAGGGGAGTCTGTCCCCATCTGTCCTTGGTATCAATGACGCTTTGTTCTTTAATAAGGTATGACACCATGTTTAATAAACCTCTTACAGCCGCTGCATGAAGTGCAGTACGATTTCTACTGTCCTTCATATTCACATCAACCCCGTGTTTAAGAAATGTTCTTACGATATTACAGTGTCCGTAGTATGCAGCAGCGTGGAACACGGTACCTTCGCCAAAGTTCTGAATATAAACAGTCGTTTGGATGATTTCCTTTGCGAGCTCCTTGTTGGATTCTAGAACCCTCGATACTTGAGAATCATTTTCGTCCTCAATTGCATTGAAGAGGGAATTAGAAAGGTTGATGTAAGCGTCACACGTCCCATATGGACTTCTTTTACGTCGCATCATACTGTTGTCGTCACCGTTGAATCTTTATTCTGAAATTACACCTTTGCAGTAACTACGAAGTCAAATGCGAATTGTGATTTCATGATCATATTATCATTGCAATTAGTTAATCCATTAACATTGTAAATCTTGGAAACATTAACACCGGGAGCCTCCCCGACACCTCTCAAAAATTCCCATGTAAATTGTTGTCTTACAATGACCTTATCGAAGGAATAAGCCTATAGCTTAATGATCCATCAATAAAAATAGATATCACCTCATCCCCTTGCCATCATACTGACAAACGTCAATACCCCCCCCCCCCCCCCTGTTTATATCCTAAATACTTATTTTCTATAATGAATCTATGAGGATTTTGAGGTTACACGATTACAGAATATTATATATACAGGGTGTCCAATAAATAAGGTGAAAGATATTGTAACTTTCTTAATATTGCACCAATCTTAATGAAATTTTCAGAGTTTATAGCCCAAACTTTTTTACCTTCATTCTGTGAATTTGAAGCGTCTTCTATTTGATTGGCTAGAGTTGTGGTTGCTATAGCAACCGAAACAACAAAAAGGCGGGGTAAGTTGCGGGGCAAGTTGCTTCTAAATTGATTTCCCCTCAAGTCATGCTTGAGTTCTGCATATAAGTAAAAGTCATTGGGTGCAAGGTCTGGGGAATATGGGGGGTGTGCAAGTAGGGGTAGCCCCAGTCCCCTAATAGTTTCACTAGTGAGCATAGCTGTGTGTGAACTCAGATCACATGTCTTCGAAAGACTTCAGGAAATGGGCAAGAATTGGTTCGAAAGTGTGTTTAGAGAGTGGGTGAAGAGGCATAAGAAGTGTATAGCTAGAGATGGACATTATGTTGAATATAGCTTATTTTCATAACAATGGGACTTTAGGACTGTTTTTATATTGTATGTGTGGTAGTACTAGTAATAGACCTGGGAGTATGAATAAAGCTATCAGAAAGAATAAATATGTTTTAGAAAGTTGTGACGTAAACAAACTTGCCCCGCCTTTTTGTTGTTTCGGTTGCTATAGCAACCACAACTCTGGCCAATCAAATAGAAGACGCTTCAAATTCATAGAATAAAGGTAAAAAGGTTTGGGCTACAAACTCTGAAAATTTCATCAAGATTGGTGCAATATTAAGAAAGTTACAATATCTTTCACCTTATTTATTGGACACCCTGTATAGTAATGTTTAAACCTTGATGCTAGTATCCAACCCCAGTAGACAGCGCGCAGCTATTTTGTATGATGGCTGTAAGCATGTCACGCCCACTTTTTGCACTATGTATGAAACGATGTTGTTGACATTCGTTCATGAGCCAGACAACAATTGCATCAATATACCTGGCATTTCGAGCTTTATGTTAACTAACAAAAACAGTACAGGGTGTTCCAAAAGTAACAGGACTGGTGCTGGCATTTTGTCAATTTTGCACCAAGTGTCTTCAAATTTTTACAAATTGTACTTTGAAGTATTGCAACTAAAATAGTATAGTTTCAGAAAAAATGATGAAATGCGGGTAGTGTTGTGGTTACTATAGTAACATGACATCACAATACCCGGGGCAACTTTTTCCTGAAAATGTGATATCTAACAACATTTTTGTATTACTGAACAAAGTATCTAATTCACCTATTATAATACAACATTTTTTGTTTACTTTATTCATTGCTTTGTTGTGAAGGTGTTGTTATAAAACTCAGATTCAAGTATAATTTCATAATAATAATAATATTTATTCAATTTCCTGGAATATCACTATGAATTACAGTCTGAACATGGTTGTGTTTTTGAAAAGACCCAATTTGAAGCCAGTCATCCACCTTGATAAAGTGCCTGCCCGCAGGTCACCATTAAAGACCATGCAGCTATAGAGGAGCTAGGTCTTGAGCTCTAAAATCATGCGCCATACTCTTCTGATCATGCAACATCCAATTTTTACTAACATGGAGAATAGAATGCTAATCAGTGCTGTAATATCTTTAAAGATGAGAATGCCCTTCTCCAAGTTGTTCAATGGACCATGCGTGACATGTCCTTAAATGGGTTCACTCATGTGTTTGAGTCATGGATACAGAGTGCTACTCCTCTACTGACCAAATAGGATCCTATTTTCAAAGTAGAGGATACATAGGAATATCAAATTATGTAAAACAAATGTAATTCCCACAAGTTGTTGCATTTCAACTTTGATATGGGATGTACAAAATGCTTAATGTCCATTTCTGTCTTAATGTAACTTTCTGCGTGGAATGTTGCCCCGGGTATTGTGATGTCATGTTACCATAGCAACCATAACTCTCCCCTAGTTTCATATAATTTGTCAAAACTTTGCAGTTTAAGTAATGATACATGAAAGTACATTATGTGAAATTTTGAAGACAATTAATGCATATTTACCAAAATGCCAGCACCAGTCCTGTTACTTTTGGAACACCCTGTACATAGCGTTTCAGTCTGTATGTAGGGATAATAATGGATGACATACCTTATATATTCTGTAATATCCTAGTTGAACTGCGTTGCAAGTGCGTTGTTAGAATAGCTTGTTTTATTTTCCAGCAATATCTACAATTGCTATGTACTGTTCGATATTGCATTGCCGAGTTACTAGCAGTATTCTATATATAGATCTGCATATCATGTTCTCTTATCAAGCTCTACTAGCTCCAGAATGCTGTTGCAGTCCATTCTGAACTCTGAAAACAGCAGTATCATATTGTTGCATGCAGATAAATATTGTCTCGTCTCTTAGTTTTATACTCCTCACAATCAATCAATAACCATCACAATAGAGTCCGTTTTGCTGCAATGTTAACAGATATTAACATAACATGAGAATATGCCATCACTTTGAATTGGTGTAACAATTGTTACAGATGCCGAATGCCTGTCAAATGTCGAACCCGAAAACACTCTGACTTTTAAAGCCCATGTGGGTAGTGACATAAAAATGATAAAACCATTAAAAATCGATCGTTTAATTAATAGAAAGATGGCAGTATGATCTGTCTACACAGTACTGCATATCAAAATAAAATCATTTTTCAAAACTGTAGTGACTGACGATTTTTATTGCACCTACAACGTTCCAAATTTTTATCACAGTTTCGCATTTTCCACTGCATCTTAAGATTTAGCATTTGATTAGTCCGGACATCCACGCTCTCAACTCCCGATCAGATCCCGGAATTAGGCCTTGACTTGTAGAAAATGATATCATTCAATACTAGTATCTGCATTGGCGTAACGATGAAAATAAGCATTGAGATGAACATCGATTATTATTTGGAATATGGCACTTCAGTCAAAATGTTCTGCTTGACAACATGTGTCTTTGTCCGTGACAATTCAACATGACTCGTGAACTTGCGACACCTGTTTCCATTGTAAGTACATGTAGGTGCGATGTCTGTTTCCAAGAGTTGAGGGTTGATCATAAGGTGGATTTGGATGCAATCGTGTCATTGTCGCATATGTTACACACCATAGGATTCAATGGCGGAAACGGAGGGGGGGGGCAGTAAATTGTGCCCCTCTCCTTGATTACCGGGAGCGCCTCTTGGGTCGAGTCTTTTACAAATGTTTGAGAATATGTTTGAAATTCACAAATTTTATATAATATAACTGAAGACCCTATTTGGGAATCAAAACTGCAGTTTTTATTACATTCAGTATTTTTTCTTGAGAACAAAATTACGGGGGTCGAGTTATTATGGTGTTGAGCTTTTTCAAACAGTTTTTGAGCAATGTTAGCTGATACCTATTGAGTAATAATTCGATGTACAAGTCAGTGCAGCTTCACGGCAAAAACTAGAGAGTCGTCGGAATAAAATTTCAGCCTTTAACCTTTCATAATCTTATCGAAAGCGTGTATATAAGTATGGTAAAATCATTCCATACGATTTTTTACTTAAAGGAATATTCCTTGCCAGACCATCTCTCTCCTAATATGGTAGCTACAACCATATATATAATTACCATGTTTAGCAGAACACGGACAAATGTTTTAATATGGTCAACATTGGTCACTTAAAAATGTAATGCTCAATTCCAGTAGGCTGCCATCTTCTTAAGATTTCACTCAGGAAGTGATGTCATCGACTCTCAACTTTGTATATTATATTAGGCAAGGAGTTACAAAGCATTACAAAACCAGCTGAATATTATTTTTCAAATTTGTCTACTATTTAATCCTTTTAAGAGTCTCTTATTTTATTCTAAATTGACAAGCTCTGAAGACATTTTTGTACATAAAGTAAGGACCACTTGTCTAGAAGCGATTTTGTGCCACTTCCCTATACTGTTATATGCAAGGTCATGAAAGTTGAGAGTGAGTTGATGACATCACTTCCTGAGTGAAATCTTAAAAGATGGCAGCTTACTGGAAATGAGCACTACATTTTGTAAATGATCAATATTGACAATATTAAAACATTTTCCCATGTTTTGCTAGATATGGAAAGCATAAATATGATTAAGGCTACCATTTCAGGATAGAAATGGTCTGGCCAGGAATGTCCCTTTAAGAATGTGTAATATCTTCCAATTTTAGCTCAATTAAATGAACCGTCAAAGGCGATTATATGATACAACATTTTATTTTATGTTTAACTCATATTTAAGAAAACGTGATACGTATTTGTATTTGTGAACAATTAAAACACGCATAATAAATTAGGCTCTATATATATAATCATAAATACAAAATATATTCCACAAGCTCGCTTTTGAAAAGCTTTTTGTTGATTACATGACAGTTGATACGAATTAAAGTTATGGAATAATACCCCCGTGAAGTGAGATGCATCAGGAAATATATGTACGGGATCTATTTTGTCGGAATGGGCATTCATGTCACTTCACGGAAATATAGGCGGCATACCGGAGCAGCACCATCAAGAGTATGTGTTTGATTATAAATCCATCGTGTCTAGATGTTATACATTGTGTCTAAATGTTATAGTTACACATAGTGCCTGAATTACATACTGCATTGTAGTTACACTTGGTGTCTACATGTAATAGTTACACTAAGTGTCTGAATGTGATAATGAAATGCGACTTAGTTTTATATATACTGGTAGATGATACATGATTGTTATAGAGTGGTTCCGCGACCCCGGGTCCGTGACTATGTGGTCGTCGATGTTATAATGTTTATGCAATACTGGTACTCTTTTCATTGGCATCGTGAGTGATCTTGTTGATCTTATTTTCTTCAGTAGCGTTGTCGTATGGTGTCGCAAACGTGTGCACCTTGGGTAGAGTTGGAAGATCGGAATAGAGGTTTAAATTCAGATGATCCCTCACCATCGTCTGAAACAGATAAGATTCAAAAGATTTACACGTGCTAGTTCAATCATATTCTGTCATTTACCATATAATCTGACCTTGACCTGATCAGAGGAATCCAGATTCAGCATCACACCGCACACTCCTTAAAAAGGCAACTCCTTCCCCATTGGACAACTCACCAAAGCCTCGGTTTATGCTGTTTGCGCATATTTGACGAGATAGAACATAAAAATATCTTTAAAAGCTTTATTAATTACGGTTAGTATTTAGTTATATTCTCACCTCTAAGATCTTTTCCTTTTTGGTTTTGGTTTGGTGAAGTCTCCGGAAGAGGATCTGAAAATATAAATGTTACAATTACAAGGATAGTGTCTCAATGTCACAGAGAATTAATTATACTAAAGTCAAACTGATAACAGACGTGAGGCATATATTAGTCATGTATTCTTCTCAATGGTGATCAAAATTGATCGGAAATATCAGGAACCCCTCTCCAGCCTTAGAAATCATGCAAAGCATCGTTCATATCATAAGGAAAAGTAAGTTTGCTTCCACACGAGGTACTTGTTCCTTGTCTTGAATGTTATTGTATCCATGTAACTAACCGTGTTTCTTAAGAAGTATGATGGGATATGTCGGGCTCGTTCCAGACATTATGTAAACAATCTTCTCACAGAATCTCTTCCACATTGCATTCCAAAGGAGGTTGATTTATGCAATGTAATTCTTAGCAGTTTGTGTGTAATCTATTTTGGGAGACCTTCTACAGAAGTGGGAAAGTACCTCTTGTGGAATTCGGCTGTAAATGGTGAGGCAAAACGTCTTGAGAAACAGAATCTATAACCTTAGAGGCAAAGCGCAGTTTGAAAGTCAATATCAGTTTAGTAGACTAAATGTCTGGGTATAAAATGTGTACAAATGAGACAGGGGCCACAAAAAGGACTGTGGCTTTTAAGAAAGGTAAGAACAGGTTAGAGAGGACAAGATAGAAAAGTAAGATGGGTTTGAAAAGTGGAGGAATGTTTAAGATCTGAAGAAATGGAATTATGTAGAACTTTGTACAATTGAAAATTAGAAAATAAAGTGAAGATAAAAACTATATAAAGTCTCGGCCTTCATGTTTAGGAACTTTAGATCCGTTTATCAATAAGGGACACCAATGACATTGATCATAAAAGACTTTAAGTAATAATGGACATGCGTCAAGAAGAACATTGGTGGTCATTTAAATTAACGGACACTGGGCTATAAAAATTTAGCTTTATTTGTGTTATATGGCCATCAAATACAATTGTAAAATATTTAGTATGAGTATTAAATAATAATCTTAACCATTGTCTTCTTACTATCACGATGGTTGAAACAACTGATTTACAAAAGGGACTCGTTCGGATATAACTTTATGAGGTTTCTGTTCATGAACCTCATGGAAAAGTTCATTGAGACAAAAATAATATCATTTTCATGGTCGTAGCCAGATTTCAGTCAGGGGGTGCGATCGCCAGTTTTTTCGATATTTCGTCAGGAGGGTGCGATCGTGGCATACACGAGATTTGTTTTGATTTTGGATCTCTTACCATCATGACGAATACAGAAATTGTGATCATGAGGACGCCGACTATTGCCATGACGATTGTCATTGTGACATATTCCATCTCAGTTGCCTTCACGCTAATGATTTCCTTGGGGATGCCTTCTGAATTGTCTGAAAACATACACTATATATCACGCCTAATCATCGACAACGTACAGTGACAAAATTTAGGGGTATACACTTAAATGTACGTTGTCAAATATTGAAGTAAACTCAACGATTTGAAGCATAAACTATGATGTAGCTTTTAAAAGATTTATCTGAGAAATGCATTTCAAGTTTAATTTTAAAGGCATTATGTGACATAATAAAAAATTGATAGACAATACTTTTAACATCAAAACAATGTTTGGCAAAATGGATACATGCTATTGGCAAAGAAACACTTTTTGCTGTCTTTTTGATATTGGGTCTCGTACAGATATAAAATTACCAAATAGTATCAAAACATCGGAAAACAATTAGGAAGCTAAGATGAGAGATCACGGCGTTCTATCAGATCCTTTCTGGAAGGATATTACATTTTTGGCCGAATGAGTATGAATATATTAGGAAGGTAGTTGTATGTCTAATTAGGTCCGAGGAAAACAATTAAAACATGAACAGTCTTGGAAGTTATAGATGATTACACTTGTACGTATAAATTCTCTCAAAACGTGAACTCCCAAATACGCATGATTATTCGCAAATTAAAGCAAACACTGCTCTTTTAACTTGTTCACCGCATGTGTATACAAGCAAGCCAAAGTTCAGATTTTACGATTTACTTTTTCTAGCATTAACGATTATGATTTATTTCCAACCCTTGGCATCAATTGTTGTACGGTAAGGTCAACACCAATCTCTTCTTGTCTAGAACTACTTTGTCAAGTTATTACATGTACCAGTGGCGGATCAAGAAATTTTGAGTCTGGAAAAAAATGTCCGCGCTAGCGGGTAAAACAATTTTGGGCCCCTAAAACCAAAGATTGAGAAATAGTAAGGCCCATTTTTTGATAAAATAGCCTAATAAAGGCCTAAAACCAAAGAGCCCCCCCCCCCATGGATCCGCAACTGCTTTACTTCATTCCGCCCTCGGTTTGAGTTAATATTTGGATGCCAACTATAAATGCGCTCCCATTATTTGTAAAAAAATCTCGAATTGTAAACTCAGGTCAGATTGTAAATGTAACCCCGATACTTCGTAACATATGTAACGTCGAGGATGATCGGCATCCATTATTCAAACTCGTTCTTCCGTTGACTACCGTGTATCCATCCCGGGGTATCAAATTGGTATCAATCACCCATAGTTGAAAACAAGTACTACTACTGGGGTTTGAATATTATATACCCACAATCCTCATCTTCAAATGAAATGTGTGGTCAAAAGATGAACTTTATAGAGATATTATTCTAAATTGTTCCATTGCAGGCAACGGAAAGTCGAGTTTAAATTATGGCTGACAATTCTCCTTGTCTTAAAGACATAAAAATATCAATTCAAGAAAATGTGTACTGGTTCAAAGATGAAGAAAACAAAAACATACTGTACAGCTATACAACCAACCTGAGCAGAAGTTATCATATGATATATAAAAACTTGAAGAATGTTCTAGTTATTTACTAAGAGTGCCTGGTTTTCAAAAGGTTTACTGTACCGATTTACCAGACCTACTAGAGTATACTTGACGGAACGGTTCAGACACAGCTAACCTCATATTGAGTAAATCATTTACATATAACACTTAAAATACAATTCAAAGTAACGCTGGCCGATGTACAGTAACCTATCCAGGCAGTAGACGTTGCACAGCTTTACAATGTTTCAGAGTTTGTCATGTATCATCGTTCTTGTAGCAGTTTACCTCTATTTTATAAAGGAAAACGTTGTTGACATTAATTCAAAAATACAAGATGTACTAGATGAGGAGTATGACTATATTGTGGGTAAGTAAAACGCCCGGTAAAACGCACTGGCGGATCCAGGGGTGGAAACGGGGCCCCAAAGGTTTTGTAGGGCCTCAATAAATGTTTTTTTTTTACCAAAATGGGCCTTATATTTTAAAAACTAAGGCCCAAATTCTGGTTTTAAGGGCCCAAATTTTTAACATGCGGAAATTTTTCTACTTGACTTGAAATCCCCCCCCCCCCCTTGGTAGCTTCTGAATCCGCCGGTGCTACGATTGACGGAAGTAATTTCGATTATCGTATTTAGTAAAGATTGGGTAAAATGGTGCGTTTCCTAGTTGCAATGTCGCAATGAGACATGCTTTCATAAATCCCCGTAGATGGTGCGCCAGCTGCCTTCTAATATGGAGAGGCTCATTTTTAAATGTTTTAACTTTACTAACCCTACTATCACACCAAACTAGTTCTCACTACGTTCTCGAAAACGGGCTTCAACTGTGTACGAACAGATTGGACCTACTAAGAACCGTTTGGGATCTATTTACAAACGTCATCGAACGTACTCGAACGGGTAGGTCCTCTAGAACTTAGACAATGCTCAAAATATTCTCGTGGTCGTCATGTTCTACAATTAGAACGAGTGACAACGTACTAACGACGAGCTGGACGTACTACGAACGGAACCGTCGTACTTCAATCCTACTAGGGACGTTTTAACAACGAGTTGACTGTCTGATGACGTGTTGAGAACGAGGTAGAACTAATTGCAAACGGGTTTAAACTGATTAAGAACGTATTTAACACTACTTATGAACGAGTTAGCAAAAATATAGCTATCACACTAAACAAGTTGCCACTGCGTTGTTCAAAACTGGTTTTAAACTGTGTGCGAACGGAATGGACGTAGCTGCAACTTTCTAAGGTCTATTTACGAACTTTATGAACGTTCTCAGACGGGAATGTGATTTTGAATCGATTCAAAATTCGATGGCGACCATACCGTTCTGTAATCAGGTCATATTGACCTTCTAGACTAATGGACGCGTTCTACGACGTTGCACACCGATGTGGTGCGACCTGAACGAACTTCGAACGAGATGGACGTATTGAAGACTGTTTAAGAACGAAGAAGCTAATTATTTCAGACATATTTCCCGACCACAGCCAGATTGAGCCCGTTTTACGACGTTTTCGTAGGACTGGCAAGAATGGGTAAGAACTAGTTTGGTGTGATAGGGGGGTTACTGTTTATAACAAAAATACGAATGATAGATTGCAGAATGAATTTTAATGGAACAAGAGCAACTTGTCACTATATCATTGATTCCAAAATTCACAGACAGAAAGATATAAAAGCAGACTAACCCATTAGTCAGGAGAGTTAAATTGATTGAAACCCATTTCGGGTTTTATGCAGAACAAAATGATTTTCCCTGTATTATTACAGTTGGAGCAGGATCAGCAGGTGCTGTCGTAGCAAGTAGACTGTCAGAAGACCCAAACACCAAAGTGTTGCTCCTAGAAGCTGGAGAAGCATCAAACTCCCTCACAAAGGCGCCATTGGGCACCAAGCTTGTTCAACGGACCAGCATGGACTGGGAATACAAAACAGTTCCACAGAAACACTGTTGCAAAGGCTTGGAAAACTCGGTAAATGTTATGAAATTCATATTTTTAAAATCTACCCGTTTTTAATGAATTCTTTATGATATAATTAAACTAGAAATAATCTTGTCTGCCTTTCAATATAGGATAGCACAATCAAGACCCCTCTGGACTTTTTTGCATATTGAGTTTCACCACATACATTTATATACCCATTTATTTATTTTACTCTTTCAGTGTTAATTTTGCGATTGTGCTGGCCGATCTAATTATTTTCGAAGAAATTAATTCAATCTGAAGTTTGAATATACCGGGAAAGGCCTCCTGTTATCTGATTGGTCGTTGAATTTGTTTATCATAAACCTGATTGGCTGCCTGGTTCAAGGCGCTTGTGGGCGCTTGTTTGACTCAATGGGGATTCCCCTCGCTAGCCGAGGAATCGGTTGTGTTAGTAATTCTGGAGTTTCAGAGTTTGGTTGTTCTGTTGATTATTTCCGATATTTCGGCAATAATACAGGTATACCCAAAAGTTATTCTCAAGATATATCCATGGTATGTGAGATATTATATGAGCAGTGACAATAGGACATCATTGATTGTCTAGGTGAGAAACCTATGACATAATGCATCTTTAAATATTCAAAATAGAGAGCGTGATCCTATTTTATAGATCTGCATACTTTAGATGAATTTATCCTTAAAGTCTATTAATCATTCATACTTCATTAATCACTCATAATAATCATCAAGTTTAGGGGAAAGTTTTGCATGTCTTTATGTCTCTATGCCACATGGTGGTGAAACTGATTACCCACTGCCAGGTGGCATCGAGGTAAATGTAATCATTTCTAGATTTCAGTAAGTTTTCACAAAAGCAACATTTGAAAAATAACAAAGAGTGGTTTTATTTGCATACTTACTCTTTTGTACACATACAGCTAACCTAAAATTTCAAAAACCCTTATAACTTTAATCATAGATTTCAAGAGATAACCCATATTATTGCTCTTGAAAATGAATTCGAAGCAAAACTACCCCACATGAATGTACTTGTTGATATTTGATCAACTTAAGTTTTTCCTAGAAAGTTGAAGGATTTTGTATGTATCTTCATAGTGAAATACACGATTATATTCCGACGCCAAGTCAATAGTCAACCCCATGTTAACTCAATGTAACCTTGCTCCCTTGCTGAAATCCTCATTTTATCAGAAGAACTCAAGTTGAATAGTCTGACGTAGATTCATATACTATTGGTAGTATATACACATTTACATGTTTTTGAAGCAAAGTAAATGGACACGCGGCAAATTACTGGGAGGTTGCAGTGCACATAACTACATGCAATACACACGTGGAAGTAAATATGACTATGACATGTGGGCAGAGCTGGGAAACACAGGGTGGAGCTATAAAGACGTACTTCCATATTTCAAAAAATCTGAAACGCAACTTGACCCCAAACTAAGCAAATCAAGTAAGAAAAATATATCTAAAAGAGTAAACGAACATTGTCTCATAATTGTAAGTTTTAAAGTAGCCCGGGTAAAGTTGAAACTTATCTTAACTACAGGGTGTCCGTAAAAACGCATACCCAATTTGGAAGTCAGATTACCAGAATCCTGAGCAATACTTCGGACATACAAAGGTAGCAATACAAAGTCTAGTTTGTTCTCAATCAAACGGTACATAGATAATTAAGTAACTGTCATTGATTCCTGTGCAACCATGGCCATTATGAAATATGGTAAAATCACAGTCAGCAGTACTGTGTCAATGAAAATCAGCACAATGCTGATTTCACCACCTTTCATAATGGTCAGACTTGCTCAGTCATTCATGAGAGGTACATAATGATTTAAGAAATTTCTAGAAATATGTACTTTTTATTTCAAATGGAAACTTGTTAATAGATGAAGCTCTGCAGTGTGTTTATAATTGATTTATAGAATACCATGGTACCTCGGGGCCTCTACAAGTATCGGTTGTCGATGAAGTTGAATGTATAAAGTATGTAAATGATGCAGCGGTTGAAGCAGAGCTCAAGACTACAGAGGATTACAATGGCGAAGATCAACTGGGTAAATCATTTTCAGTTTGAGTAGTTGTATTCAATTGTACGCTGTCCCCAACATTATTTCAAATCGTTCTACATAAAGATGTACGAGGGTTGTCCCATAAGTCTTGAAATTTTTATTCTAATTCAAAAAGATTTTAATGAATTTGGCTGAAAATTGGTATGTTTCAAGATCAAACAATTATCTACAACATGTAATAGTTTCATAACAAAATTATGAACTTGAGTAACTATTATTGTTGCTATGGTAACCGGGGGAGTCGGGGGGTGGGGCAGTAATGAAATACAGTAAAAATGTAAAATGGAGCCATGGAGTATTATGGATTTTAAAGGATGGTATGCATCTTAAATTGTGAATCACCTGTCAAGATTTACAAAAACACAGTATTCTTGGTAAAATCCTATGAAATAGCTCTGTGATGTCATAATAAACTAGCACAATTGCTCAATTTTGGTACAGAGCCTCAGCATTTTGAAAATCAAAATGGCAGGGATAATGTCACCAGATGTTAAATCTTTGCATACAGTTGTGCAATACCACGCCTCCTTAGGGCATACACCTTCACAAACAAGAACAGCTATGGAAAAAGTATGAAGACAGTGAACTTCGAGTGCCCCTACAATATGGAGGTGGCAGAATAAGTTAAAAACTGGAGATACCAGCCTGGAGGATGCTCCTAGAAGTGGAAGGCCAAAATCCAGTGACGATCTCATATCACATATTGCAGAGAGTATAAGGGCTGAAAGGAGAACTACTCAGTGTAGGAATATCGCCATAGACTTTGATATTAGTAAAAGTACTGCTCACAGAGTGATGAAGAAAGACCTTGGGATGTCAAAGGTAGCCCCTAGATTCGTTCCACATACTCTGACAGAGGAGCAGAAAGGGCAATGTGTTGAGCTGAGCCAGGGGCTCCCAAATCCTTAATTTTTATGTATTTTTTATCCTGTTTTCTGCCCCGGGTACCCCCAACATTCCATTTTAAATCATCTGTAACATTGCCAAATGATCTTATTATGCTATGAAACTTACAGAGATAGTAGAAATATATCTAAGTTACAAAATGTGAAATTTTTATCATTGTATCTAAATCATTCTATGAATTAGAATAAAAATTTCAAGACTTATGGGACAACCCTCGTATTTCATGATTTTGGAACTGCAATAATGAATGCTAAATAGCCAGCAAAACTAGGCGAGTAGGTGCCGTAATCACTAGGTTGCGAGTTCGAGACGCGTGAGCTCCTTGTGTTTATTCATTTACATCTAATGCTTATTGAAAAAGAGATCGAAAAAGAAATATTATGTGTGTTTTTGGCATACTATATACTGTACATGTACTTATTCCATTCGGTATTTTTTCTTTCCCTAGGCTGGAACTTAGCTCAGGTTACTGTAGATGCCAAGGGAGAGAGGTCCAGTACTGCAACTGCCTTCTTAGAGCCAAATATGGACAGAAAAAATCTACATGTAGCAACACAAGCTCACGTCACAAAAGTCAGTATCTGCACAATCTATTTGTGGAAGCCAGTATTTAAATATAAGGCATATATATCATCAAGCTTTTTTATAATAAGGAGTACCTTGAGTATTTGAGGGACATGGTGTAGTGAATTCAATTTAACTGACAAGCATGTTGACTTTAAACCTCATTACACAATGGAACATACCTGGAACACTTTAATGCAAATCGAAAGTAGGCTCCAAAATGTTTTCCTCAACAAAAGGAGGTTTTTGCGATGAAAATGATATTGTTTTTATATGGAAACTTATAACAGGTTCTCCTAGAAGGCAAGAAAGCAGTGGGTGTGGCTTACGTGAGAGACTTGGTCAAGAAAAATGTGAAAGCAAGAAAGGACGTTATACTATCAGGAGGTGCCATTGGATCAGCTCACATTCTCCTACTCTCTGGAATAGGACCTAAGAAACACCTTGAAGAGATAGGAGTAAGTTTTGAGGAATCGTACAAATTCATCCAGACCTCATTCACGTAAACGCATTCAGTTGTGTTGTGAGAACGACATTAGTAAGTCAACACAATGTGAAGTTTTGGTAATACTCCACAATGTGTATTTGCATAGTAAAAACGAAACTTTATTGATACCCCATAATTTCAAGATGTGTAGTGAGATCAGGACATCGTGATACACTTCATGGTTGGGTGTGGTGAGAACCCAAGGCAATTGCCCACGATAATACCTGAAGTTTTATTTTGATCGGGCATGGAGTTTTGAAATTATTCCAGTTTTTATGACATGCTCCAGGTGGCAACCTTGTCTCGGTAGACACATTAATCGGTAAGTGTTTTCTCAAAGTTATGGCAATCAGTTCGGTCCAGTTTTTTAACACCCTTTATGTAATGGATTACTTCAATGTACGACATTTAGTAATTGCCCCGGGGTAATTGCCCACATTGTGCTCCAAGTCAGGTATAATCCAAGCTTAGCTAGCTAAAACAGGGACAGTTGGTATTTTGGGCTTGTAAAATAATCATGCAAGTGGCTATTCTATTTAGGAAGATATGTTTGATAACGTCTTGACATGTAGGAGGTGTCGTAGTCTACTTTTTCTATGGCTGACTAAGGTAATATGTCATTTCTTTATTAGATACCTGTTGTGGCAGACCTACCAGTTGGAGAAAACATGGAGGACCATCCTACAGCAGACCTTTTGACATATTTCACCAAAGTTGATGCCATTACGGAAAACCAAGCATTCTCTTTTCTTGAAACCTGGAAGTATAAACTCTTTGGAACAGGTTAGTTGTTTCGTAAATGATTTATCAGTTCTTAAATGACATGCATTTTGGTCGGAAAAATGATCTTGTTGTGTGTAAGTTAGAATTAATGAACCATTTCATGTTTGTCTACCAAAGGTGTATGGAAGAATCCACTCGCAAACCTGATGTACTTTATGAAATCTCCTTACCAGCCGGATGATCACAAATTCCCATACATCCAGATTCATGTATTTTCAACATTATATGGACATGAGAAAGGGACAGATTATGTAAAAGGCAACATCGGCTATACTAATGAGGTACACGCACTAATGTTAAAATACTGGGTATACCATATATAGTGTACATGCAGTTGTAGTCAGCAATGTACTTCCAGCTACAGGGTGTTAAAAAACTGAACTGCCAATAAATCACTTAATTTTACACTACTAAGGCTTTTGTACTTCATATTTGGCACATATGATGTTGATTTCGTGTCCGATAATATCTGAAGTTTCATTTTGATCAGGCATGGAGTTTTGAAATTATTCCAGTTTTTATAACATGCTCCAGGTGGCAACCTTGCCTCTGTAGACACAGAGACATTACACAGACATTAATCGGTTGGGTTTTCTCAAAGCTATGGCAAACCTTTCGGTCCAGTTTTTTTAACACCCTATATGTAATGGATCTTTCTGTTATGAAATGAACTATTTTTAATACTCATTTAATTTCAAGTATGGAATACAATATTTCATTGCACTTTCAGGTATACTTTCAGGTATGAAATGAACTATTTTATTACATTTCAGGTATGGAATGCAATATTTCCAGATGAGCAAATGGACGGAAAAACTGGTGTCAGTACAATTGTCACATTGCTCCATCCAGCAACGAATGGTACAATTAGACTTCAAAGCACCGACCCATTTGATCATCCATTAATTGAGCCCAACTACCTTGAAAATGCAGTTGATGTGAAACATTTGATGGCAGGTTAATATGTTTAATCATATGAAAAATTATATAAAGTTATCAAAATTACAATTAGTCAAATGTTAAAGATTAATACAATACAAAAAAAAATATTTCAAAACTTAAAAAAGCAGCGAAAACATTCATCGCTAGCCCTACTGATCTGATATCTAAGTAATGTTTTTCTGAAATTATATATGATTATATGTTTTATTTACTAGGTTTAAAGGTTTGGACAGAAAAACTTGCAAAAACAAATGCATTCACAAAGGGAGGATTTGAACTGAATACGAATCATCATCCTTTATGTAAGGCTCACCGATTTGGTACCGATGCTTACTGGGATTGTTTCATAAGAGCAAACTTGTGGACTTTAAACCATCCAACATCAACATGCAGAATGGGACCAGCAACTGATAAGAACTCAGTTGTAGATCCACAGTTAAGGTACATGTACCTTTAACCTTGATTAATGATTCTCATATGGTCTCAGTTACTATTCTACTTATGGTAATATGGTTTGATTAGAATTTGGAGAGTCATCGTGTGCTACTTCAATTGGTAAAGTCCCGAAATCTCACGCACGAGGTAAATCAATACCTAAAGAAAAGGATAAACCATAGGCGTCATACATGAAATCCAATCATCTTTGTTCAAAAGTCTGAAATGTGCCTAATTTTAGATTATCCATGGCAAGATCATCCTCCTAAGCAGGTGTACAGAATCCGTACCTCCTTTCCCCCCCCCCTGCTATAACCAATTTGGAAGCGCCCGATTACACTGAATCACGTGATCTTATTATGCACAATGACCTATACATGATTTCTGTCTCAGTGTTGCGACAGCCAATCAGATTGCGAGTTCTTAATCGGGGAAATGCTAACTGCTTATCGCAGGGGGTAAAAAGAAAGAATATATTCTGGATTTTGAAGCCCTGTGATCGGAGGTTGTGGCAAGATGAACGACAAACGTTACACTACAATTTTGATGTCATCCATAGACTTTGATTTTCATACTTTGGAAATACATGTATAGTTGATTGCTCAGATATTTTTTAGAGAAATGTATTTTATTTGCATAACAATTGTGTTGATTATTATGCAAATAAAAAACGTTTCCCTAAAAATATCTCAGCAACCACCTTTATTTCCAAAGTATGAAAACCAAAGTCTATAGACATCAAAATTGTAACGTACCTGTATTGGTCAGATATTTTTTGGGATCTGCTCTTTGAGCGGTCACAGTGTAATTAATATTTAATTACTATAATGCCTTTGCTCGGGATCTTACAAAGTATTATTATATTTTGCAGAGTGAAGGGGATTGAGAATCTGAGAGTGGCGGATGCATCCATCATGCCTCATGTCATGTCAGGCAACACCAATGCGCCATCTATTATGATAGGAGAGAAGGCTGCAGATTTGATTAGACAATCGTAAAGATTCTTTTTCGCCGAATGATAATATCGAAGCAAAATTGACTTTAAACTCCGTGCTTAAAGCAGAAATGCTCCATCCTTTATGACAGGAGAGAAAACTGCAGATTTGATCAGACTCTACACTATATTTTTGAAACTATTCACATTCAGATATATGATCCATAAATATCATGCAACATCATTATATTTTTATAGGATAAAGCGAGACACAGATCTAGCAAGCAGGCTAAACAAAAGAATCATATTTTAGAATATTTTTTGCTCATATCATTTTTTGTCATGTCTATTTTCTAAAAAATCCTCAAAGTGCATACTCTTTTCAGGAAGATTATGGATTTTTACAAAAAATTATATTCAATAATTGTGGTAACCATCTTTATGATTTGAGAGAATTTAAATATTTTCATAATTTGTACGTTGAATACTTGATGAATTCAATTTATAGCATATTGCGGATCTACTGAGAGGTATTGTATTTGAGATTATAAGGAATATATTGGTAGGTCAATTGTGCACGTCGCTTGCAATTTTAATTGCTACCTAATAAAGACCTGATTCTGCCTTTAAAGCTGCAATTATTATACGGAGTGTATTGATTCGTAAAACTGTGTTTTATTAGCAAAGTTGGTTATTATGTAACATTGTAAATAATTTGATATTCACACATAGCAATGAAAGGTGTGTCCGATTCCAGCCAATCTGAAGACGCTATTTCACATGACTACATTCCATTATATAACCAATAACCCACTCAAGGTCACTAGTTAAACGGTTGTCAGGGTGATAACTGGATTCCTCAGATTGAAATTGATAACTTGTCAACTTGACCTTTACTCCGCATCTCGTGCAAATTTTGGAAAGTACATTCGAGAAATGGCCATTCCACATTGCACTGATTCCAGGGTAAATCCTTAAAAATGATGTTTATCGCTGCCTTCAAATGGCATATATATGCTGCAATTTCTTTCTGTTTAATATGTGCTGTTAGATTGACAAAATATGACCTCTTGCATGTTAGAGGACAAACATTTTTATTTAAATTTTGGGGGTAATGTAACCAATTTTAGATTTTAACATACATAGTAAAGATTTTATTTTACTCTGCATGATAGTTTATTAAGTTTTAGGTTTTGAAATATATTTCATTTTCCGTACATTTTAATATAACCTGTTTTGTTGTACATCGATTCTATTCTTTATTCCTCTTTAGTTCATGTACTTATATTGGCTTGCATCTTTTATAGGTATGTGAAGCATTCCCTAATTACATCTCATGATCGGGACTGTTTTAACATTGGATATTATTAACTGAGTGTAACTAATTAATTTTAACATGGAAAAATAAACACTTGGAACTTAAAATCTTTATGTATTATTTCAAATTAGAACCTGGAAAACTGTTTCAACAGTAATACATACTATAAATGTACATTAACGTTACAAAGACTCTTTGCTGAAGATACTGATGTTGTTAAGGCCCTAATATCATTGTCTGAAATACTGTTGCTACTCGCGCCAGTGGGTAGAGTGTTCATTATAATTCTTCAGCCAACATTTGCCAAGTTTTCTAGTATTATTTAATAGTTCACTGTGACCAGGGTTTACGGCGATTACTTCACTAGCAAGCCAGCGATAAAGCACAAAGTACAAAACGATCGACGAGCTGCTATGATGTTCGTTGATTAACCGTCTCTCTCAGCTTCGATGTAATTTGAAATTATGTTGAAAGCATATATCTTTGTATCAAGACAATTATTTGTATCAAAATTGTCGTGTATAATGAATATAAGAGAGGTACACCCCCTCCAAAAAGCTTGACAACACCAAAATTCCTGTTGATCACGTGTTAAAGCCTGCTCATGTTAAGTGATCTAAAAACATATCTGAAATTGGGGTGTAGCATATTAATACTAATCCCTCTATAATTTTATATTCGTATATATCCTTTGCTAACATGACATCATGCATTACTCTCATTGTTACCAAATGAGTTACTCTCAGAGTTTGGGTCCGCAACATTATCATTTTTGCAGGCGTTATTCCCCGCTTCATCGTCACAGACGTTACTTTCAGAACTTTGGGAGGCGTTATCCTCAGTGGTTTGTAATGCGTTACTCTCATGATCAGATTTTTGAGGGGCGTTACTTTCAGATATCTGTGAGCTGTTACTGTCAATGGTTTGGGAGGCGTTACTCTCAGAGGTTTTAGAGGCATTTAGCTTAGAGTCCTCGGAGTCTTTACTTATTGAGTTTTGGGAGTCTATATTCTTGGAGTTCTTGCGGATTTTGTTCTCAGATTTATCGCAGGAATAACTCTCATTTTGATGACTTTCCAGAAATTTTATAAGAAATTCGGCGGTGTGAGAATGACCCATCAAAACCGAAACATCCAAAGGGGTTCTTCCAAAGTTATCCATATACTCTGGATGGGCTCCCTTTTTAAGCAAAACCATCGCGACATCTGTGTATCCATAGCTACAGGCTTTGTGGAGGGGAGTCTGTCCCCATCTGTCCTTGGTATCAATGACGCTTTGTTCTTTAATAAGGTATGACACCATGTTTAATAAACCTCTTACAGCCGCTGCATGAAGTGCAGTACGATTTCTACTGTCCTTCATATTCACATCAACCCCGTGTTTAAGAAATGTTCTTACGATATTACAGTGTCCGTAGTATGCAGCAGCGTGGAACACGGTACCTTCACCGAAGTTCTGAATATAAACAGTTGTTTGGATGATTTCTTTTGCGAGCTCCTTGTTGGATTCTAGAACCCTTGACACTTGAGAGTCATTTTCGTCCTCAATTGCGTTGAAGAGGGAATTAGAAAGGTTGATGTAAGCGTCACACGTCCCATATGGACTTCTTTTACGTCGCATCATACTGTTGTCGTCACCGTTGAATCTTTATTCTGAAATTACACCTTTGCAGTAACTACGAAGTCAAATGCGAATTGTGACTTTCATGATCATATTATCATTGCAATTAGTTAACCCATTAACATTGTAAATCTTGGAAACATTAACACCGGGAGCCTCCTTGACACCTCTCAAAAATTCCCATGTAAATTGTTGTCTTACAATGACCTTATCGAAGGAATAAGCCTATAGCTTAATGATCCATCAATAAAAATAGATATCACCTCATCCCCTTGCCATCATACTGACAAACGTCAATACCCCCCCCCCCCCTGTTTATATCCTAAATACTTATTTTCTATACTGAATCTATGAGGATTTTGAGGTTACACGATTACAGAATATTATATATATAGTAATGTTTAAACCTTGATGCTAGTATCCAACCTCAGTAGACAGCGCGCAGCTATTTTGTATGATGGCTGTAAGCATGTCACGCCCACTTTCTTGCACTATGTATGAAACGATGTTGTTGACATTCGTTCATGAGCCAGACAACAACTGCATCAATATACCATTTCGAGCTTTATGTTAACTAACAAAAACAGTACATAGCGTTTCAGTCTGTATGTAGGGATAATAATGGATGACATACCTTATATATTCTGTAATATCCTAGTTGAACTGCGTTGCAAGTGCGTTGTTAGAATAGCTTGTTTTATTTTCCAGCAATATCTACAATTGCTATGTACTGTTCGATATTGCATTGCCGAGTTACTAGCAGTATTCTATATATAGATCTGCATATCATGTTCTCTTATCAAGCTCTACTAGCTACAGAATGCTGTTGCAGTCCATTCTGAACTCTGAAAACAGCAGTATCATATTGTTGCATGCAGATACATATTGTCTCGTCTCTTAGTTTTATACTCCTCACAATCAATCAATAACCAACACAATAGAGTCCGTTTTGCTGCAATGTTAACAGATATTAACATAACATGAGAATATGCCATCACTTTGAATTGGTGTAACAATTGTTACAGACGCCGAATGCCTGTCAAATGTCGAACCCGAAAACACTCTGACTTTTAAAGCCCATGTGGGTAGTGACATAAAAATGATAAAACCATTAAAAATCGATCGTTTAATGAATAGAAAGATGGCAGTATGATCTGTCTACACAGTACTGCATATCAAAATAAAATCATTTTTCAAATCTGTAGTGACTGACGATTTTTATTGCACCTACAACGTTCCAAATTTTTATCACAGTTTCGCATTTTCCACTGCATCTTAAGATTTAGCATTTGATTAGTCCGGACATCCACGCTCTCAACTCCCGATCAGATCCCGGAATTAGGCCTTGACTTGTAGAAAATGATATCATTCAATACTAGTATCTGCATTGGCGTAACGATGAAAATAAGCATTGAGATGAACATCGATTATTATTTGGAATATGGCACTTCAGTCAAAATGTTCTGCTTGACAACATGTGTCTTTGTCCGTGACAATTCAACACGACTCGTGAACTCGCGACACCTGTTTCCATCATTGTACATGTACATGTAGGTGCGATGTCTGTTTCCAAGAAGTGAGGGTTGATCATAAGGTTGTTTTGGATGCAATCGTGTCATTGTCGCATATGTTACACACCATAGGATTCAATGGCGGAAACGGAGGGGGGGGGGTCAGTAAATTGTGCCCCTCTCCTTGATTACCGGGAGCGCCTCTTGGGTCGAGTCTTTTACAAATGTTTGAGAATATGTTTGAAATTCACAAATTTTATATAATATAACTGAAGACCCTATTTGGGAATCAAAACTGCAGTTTTTATTACATTCAGTATTTTTTCTTGAGAACAAAATTACGGGGGTCGAGTTATTATGGTGTTGAGCTTTTTCAAACAGTTTTCGAGCAATGTTAGCTGATACCTATTGAGTAATAATTCGATGTACAAGTCAGTGCAGCTTCATGGCAAAAACTAGAGAGTCGTCGGAATAAAATTTCAGCCTTTAACCTTTCATAATCTTATCGAAAGCGTGTATATAAGTATGGTAAAATCATTCCATACGATTTTTTACTTTAAGGAATATTCCTTGCCAGACCATCTCTCTCCTAATATGGTAGCTACAACCATATATATAACTAGATTTTGGAAATTGAACGAAGTTCAATTTCAGACTCCAGATCTAGACTTTTTTTAGCCGAGTGATCCAGAATAAGCCGAGTCATCCAGAATAAGCTGAGTCATCTACAAAGAGATGGATAAATAAAATAGGAAGGTGGGATAGGATAGAATAGGAAAGAACGATAGGATAGAATAAGAAAGAAGGATAGGATAGAATAGAATAGGAAGAAAGGATAGGATAGGATAGGATAGGATAGGAAGGATAGGAAGGAAAAGATACGAAGAAAGGATAGAAAAGATACGAAGAAAGGATAGAAAGGAAGGATAGGATAAGATCAGATAGGAAGGATGGATGAATTTTTCAGCATTTTCTTCTCTACTCTTGACTTTCTATCAGGATACCATCAGATCGATTTTCCGAAATTTCAAAACGCCATAACTTCCGAACCGGAAGTCGGATCGAAATTCGATTTAAAGATTCGGATTCCTGACAAAATTGTACCCCTAATTTATAACTCATACGTTAAATTTGGAGCTTTTTTATTTTGACCTACTTTTCGGACACGCCATAACTTCCGAACCGGATGTCGGATCGAAATTTGGTTTGCAGATTCGGATTCCTGACAGAATTCTACCCTTAATTCATAACTCATATATTAAATTTGGAGAACTTTTTATTTTGACCTACTTTTCGGACACCATATCTCAAAAGTGGGTCAAAATACTTTCTGACGGCAAAAGGCTAACACTATTAGCATATTCTTGGCTACATGTATACACAATTTCGAAGAATATAATTAGAGTGTAGTGTCAGAATCGAAAAAATAAGGAAAACCTATGAATTTGACCTAGATTTTGACCTAGGCATTTCGGTGTCCAAATTTTAAAGCTAGATGGCTTTTGAGGTCCCCTTCTTTTAAAGGCTTTGATTATATGAAGCTGAACTCAGTCTTTTTCCGTATTTTTCACTTCAAAAAAATATTTTTTCCCATTGACTTAACATGGGCACCAAATTTAGCGATTTTTGAGTTTTCAAAACGCCATAACTTCCGAAACGGAAGTCGGATCGAAATTTCGTTTTCAGATTCGGAATCCTGAGAAAATTTCCTATAAGATTAATATCCTGGACATTTGATTCGGAGAACCTTTTTTTGGACCTCGTTTTCGGACACTGATTTCTCGAAATCGGTTTGAGATATCAAAAAACTAAATCGACCCTAGGTTTTCTACTTTTTTATAAGGAACACAATGAAAAAAACCCGGATCGAAAATATTGAAGGACGACCGAGAAAATCGAAAAAAGTGACAAAGTACTGGATTTGACCTAGTTCTTGACCTTTGACCTAGATAAAAATTTGACCCAATTTCCGAGGAACTAGATTCTGGACCTAAATTGACCAAATGACTGACTTTACTGAAAACCTTATGGTAATTGAGAAAACTGGTTTAGAAAAAGAATAATAAGAATAAGAATAAGAAGAAGAAAACTGACGAAAACAATAGACTCCAGATTTCATCTGGAGTCTAATTACCATGTTTAGCAGAACACGGATAAATGTTTTAATATGGTCAACATTGGTCACTTAAAAATGTAATGCTCAATTCCAGTAGGCTGCCATCTTCTTAAGATTTCACTCAGGAAGTGATGTCATCGACTCTCAACTTTGTATATAATATTAGGCAAGGAGTTACAAAGCATTACAAAACCAGCTGAATATTATCTTTCAAATTTGTCTACTATTTAATCCTTTTAAGAGTCTCTTATTTTATTCTAAATTGACAAGCTCTGAAGACATGTTTGTACATAAAGTAAGGACCACTTGTCTAGAAGCGATTTTGTGCCACTTCCCTATACTGTTATATGCAAGGTCATGAAAGTTGAGAGTTGATGACATCACTTCCTGAGTGAAATCTTAAAAGATGGCACTTACTGGAAATGAGCACTACATTTTGTAAATGATCAATATTGACAATATTAAAACATTTTCCCATGTTTTGCTAGATATGGAAAGCATAAATATGATTAAGGCTACCATTTCAGGATAGAAATGGTCTGGCCAGGAATGTCCCTTTAAGAATGTGTAATATCTTCCAATTTTAGCTCAATTAAATGAACCGTCAAAGGCGATTATATGATACAACATTTTATTTTATGTTTAACTCATATTTAAGAAAACGTGATACGTATTTGTATTTGTGAACAATTAAAACACGCATAATAAATTAGGCTCTATATATATAATCATAAATACAAAATATATTCCACAAGCTCGCTTTTGAAAAGCTTTTTGTTGATTACATGACAGTTGATACGAATTAAAGTTATGGAATAATACCCCCGTGAAGTGAGATGCATCAGGAAATATATGTACGGGATCTATTTTGTCGGAATGGGCATTCATGTCACTTCACGGAAATATAGGCGGCATACCGGAGCAGCACCATCAAGAGTGTGTTTGATTATAAATCCATCGTGTCTAGATGTTATACATTGTGTCTAAATGTTATAGTTACACATAGTGCCTGAATTACATACTACATTGTAGTTACACTTGGTGTCTACATTTAATAGTTACACTAAGTGTCTGAATGTGATAATGAAATGCCACTTAGTTTTATATATACTGGTAGATGATACATGATTGTTATAGAGTGGTTCCGCGACCCCGGGTCCGTGACTATGTGGTCGTCGATGTTATAATGTTTATGCAATACTGGTACTCTTTTCATTGGCATCGTGGGTGAGCTTGTTGATATTATTTTCTTCAGTAGCGTGGTCGTATGGTGTCGCAAACGTGTGCACCTTGGGTAGAGTTGGGAGATCGGAATAAAGGTTCAAATTCAGATGATCCCTTACCATCGTCTGAAACAGATAAGATTCAAAGGATTTAGTGCTAGTTCAATCATTATAACCTGACCTTGACCTGATCGGAGGGAATCCAGATTCAATATCACACCGCACAATCCTTAAAAGGCAACTCCTTCCCCATTGGACAACTCACCAAAGCCTCGCTTTATGCTTTGTTTGCGCATATTTGACGAGTTAGTACATAAAAATATCTTTAAAAGCTATACTATTAGTTAGTATTTAGTTATATTCTCACCTCTAAGATCTTTTCCTTTTTGGTTTTGGTTTGGTGAAGTCTCCGGAAGAGGATCTGAAAATATAAATGTTACAATTACAACAATATAGTGTATCAATGTCACAGTGAATTAATTATACTAAGGGCAAACTGATAAAATACGTGAGGCAAACATTAGTCATGTATTCTTCTCAATGGTGATCAAAATTGATTGGAAATATCAGGTACCCCTCTCCATCCATAGAAATGCGGCATGCATAGCATTTCGTTTGAACTGTACCAGTTTGTCCATTAGGTGATTTCCATAATCTAGGCTATAACATTCAGCTTTATTTGTGTTATATTGCCATCAAATTCAATTGTAAAGTATTTAGTGTGACTATTAAATAATAATCTTAACCATTGTTCTGCTACTATCACGATGGTTGAAACAACTGATTTACCAAAGGGGATTCGTTCGTCTATAGCTTTATGAGGTTTTTAATCATGAACCTCATGGAAAATTTCATTGAGACAAAAATAATATCATTTTCATGGTCATAGCCAGCTTGAACAGTCAGGGGAGGGGGGTGCGATCGCCAGTTTTTTCGATATTCAGTCAGGGGTGTGCGATCGTGGCATAGACGAGATTTGTTTTGAATTTTACAAAAATTGAGAATTCTTCTATCTCACTCCTGGCTGCGCTTGTGATTTTGGATATCTTACCATCATAACGAATACAGAAATTGTAATCATGAGGACGCCGACTATTGCCATGACGATTATCATTGTGACATATTCCATCTCAGTTGCCTTCACGCTAATGATTTCCTTGGGGATGCCTTCTGAATTGTCTGAAAACACACACTATTTATATATCACGCCTAATTATCGACAACGTACAGTGACAAAATTTAGGAGTATACACTTAAATGTACGTTATCAAATATTGAAGTAAACTCAACGATTTGAAGCATAAACTATGATATAGCTTTTAAAAGATTTATCTGAGAAATACATTAAGTATTTCATGTTTAATTTTAAAGGCATTGTATGACATAATAAAGTTAAAATTGATAAACAATACTTTTAACATCAAAACAATATGTTTGGCAAAATGGATACATGCTTTGGCAAAGAAACACTATTTGTTGTATTGTTAATATTGGGTCTCGTATATAAAAATATCAAATAGTATCAAAACATCGAAAAAACAATTAGAAAGCCAAGATGAGAGATCACGTCGTTCTATCAGATCCTTCCTGGAAGGATATTACGTATATAATAGTTTTTGGAAATGAAAGATCGGTGATGGGATAACTGAGAATCAAAACGCGGCAAATATAAATATCCTGAAATACACTGGAGTATGAACTGTAAATGTTGTAACTTTGCCCTCACCATTTTCCTCAGTTGTCAAGGGTTCATCTTTTGCAGCTTTATTGTCAGATATGATTGGTTCTTTCTCTTTTTCTGTATTAGCATCTTTATTCACCAAGGGTAAGGCTATTAATGTACAAAACCTCAAATGTAGTCACATCAATCCAAATGAAAATCTTTGCACGTCATTTGTTTTAATTTCATTTCTTCCATTAAAAATATTTAAATGATTTCTTAATATCATACTACATATAGCATAAAATAAGTAAGAAATGCGCAGAATTTGCGATGTAAAATAATTTGGCAGAGGACTGTGGGATAGAGAATAGAATTTGACTAGAGTATCGCATAACTGTGAGGCATGCTCTACTTCTTTTACATAAGATACCAAATATATTTACCTGACCTACAAGCTGTTAAACAATCCTCATCCCTATAGAATCTGTTAAGATTTCCTCCACAACCACCATATTGGAAGAGCTCACATTTAGCGGATTGGGAATTGTAGTACCACATATTATGCTTCGCGGAGCAAGGTCCTGAATCTTTTGCCATACTGCAGATTATCTTCATTGTCTCGCCCGGGTATGATGGATTTTGTGGTTTTAGTTTTTCGTTTGTGGATTTAGGGTTCACTTCTGGTTCGGGGTCAATTTCTGGTACTGACTCGGGCATTTCTTGTTCTTCGGGATATTCATTATGGAATTGGGACAGTAAGATATGTGGGGGAGGTGGTGGGGGTCCAAATGGCTGATGTTCAGGATGGACAACGGGTAGGCTGGGTAGTTGAGGGAGATTAGGACGATGGTAGAAATTAGGCCTGAATTGCGTGATTGATATTTTTACGTTTTGCTTCACTGGTCGCCTGTTCCTCCATTCGAGCTCATTTGGTACGTTCGTTTGAAATGATGGCATTTCGGGGAGACCCTCGTTCAGATTTTGCTGTGGATCAAATGCTCCAGATTCTAAAATCAAAAATAATCAATTTGTTGTCAACAAACGCCATTAATGTTTTAATATTACACAATAGCCTCAATGCATATTGCTGACGGGCGCATTACAATCGAGGTATATGGCTCATATTTAAACATTTATGAAATAATGTTATCACTCTTTAAATTTTATATTGATGTTAAACTTTTGATTGCATTTTACATCCTTTTATGGCATATTACACACACTTAATTTGGGTTAATAGAAATAAATAGCATCGAGGAACTTGTGTAATTACGGTAAATTTTGAAATGATAATTTCTCCATCCAGAATAATGGTTAGTGAAGTAATTTTAGGACCAAGCTGTTACTGTACGACACATGTCGCCAGCAAGTTGACAGTGTTACATATGAAAAGGTGATATGAGTAGATGTAGGCATATGTTATGTACTTCTGTCGCTCAGATATACAAAATATAGCCATATCGGTTATTTCTTAGGGCTAATGTAATGGTTGTGGCAAGTCAAACTGCATTGTTTAGGTCCATATGGCATAACACATGTGTATTAAAATGCAGTGAATTTATATTCATTTGGTTCTGTTTGATAGTTCCAATCTAGTCCTTGGAATCTAGCCCCATTCATCCATTCATTTGTTATCTTTGCATCTAAAACTTGTTTATGATTGGTGAAGGAAAGGGTATAAAGATTAAAGGTAAAGGTCATGCATCGCTCACAAGAGCGCAAGATGCAACTCTCATTCAAGTATTTTATCAAGAAAGGTGCTCATAATTACCTGGTTGCAATTCTCTTATAATGCCACATTTATCCCAGCATTCAACGAAAGACGTGAATTTGTTGTCATTTCCTCTACAGCCACCATAGTTAAACAAAATGCACTGATTGATAGTGTGGTCATAGTACCACATAGGAATACTGGCTCTACACATGCCGACGACCATGGGTTGATGGCATGCATCGTTGAAATCTTGGCTAGTTTCAGTTTCTTGATTCTCAGATGAACCACCTATTGGGATATTGTCGGTGTCATTTTCATTCTCAATCTCTTGCTTATTTGGTTCATTTGATTTAACGGATGGACTGATATCAACACCAGAGACTGATACTTCGTTGAACTCAGACGGGGCGTTTTCCTCTGCTAGATCGGATGGTATTGTTTCGGTTCTATCAATACCAAGCATATGTTCATCATCTGACTCTGTGTCTGATTTTTCCATTGTTGTATGTTCTTCTTCATAAGTTTCCACTGGTTTATTTACTTGTGTCGATTGCTCTTTGTTATCACTGTCTGCTTCTACATCTGTTTCAGTAGTCTCGGCGTTCTGATTTGACTCAGTTGTGCTCTCAGGAACATCAACAGTTTTTACTAGGCCTTCATTAACATTCATATCAGAGCCACCACCACGGACATTATCATTTGATTCAGCCTCAGGCACAATGCTACCATCTAAGTTATCACGTTTAAAGAAAATTGTTCTTATAAGAGGTGGAGCGTTTTCCAGACGGTTTCGAAGCCTACCATAAAGCGCCCCTAGTCTGAGTTTTAGAAGTTTCTCCCCTAGGAAACTGCGATGACTCATATCAATTGGAGTTATCTTTGGGAAAGATGTTATGGGACTTCCTCTTGGAATTCCGAATGGCCCATCGTTGCCGTCATCCTCGGTGACATCTCGGTGTCCTGAATTTGAAAAACAAATGTAGTTTTAAAGACTTAATAAGGTGTGTTCGTTGGTCAGTACTGTTTTGAACATGAACACACACAATTTTGGCCTTTTGTGACCTTTAGTAGCTGCATAGACCAACTAAGAATGGGGCAATAACCACGAGTTCATGGTACCCAAGGAAGGCACCATCCATCAGCTTTCGACAAAGGTTAGTTGAAATGGAGGGATTTCATGATGTCATTTTATAAAACAGTAATCTAACTTTGTGGGAACATGGCCTTTTAAGTTGCCTTGCATACTGACAGCACTCGAAACAATTAAGAAAGCAGGGTGTAAATACATGAAATAAGGAACATATTGTCTAACATAGCACATTACCAATACAAGACTTGACGCATTCATCCACAGTCTGGAAATTGTTATCATTTCCAGCGCATCCCCCAAACACGAAGGGTTGACACTCCGCAGTATCGGAATTGTAGAACCATCGTGGTTTCGAGGCGTAGCAAGGACCTGGGCTAAGCGCTTGGTAACACCGTGGCTCCGGGAACTCTGGTGGCGGTGGTGTGTCAACTCGGATCAAGCGTGGACCAAACCTCGGAAAGAATCCATAAGCTATATCAGAAAACGGAATTGTTTTAATAAGTTAAAACTAAAAAAGTACCATGAGTGCCAGAGTCTAGTACTTTGGGATGAAGGTCTCTTTTAGAAAGGCAAAACAAATCGATCGAGGTAAAGAATGATTTGGGAACCTTTTATCTTAAAACAATAAGAGCAGAACGATATAAACAAATTACATTCTCATTTAGTATTCACTATTCATGGATCTTTTGTTGACCTGCATCTTTGTTTTCTGTGTTTTTATTCATGATTCTCTTTAATTGTAATTTGAAATTTGTAATCCTGAAGGCAATTTATTTGTATCGTGGCCATTTATGTTTCAAACTTATCAAAATCCATTGTTCGGATTGTTTCATGAAGCCTATAAAATCAGTTTTAAATTGTATCTAAATTTATATGTCCAGATCTTTCTTTTGATTAGTAGTTCATCATTATCAGGTCATGATGTACTCCTCACAACAAATTCTACCTCTAAATACCATAATTATCAACATACCTTGACTAAAGAGGGTAAATCCGATTATAAGCGTACTCCACTCCATGTTAACCTCCTAAAAATATCTCCGAAATATCAATCCATCAATGAAACAGTAATTAAGAGAAGGTTGGTCGCTAACGTATTCAATTTCATTATTAAAACAATTACCTGTTATTTTTATAGCCTGGGGTTATGCGTACGGCTATATCATAAATATGCAATTCGGCATATACATATTTAGTTGGAGCGTTTGAGTTTATGATAGTTGTAAATACGAGAGGCAAAAATTATAGTGCGTTCCTGGTAGATCGTGACAACTATGTTCCTTGAGGCAGTTATGAATTGGTAATGGACTGTTATAAAACTGAATTGATTTAATAATCAAAACAATCGTGGGAGAGTCATTCTTGTTTGTCTAATACTATTCTAGTACCCACTATAGGTGAAATGGATTGGTTCGATTCGATCCTCCCCCCATGTTCTTACTTACCCTTTGCATTCGTTCAACTTCACTTCTTAAAACAGAGCTTCGTCTTGTAGTTTATGACTACAGACGCGCACAGGGGTCGTTCTTACTAGATGAGTCCCTTTCATAATATTGGTCACATTGTCTAATAACTGATGATTTGATGAACATAAGTGATAAAAAGTAGGACTCTCAGAACATATGTCGTTGGGCACATTTGACAATACCACAACAAAAATAAGTTAGCATAGCCATAAGAATACCCTTTACATTCGTTTGACTTCGCTTCTTAAAAGAGAGCTTAATGTCTTGTCTTTGTAGTTTAACTTGACTCTGCACTAGGGTACCATAAGATTAACCTGTAGGAGGAAATTAATCAAGAGAATCAAGTAGAGTACAATATATATACCAACTTCACCCTTTGGTTACCAACTACCATTTCTTTGATAAACCGAGACATTGGGTATAAGTTCCTTCACATCTTAGTCTATATTTCTCTGTTTCCCTGCCTCTGCACACGCCACTCCCTTAGTCTGTTAGTCAGGCCCCCTCCTCCTTTCCTCATCTCTGGGAGACCTGGCCGGTGTTTGGGGTTTGGGTCACTAGAGATTGAAGCAATACTGCCACTCTCCCTGTCTGCAGTCTTAAAATGAAGGATATCATGAAGTAAGTTAAGAGAATATATTTAAAGAAGCAAAAAAAACAAGCTATCGAAAAAGTTACAGACGGGAGTACGCTCGTACTATAGTCATTTATATGGTGAGTCTAGGATGCTGATGTACATGTGGCCATATCTGTTATACCAATTAACATGCAATTAATGGGATGCCATTATTGTCACCGTTAATTACCAAAGTTGATGAAGCTGTGTGTATACTTGGAACAATTAAACATTAAACAGAATTCCCCTTTGGAATGTTTAATTGGGTCACCTTGCCCTAATGTCATTCATATCATGACACCAATGTGTTTTATTTTTTTATGAAGTTTACTCCGCTATATTGCATTTGCTAAGGTCAATGGAAATAGGAGTCCATTTAACCGACACATATTTTATTTACTTTCCCTTAAAAGAATACTGGGAAAACCACAACCGGGGTTCATTTGATGTCTACTTAGGGATTCATTTGAGGAAAGCACTCGAACAAAGACGTTCGGAACGTCATATCATGGTCATTCTTTGTAAACCAAGTCTTCGGTAATTTAAATGCACATTTTGGTGGTACTCCCACTATAAGGACGGATTTATTTACTGTTATTTTAACGGTAGATTCATTTTTGTAAAATAGACTACCGAATGTTTTGTAGGATGGGTCGATCTGTTAGGGTGTTATTCACACTTTATACAGAATGAAAGAAAGTTCAGAATTGTATCAACATTACTAGGTTTGTTATTTGTGAATGTACTTAAAAGCATAAAAATGATCAACTTAACGCATGAATGCTAAAAGATTTAAGACATCCGCTAAAGTTATTTTTTATATTTCACAATACGACCTGTTTGTATACGATGTATGTGTGTGTGTATTTGAGCAAAACAACAACGCATGAATAATAGTTCTGAATTGGTTTAAACCAAAGTAGCTTCTATGAAACATAGACGATTTCTTTGTAATATTGCCAAATTGGCCTAATATGGATCTACATATTAATCTATAATTGTAAACAAATGCGTTATTTTAAGTTCAATCGAGGTGACATTAAGATGTATACTAATTTGAAGGTAATATACCTCTCCTTTGCAATTGCATTTCTATGGGAAATAGCGAATGGTAAGTTAACTTAGAGTTTAGTAAATATATAAGTATAAAGTAAAAATTATATCTAATTAGGGAAATGAGCTATGTATTGTTTAACATTGTTTTTGAGTACAACTGGGGAGATATGATGAAAACCTCATCCCAGAGTTAACTGATTCTGTTCATTCATATTCATATAAATTATTTAACAATGACTGCCTTTATAGATTTATAAAGTCAGCGTATTACCAAAGGAACTTATCATTAACAACTTGAAAGGTCTACACTTAACATTATATATATTTTTCCTACTGTTATTGATAATGTACATTCAGCTGCTTTATATGCATACAAATGTTAGCTTGTACTTGGTAAGACATTTTTTGTTGTGCCAATAAACTTAATTCCTATGTTCAAACGACATGGCTGCACATGTAAAACACTTATGTAATTCCTAATGTCTGTACATATAACATTCTATATAACATGCGACGAAGACACGTACGTTACCTTATGTTTATTAAAATGTACACAGAACGTTCAGGCCCGTAGCCAGGATTTGCCAAGGGGGGGGGGGTCAGTTTTCAAAAATTTCCAAGGGGGGTTCACATTTGACAATTTTGGCCCAAATATGGCTAAAATCACTTGAGAAGTGCTCAAAATGGTGAAAAACTGCATGATTTTGAAAGAATTTTTGGCCAGGGGGGGGGTTCGCCCGAACCCTGCGAACCCCCCCCCCCCCCCCCCCTGGCTACGGGCCTGACGTTATTGCCTTTTTGACGATATAACACATGGGATACCTGGACGAATGACATTATCGTATTAATTGCAAGATCGTCTATGATTTAACACGTATACACGTTCAATATTGTTTTCGGCACTGGGCAAACGAATAAAAATGCCTGGAGCAATGTCAGTAAATATTATCAGCATGTATATATGTAAATGGATAAATGTTAGATTAGTTTCCAGTAAGTGATCCATTATATATTTCATAAGTATGCAACGTTTATATGTTTAAACGCGAAGTTAACATGATAATAAAATCCCGGGAATAAAATGAGATGATCTGGTCTTCCGTTATGGACGGTCTAATATTGTATAAACTACATAACTGTATATCCTCCACATATTTTTACTTCAAGCAAAGTCAACTAGAACCTGTTGGGGAAAAAAGAGGACGTTAAAAGAAATCGAGTGCCAAAAGGGACACGCAATACGTATCATTGAGGCATTTGCTCATCTCGACGCCAAGTCTAGGAATCGAACGTGTGACCTACCTTCCTATAATCAGACAACATGCACACAATATGATATAACACAAGATGTCGTCGATACATTGCAAGGCTGGACAAATAATTTCTGGACCATTCTTAAGATAAACTTAGATACATGTTGTAGTCCTCTACGATGTCAAACAATTAATTATGAGTGTATTCCAGGTAAAAAAACAATCAAACAGTTGATCGTATTTACAAGTTAAAATTTTTTTAAATCATTTTCATGTACATAATTGACATCCTATTCCACCATGATCCTCTAACATTCCACTCTTTACAGTCGTTAATATATTTTTTCCGACAGCAAAGTGTCCCCAACTTTATCCTCCTCAAGACGGACAAATACAGCCATCTAACTCCACGCGTGATGTAGGATCTAAAGTAACGTATTCCTGTAGTACGGGTTATAGAATATCGAACGTTTGGCCTCCTTCGCGTTCATGTAAACTCGTGACATCAAGATTACCGAGCAATGGACGGCTACAGGTTTCTAAGTACGATTGGAATAGAAGAAACCCAAGATGTGGTGCGTATAAAGTTATTTATGTCACTTGGTACATGGTGAGCATCATTTTGTGTAGTAACAAATTTTGTTTCGAACCTAATTACAGGTTGGGTCAAATAATAATCAATGACTTGTAGTTCTAAATATTTTTAACTCATGGTTTTCTATGAGACTTTGGAGAAGGGCACTGTTGCTTGAGTTCAAATGCTAGCAAAAAGGGGGTGCTTCAAATCATTCAACAATAAAAAACGTTTGACCTGTATAAGCACCTATTTGGCTCGTCATTATAACACTTTTTAGTAGTTTTTCAAACAAGATGATCAATGTATCCCTTATTACAGTTTCCTTCATTAACCATTACATTCATTTCTTGTAAGAACGTCTCTACTTTGATCTGATTCAATACGATACAAAACAATGCGATTCAATTCAATTCAGAGCAATACAATACAATGCAATACAACTGTACAATGTAATATCAATTCTTATTTAACATTACTTACTTTTTTATTCAAACCAGCTTGTTTAATTCTTTTCAGATTTAGATCCGAAGGCGTGTAATATGTCAGTAAGGCCATTGTATTCGCTTGGCCATCTGTGCTTTGAAGACCATTTTAATAAGGCAGATTTAAAGTCATCTAGCGAATCAAATGCCTTTTGCACATCGAAGGGTTCTTCACTTCTCCTGTTGTCAAATGAAGATGTACGGTCGTTGCTATTTGAGATCGTACGAAAAGCAACTTCCCTTTATGGAAATGGTTCTACAGACAGCTACTGGATCAGGGGTGAGTAAGAGACTCTCACTCATTACTGTATGAGTCCTCATTATTACTAGTCTCATCAAATTAAACCATATTTAAACATTAAACCAGCCAAGGAAAATATATAGCTTAAGATGTGAAAATGTCACCTTGTATAATTGAATATTAATTATTTGAAATGTATAGACGATTATTTTACTAATGACATGAATGTGTTTTTTCAAAACAAAACAAAACTTTTTTGATATTTCACTACTTCATTTCCGGGCAAGGGTAACAAATACACATGAGTTTTGTGATAATATCCAACCTCGTCTTTTTACTTTTAGGAAACAAGAACTTTCTACCAGACTATTCTAAAAAGATGTGCTATTACGTAAAGGTCATTGATTTGTCGAGTGTAATAGCAGACGTTGCCCAAGATACAATTGAGTACATAAACGATGGTATAGCTGTTTATGGAACAAAAGTATGCTCCACAAAACGGGGATTTCTATGTCAATATGGTATTTTACACATTATTCTGTCTTATTAATGTGACCATTTCTTCGTAAAAATACCTTGTGTGTGAAACCACAAAGTAGCAAACATAATATGAACCAAACCCGATATTGTGAAAGCCACTCCGGAACTTTCACATTTTTTAAAGCAGCGAAAAAGTAATATGAAAAGATTTGAAACATTTACGAACCTCCTCCTTGGTTGTAAGAAAACCAATGTGTTTAAGCACTCTGATACAGAACTGAACCCGCCTCTCTTACTTTTTTGTTTCTAGTGTATAGTAGTTTTATTCTTAAACATTCCTGATTACTTTGCACGTGACACAGAGAATTCATCTTTTTGGAACGTTTAGGAGGTTTGGGCTTTCTCAACCTCAAAGCTAGCCACAATATGAACATATGAAACTGTTTTGATGTCACGGTGGTGACATATTGTCATAGTCTCCACTCTGCCACTGCAACTTGTGGACGGTGTTCGGCGGTCGGTGTTTGCAGTTGGCGTTCGATGGTCGGCCTCTGTAATGCCTTGTTTGGTTGTTATCACGAGTGTGACGGATAGCCTTTACTCTGTTACAGAGCCCTATAAGGCAGATAAATGTGAATCCATTATTGATGCTCCAAACAATGGATGGGTGCATTTGACCGATGGAAAAATTGGCACAGTTGCGAAATATGGATGTAATGTAGGTTTTGCACTGGGAAATCGCGCAAATGCAGAGAGGCAATGTCTTCCAAGCGGTTTGTGGGATGGGACTACCCCCACATGTGAACGTGAGTCATTAATATGTTCGTATTGTTAACACACCGAAAATGAGCGGTCATATATTGAACAATTAATTGTTAAAGTATCATCAGAGTCTTGTAAAATAAGCTTACCAAAAACCAAATTTCTATTGTTGGTATGTCCAAGAGAAGCGTGATTGAGGAGGGAATCTCGGGGAGGGAATGCCACTATGGTTGCACAAAGCTACATCATTTAGGTCTGTGGTCACGCAAACACTATTATTATTAACCTAATCTTATTTACATCAGTGGTAGACTGTGGTCCTCCACCCATGGGAACAGGAATGGCCAACATATTTGGATTGGAGGACACTAAATATGGCTCTGTTGTCGAATATGCATGTCAGAGCGGATTCAGTCTACAGACCACAGACGGGGACAACACAAGGGAGTGCCTTGCAAATGGACATTGGTCAGATGAGACTATTTGGTGCACCCAAGTTTCTGATCGAACCAATAACACCGCTACCAGTCTACCTGTTCAAGTTTCTGATCCAACTAAGAACCCCGCTAACAGTCTACCTGTACGATCCCAACCTAATGTACGTTTCGATGGTGAGTATATATTATTCGCTATATTTTAAATGTAATGTAAACACAAGTTTAATCCAAAAATGTATGAAAATCAGAGAAAACATTTAAGTCAAAATAAAATGGTTCCACTGTCGATTTTTCTGTTATGTATGACCGCAATTTCGCTTATATCAACGCAAAACGTTTGCGAAACGTATGGCCTCGCTATACTGGATTTTATACATGTGAATCATTAGTCAATTTTATCTGGAAAGTTTGATTTCCAAGAAAATGGTAAATAAGCAATATACGTGTAAGACCTAGATTTGTAGAGTTGTGACCACCTACCGTTGTTATGTTATGCAGTTAAATTGACACCATGACACCATTCTTTGGGGCAAAAATTGTTACCTCCAAATCGGCTAGATTAGAGATGAGTCCACTTAAGAGAACAACCGGTCATAAGAAATATATAACTGTGTGTTGTATTTTAAGGTGCAAGTATTGGAATAGGGATCGCCGTAGGAGTGCTTGCTGTAGGTCTAGTCGTTGCTGTCGTACTCATATACAGGTTGGTTATGAGTGACATCTATGTTTCAAACCTGCCAAAAAAGTAATTGTTATGTCACCACCAAAAGTGGTGACATATTGTTATGGTCTCCGTTTTTTTGCGACGGCGGTTGGAGGTTGGCGTCCGGCGGTTGGAGGTTGGCGTCCGGCGTCTGTAACAATTTCTTACAACTTCCTATAACTTAACAAATACTGTTTAGACTGACTTCAATTTTTTTCTAAATCATCTACATGTTCTCAGAAGTTCAAATCTGACTTTAGATTTGACATTTGACCTTCAATGACCTTCTCAAGGTCAAAAAGGTCTTTTTTCAACTTGCTTCACATTGACTAAATTTTTTTTCAAAATCATCTACATGTTCTCAAAAATTCAAATCTGACTTTAGATTTGACTTTAGATTTGACATTTGACCTTCAAATCTGACTTTAGATTTGACATTTGACCTTCAATGACCTTCTCAAGGTCAAAAAAGGTCAAAAAGGTCTGTTTTCAACTTGCTTCAAATTGACTAAATTTTTTTTTCAAAATCATCTACGTGTTCTCAGAAATTCAAATCTGACTTTAGATTTGACTCAAGATTTGACATTTGACCTTCAATGACCTTCTCAAAGTCAAAAAAGGTCAAAAAGGTCTTTTTTCAACTTGCTTCAAATTGACTAAAATTTTTTTTCAAAATCATCTACATGTTCTCAGAAATTCAAATCTGACTTTAGATTTGACATTTGACCTTCAATGACCTTCTCAAGGTCAAAAAACGTCAAAAAGGTCTGTTTTCAACTTGCTTCAAATTGACTAAATTTTTTTTTCAAAATCATCTACGTGTTCTCAGAAATTCAAATCTGACTTTAGATTTGACATTTGACCTTCAATGACCTTCTCAATGTCAAAAAAGGTCAAAAAGGTCTTTTTTCAACTTGCTTCAAATTGACTAAATTTTTTTTCAAAATCATCTACATGTTCTCAGAAATTCAAATATGACTTTAGATTTGACATTTGACCTTCAATGACCTTCTCAAGGTCAAAAAGGTCTTTTTTTCAACTTGCTTCAAATTGGCTAATTTTTTTTCAAAATCATCTACATGTTCTCAGAAATTCAAATCTGACTTTAGATTTGACATTTGACCTTTAATGACCTTCTCAAGGTCAAAAAAGGTCAAAAGGTCTGTTTTCAACTTGCTTCAAATTGACCAAATTTTTTTTTCAAAATCATCTACATCTTTTCAGACATCTACATCTACATCTTTCTCTTCTTAAGGTCAAAAGGTATTTTCCAACTTGCTTTAAATTGACCAAATTGTTTTAGGTGGTGACATTTTGTCATGTTAATGCCTTGTTGTCTCTATTAGACGTGTACTAATGTGATGATGTTATTGTTAACCATTAAATGTATTTTTGGTCAATTTGGACCACAGAGCACATTCTTTGCAATAATTATATCAGAAACAATTATTCAACCTACATGAAATTCCATCTTATCCTCAATTCATTCATTTCCTTTCAAATAAAATAAACCAGATGTAAATTGTATATGATAACTTTTTGTACTACAAAGAACGAAGAAGGTCAAAGAACATCACTATCACTAAATTATGTTCTAATGATGTGTTATATAATAATGATACCAAGTGCTACAAAATACTAAGTACTAAGACACATGACCCGTGGGATTATGTTTAAGCTTACTCATATTTTCTTGCAAAGTCTAAGATAAATAATGCATATATGTAATTGAATAACCTATTTAAAACTGAAATCAGAATGAAAAAAAGATTCTCTGGTTGTTGAGTTATTGCCAAATATGTGCTTTGGGTTCGAATGGAACCCGATTTCAGCCCTTTCGTCATTTACATAATACATTCGGGCTATTAATATTCTTTCGCATTATTTGTTTATAGACGATATTCTTCAATGAAACCGACAGGTGTGTCACGAAGCGGAAACCCTGTTATCATAGACCCAATATCCAATCCAGTATTTGACAATTTAGAACGTATAGAAAAAGATGGAGAACAGGCAGTTTCAGATAGGCCAACAAACCATTATGCAACCCCCATAGGTAAAAGTACATTTTAAAGCTTTTGTAAATTGTGATGGCCTCCCATTCTCATTTGTCACGTTTGATATAGATTGACGTTTTGTAGATTATTGTGGCCTTGATTTAACATCCTTTAATATATACAGTATGGTGACTCAAAACAGAAAAGCCCATAATAGTCCATGGTATGAGTTCCGAATATGAAGGATCCATAGCACACTATAGCGCAGCAATATTTATGAAGGTGTACATGTCTTATGATTCTTTTAAAATACCATTTGCTGAAAAAACTTCCGGCTTTCGGGTCGAAAAACGTCTTTCATCACAAGGGGTAAAAAAACGTAAATATTTTTATTCGAACTTTTATACATTTTATAAGACACAGACCGTTATTCTAAGCATACGAACAAAAATAAATTATCATAATTTAAAAATATACTATTTTATTTTACTGTAGATGTCGGTGTTTAATGAGTGTAATTATGCAAGTGTGTTTTTCAGATTTTGTTTGATTTTTCAAATATGAGCCAAGTCGATTCAACAAAACTATGTGGAATATTTAGGTAATTTATGATTGGGAACATATTAGTTTTCTTACCATTTTATTACCAGAATTTTTCCATATAATCGCAAGGGGTCTAATAGCAAATTATTGTTCATGTTTTACAAAACATAATACAATAGCAAATAGGTAAGATTTATATCTAATTAAATGTTACAGAGGTATTGGAATGTTCATATATTCCAAGGGCATGTCTAATAATCAATTAGAGTCATATGCAATCGAACGCCTTGAAATTCTTCATCGACGTTACTTGTGGCTATCATCAAGTTTTCTGATGGCTGTTTGTTCTTTGACCTTACCGCTGGATACAATCAAATTTTAGGAAGATAATGATAACGATTTTTCTCAATTATTCATGAATTCGATCAAGTCTTGATGGTTGTTTTATAAGCAACTGAGCTATATCTAACTACGGGAAATAGAATTTTAGCTGTCGTCCAATTAGTCAAGGAAGAGCAATAGGCCCGCCTTTATTGATAATTTTCACCGCTGAATAAAAGTCCATATCTCAAAACGTATTGAGACCCCTTTTGTGAAAAACTAGCATAATTTAAACATTTGTCATTCCAATATAAAAGTGATTCATGTTTAGCATTTATCTTATTAATACCTGAGAAACAATACAAAATGTCGATACACTGATTACATATTTTTGGGTATTGATAAGAAAAATAACCTCAAACTTATAGCTTAGAAACCTAAATCATATAATTTAAAATCATTTTGTATTATTTTCTGTTGCATCGTGTACTCTAAATTGTGAAAAATTGGGATTTTATTTTTTGGTGATTTTTTGACCTCTGTTAATGGCAGGCATAATTCAGCCTAAAAGCCGGACGTATATTGAACAGTTATTATAAAAATGATGAGGGGACATATGTAGGTATGTTAATGTAAGGTCAAATATCGCTGCGCTATAGTGTGCTACCAACTCCTTTATTAGACGTCCTAGAGATTTCATACCATGGACTATAAGTTGTCATGTCGTTATTTTCAAAACATAGAAACAGCAATCGACGGATAATAATAAACTATTTAAATGGTTACATTACTTTTATTAAAAACCTTGTCATGAAGAATTCCTAACCAGTTTAAAACGGGTCGACTTTTTGCTTTTATGTGATACCTATGTTTTTTGTTCTATCGTATTTTGTTTCTTCTTGAGCTGAATATTGTAATTTTTCTATAAATATGAACGATATGAAACATAGTTTACCACCTGTATTAAACACATCTGTGGTGCCCTATATAATATTTCATAATAATAATGTACATGCACTCTTACTTTTTCAGTGAACCCAGATAAAAAGGGGAGTGCCGCGTAGATTTCTAAATGACCTGTGCGAAAGATAATAAGATAATAAGTACTCACATCCAGTGAAAAACCTCTTACTTACCCACAAGAGCAGCAAAAATGAAAGTCTCGCAATCTCTGCAGTAAAAATGGAAAGACTCTATTATGGCAATACCTATATCAACATGAATCATGTTTAAAATTTGTCTAATGATAATGCGATCAAATGAACAAGAAGGTGGAGACATGAGTTAAAGTTTCGAAACAAATATCGCATTTTACATTAATTCAGGAAATGAACATTCTGATACTCATAGCATCTTTCTGTTTCACCTGAAACAACTCAGGGCTGAGAAGAATTGAGATGTCATGTTTTATCATGATGGGAAATGAAGGTAAACTTAACATTGTAAGGAAACCTTAGAACGCTTAACATCAAGTTAGGTCTGAGATATGTTCCTAAATGGAGTGACTACGAAGGCAAAATATGCTACGATACTTTTTTAGACAATGCGATATTATATGCCATAATTAGCATATTGCGTCTTCTCAGAAATGGATTGAATGATATTGGATCAAGTGGAATTAAGCAATGAGAGATAAACCTTGCTACAGGAACATTTTGCGTGCCATTATTTTCAAAATTCAGTATTATACATTGTATTGATGTTGAAAGGGATCAGAAATTAGACAATTCATACATTATGTATATACTAGAACACAAAAGAATACCTCTTTTGATTGACAACTATACAGATGTATCATAAAAATGTAAAAAGAGAAGTTCACGCGAATGTGCATATTGCCACACATGACATGGATATGTATATATTTGAATGAATATATCACCATGAAATAAACTTAGTCTATCAATACATGTGATCGTTAGTTAATATTTTCAAAATTAAAAAGTTGAATATTATCGACAGCAGGGCCAATGGATCGCTTTTAATTCAAGACAGGGCCCCACACCGCTATAGTTTCAACTGAGAAACATTCGAATAACTTTAAAATCAACTTTTTCAAAGTAAAATGTTCAAACCTTTTAAAATCTAAGCTAACCATGTTTTACATCATTGAAGTCATCATCAAGTCTGCTATTAAGAGATATACAAATGTATAACAAGAAAATCATGGAGATATAGATCATCTGAAATCGAAATACGTACTCTAGCGTAGCCAGGATGAGGCAGACGAGGCGCTTGCATCGTCACTTATTACCATACTTTGAGAAATATTCCTCTATCAATTAATGTAAACGTTATTGTCATCAATTTGATGATTTGCGATCACAGGATGGATTCTATCTTGCAATGACAATTTTCTTCCTGGCTACATCACGCGGTCCTAACTTCGACCGTTAATTTGAATTTTTGACCTACCGGATATTTGAAAATCAAGGATTACGAGTCTCATACTGCACCGTTTTTCTTCAAACTTGTTCCATTCAAAGCATAACACAAATCCCTTTCTGATGGAACATTATTCTCTTCATCAGAGTCCCTACTTCCAGCGGCATTTTGGTCGCCAGCTGTAAGAAGGCCTTCCAACAGCTGGGGACCAAAACGCTGCTAGAACGAGGGACTCTTTACAATAAAGTAATGCACCGACAGAAAGGCAATTTTGTTCTGCTTTTAATGGTATAATTTTGAAGAAGAACGGTGCATTATGAGACTCGCAATCCTTGATTTTCAAGCACCTGGTAGGTCAAAAATTCAAATTAACGGTCGAAGTTAGGACCGCGTGTACATTAAGCTTGCATGTTTTTTACAACGTACTAGTAACAGTGAACGCAGGTCCATGAATCAATGCGCGCAAAGCGCTAATAAGTACTCTTTACATTCGTTTGACTTAGACTCTGCACGCAGGGTAACTAATAAGTTTACTTCAGATACCAATCGCGACCAGCTTCAGTTTCGTGTTTAAAACGGGAGATTTTCAATTTCGGGTTGGTGTCAACGGGATGATTATACTCGTGTCTGTGATCGCAATTTTGATTTCGATACACAATATAATGCTGGAGAAAATGACGTATGACCTCATACATGTTTTAGCTCCAAATATCTTTCGAAACGAGCTTGTTTAAAATATGTATCATAGAAAACCAGCTATATAACTTTCAATTGCATATTACAAGATGATGTTTAGTCTAAATACACTGTAACGGATAGATTCACTGCATTCTTTCTGTAATGGAGTCGTCATAGGCAGAATCAGATCTATGGGGGTGACAAAATTACAAGTAACATGTTCAATTGACCTACCAATCTGTTCCTTACAATCTCAAATACAATTTCTCCCAAAAATTTTTCGATTATAATAAATTGGTGCAGTTATAATGGATCCAAGGTGCAAGAATGGGTGAAAAATGTTTAAATTCTCCCAAATGATAAGAATCTCAGCTATAAATTAAGTACAAAGTCTATCACGGGGAAACAGGTACCATTTTGTATAAGGAACGTTTTGAATTATTCTTTGAGCCTATGAGATCCTACTACAAAACGATCTGGCCAACATCTATGCATAGCTAGTTAACCACTAAATATCAAAATCCTCGCAGTCAATGTTAACAAAATTGAAAATGTGGGCATGAAAGAGTTAAAATATCAATTTTACAAGGTAACAATGAACAATAAAGATCTACAATGATTATTACATAATAGTAGCAGTTATTTCATGAAAATCTTGGAAAGAGTCTGCCCAGAATATTTACTTTTAGTTTTACCCCCAGGGGTGGGGGGAAACATAAATTTTGGGACAAAAAGTGACTGCTCGATCGGGTGAATTTTTCATTTAAAATCAAAACAATCATGAATGGCTTAACTTCTGCAGTGACTCTAACAAAAAAGATGAATAGCCTACTACAACCAAGTGATTAAAATATTGATTTTGCAAGGAAATATTAATAAAAAACATTGATAACTATTTTTTCATTATATCTGCTGATTGTATAAACTTGTTTAATGGTGGCATATGAAGAACTGTCCTCAAAATATTTTTTTGCTTTGACCCCCCCCCCCCCACCCCGCCCCCACTGCTACTCCCTGGGGGTGGGGTAAAACATAATTTTATGGGATGAAAAGTGACCCATGAACTTGCTCGGGTGGATTTTTTCATTTGAAACAACCAATGTATTCATAAAATGACAATGGTTTAATTTCTGCAGAGATTCGAAGAAAAATAACGAAGAGCTTAGACTACAAGTCCTTTTTGACTACAAGTCATTTTTGACTCAGGAGAGCTAAATCGGCTTTTCTAATTTTTGAGAGGCGATTGACATTGACGACCCTGCCTATTCCACACTACCCTACCTCGATAGCGCATGCGCGAATTTTTGGGCTTTCAATCAGGTCGCTTTTGAGTATATCGACTGCTTAGTGAAAAGGTTAATACGTTTGGTGCTCGGAGTGAGTCAATATTGCTATTCGCTGAACTTCAGTGGTGCAATAGTGAAGTCCATGTTCCAAGTTATATGATAGTTGAAGAAATAATGTAAATAATATCGTTTTAAATTTTAAAATATTTGATATGTCATAGTACACGCTACACAGCTGCAAAAGTTGATCAATACAGGGTACAAAGAATGTAAATTTTTCAATAGTACAGGGAGCGAGAAAGTAAGCTGATTATACAGACATACTATGTCCCGATCTCATGTATATTTACGTTGCAAACAGTGAACATAATACTAAAAAGGCCGCCTGTTGATGCTTTGAGGTGTCATCAATTGTTATTTAATCCAAATAAAGTAAACATTATTTAGTAGATTTAGACACGGGCTTTCAGGTCGTAAATGCATTTTAGTCATTAAATTAACAAGAACGCTAGATTATACACAAGACAAAATCGTATGGAATAACTTGCGATAAGCTAGTTATTAAGCTTGTTATTATGGTCTTACTAGTGGTTATTATTGAGTAATGGTACAGGTATTCGATATGGTATTGCAGCTTACACTTAAGTAATGGTACACGTATCCTTGGATTTTAGGCCCGAATACCGAGGTTTATTTTTTTAATTATCGTGTATTATTATTTTGTGTTAATATTAGTTAACCATATAACTATTGGCATGATATGATAACCTTGTTATATTAATATAGCGCATAGGCGTAGCCAGGGGGATGCGATGTGTGCGATCGCACCCCCCCTCCATAACCAATGAAAATAGAACCATTAGATAGAAGAAAAAAGTCTTAAAATGCTTTTTATTTGAAGCTTCTAGCTCGATTTTGAACGAATTTGCACCAATTTTTGTAAAATTCAAAACAAATCTTCAAAAACATTTTTTATGCGACGATCGCACCCCCCCCCCCCCCCCTCCCCCCGACTGAAAGCTGACTAGTAGTATTCTCAGAAATTTATTATCCGAAACGGATAACATCTGGCCACTCAGACAAACAATCGCAGACATAGGCTAAGCTTGTTTATTTAACAATTAGATTTGTTGACTTACCGATCCGTATTTCAATCTCCGGGAAGACGTTCTTTTCACTTTGTATTTGCGTGCAGTGTAATATAAGTTGATACTTTTGTTCAAAAATGTACTTTTAATGGCCATTTTATGCCTTTTATTTTCAAATTATGTTTTGTTTGGATGTCAGTGTGAAAAGTCAAGAAACGTCAACCCCGACTTTAAATTGTTTTAAAATGTTGGTTAATCACATATGGCAAATCACAAGGTTGATGATGTCAACGGACCATGATCGTGGAAGGCTATCAATATATCGCATAGAAAATAAATATAGCTAATTTTTCGCACTGATATGATGATGACTATTCTGGCGAATCGGGTAGATATTTCTCAGTTTTTTCCGGTAATAAAACTATTCATTTCTATCAATTTTACAAACGGGGTCCTTTGAATGCACATTAAAACTATAAAAGTATTTATTGGGCGTACATACTCGTTCTGTCATGTTACTTACATTTCATTTGCAAGTTGTCCACATATTAATCCGGCGTTTTGTTTAATCAAATTTCCTGCCCCTTGAGGTTTCCGACTGTAAAACTTAATATTTAATACTAACCAATGCATCAGTTAATATTTTCAGAATACAAATTTCCATTTTTATTTCTCTGATAGATAAAGTCTCATTTTGAATCTGTTCGTGTATTAAAGAGTATGCTTTTATAATGCCGTGGTCACATTTGCTCAGATTTTCAGCACCGGCGCCCGGCCGATGAGTATTTTGTTCAAAATTGTATTCAATTCTGAACAAAATACTCAATCGGCCGGGCGCCGTAATGAAAATCGGAACAAATGTTACCAAGTCATAACTGATGAAAAATCAAATGAGAACATGAACATGGATAATAGGGGAACTATTACGCTGCGTGCAGAGTCTAATTATAAACTACGAGAAGACGAAACTCTCATTAGAGAAGTGAAGTCGAACGAATGCAAAGGGTAGGGTACTATAGAAGGGGATCATATAAAAGCACGATCTATTTCACAACCCCTTTAACTTTTGTTCTTCAACTGTTGCCCTTTGTGCATTTCAAAAATAAAATATCTTAATCTGATTTGTTCCACCTTTCTTTTCGCTCAGTTCTGCACTATTATTTCCATATGTTGTTTAGGATTATGTCATTTGCGAAATAGCTGTAAGACATTATGAGAATGAATATGGGAGTTTCCACGATAATGTTGTTCACATGATTTTATACACATACCTGCATAACAATCGGAGACAGAAGTCTTAATATTGTCCAATAAAAAATGAGAATCTAACATTTAATGATAACAAAAGGATTAATTGCTACCCTGCGTGCAGAGTCTAGTTAAACTACAGACGAAGCTCTCTTTTAAGAAGTGAAGTCAAACGAATGCAAAGGGTAATTAATTGCTTAGTTCTCTTTGTTTTAGTCTTTGTTTTCTTAAATGCGGAAGTGTACCAACATCACCTAGATTATATAAGAGATCATCTAACAGTCTAAAATTGCTTTTAATTGCAAGTTAATGCATTCCGACCAAAATTTGTATACCTGTAATTTGGGGGGGGGGCGATGTTACATCACATAACTACAACGTTCATATAGAAATATACAATAAGCATGTCCGTATAAAAGCTAAAATTATAAAAACTCATTTCAAAGTCATTCTGTTCATGGAAGCGTCAAGTTATGAAAAACAATGCTAAACACTCAAACAAATCGACTTGATTACCTTTGAAAACTTCTTGAGAGGAAATGGACAAATGTATTTTTCTAACTCATTAGAACGTCTGTCTGATTGAAATACTATTTTTAAATACAAACATAAATGATTTAATCTTGGTCAGAAGTCTGAACATTGTCCAACAAAATAATAAGAATCTAACATTTATTGATTACAAAAGGATTAATTGCTATATAGTCTTTGTCTTAGTCTTTGTTTTTCTAACGGCGGAAGTGTACCAACATCACCTTGATTACAGAAGAGATCACCTAACAGTCTAAAATTGCTTTTAATTCCCGGGTTTTAATTACATTTTATGTATAGACTTTTTTGCCTCTATTCTCATTTTTTTTAAACCTGTTTCTGTTTGCTTATTTAACAATTGTGATAAATTATTCAGTTAGTGTCGAAACCAAAACAATTTTCTACATTATAGTCCCCTCCTCTTGCACTGACTAAATATTAAAATAAGCTAGTCTGATTGCGAATTTACAAATCCTGTAAAAGTAGCTTCAAACCGCCTTTTAATCAGAGAAAACAATAAGTTAATTCATCTGATTGCGAAAATACGAATCAATCTGATTATCTGATCTCCATGCTATTTGATTCGTGCATTATCTACAAGTCAGTCGGGCAAGGGTGAAATTATTTCATTTGAAAACAGAAATAAATATCAGAACCCCTCTAGCATAACTATTCGGAAGAAATTCATACAAAAAATAAGGTACACAACTGATGAAGGGTCGCACACAATGCACGCACCCCTCTCCTCCTCCTCCGTGTTTGCCCACACACGACCATATTTGACAATTTTTCTAAAAGCGTTTTCCCCGGGAATATAGGTGTAGCAGTTGCCAGAAGTCGCACAGCTTGGGAGTCAGGGTATCCTGATACGTGTTACTAGGGTATCAAATTGAAATAAAATAACGAAATTAAATATAAACACGTAAGTGATAAATGACTATTGGCTATCAGGATTAATGACTATCCGCTATTCAGAATAATTAAAATTGCGTGAACTACATGTAAAGAATCTTTCTATATAACCCCTTGAATGGTCTAATTCACTACCGTCCTCAAAAACCGATCATTTAAAATAGTTTGTTCAAAATACCATCATGCCACGACATTTTGTTCTTCACGATTTGCTGTAGAGGTGATATGACGTCGTATTTCTCTATTATTGTAAAAAAACTAATACCAGATCGATGTAGTCTTATATGACGTGTTGAATGTCAGATGTTTTTTGATGGTATCTGCTCCAGTGATTTTGCATTTAATCATGAAACGCTCATCACAAGACACCTCGAAACAAACATTATCCTCCTTGTGACAAGAGGAAAAATGTTTCACAATATGTTATGCCTTACGGCAAAGTAAAGATACATTTCCGGGACGACTATTTTGCATCTTAGGATTTTAGAAAAACAATTAATTCACAAAAGTACAGTTGAATAACATACTGGAAAACGTATCCACATATAACACGATGACAAGCAGTTTAAATAACAGTTTACTGGGGTTTTGTTACATATCAATGTAACATTTTCGAAGGGAAACTTACATGCTCCCTGTACGTTGACAGATTTACTGAAATGTATCGTGTATTGCATTAAGTTTTGCTTCACTGCGCCCACTATTATCTATCTTTGCCTATAGTGGTTTTTTGCCAACAATATTCTACAAACTGCTTGATGAATCAATTCTATGTCTGGTAGAACACTAAAAATAAATGTAAAATGTATTTTACGTTCAGAAATATGGAATTAAACCCACGTCCTCCATTTGCAACTTAGCTGTACCCTGTCTCCCTTTTAAACGTGGTCACGTGGTAGGGTAGTGTGTATTCAGTAAGTCTACAATTGCTTTTCATTTCGCTCCATTGGTTAAGTACCAGTCTATCTCCGTGAGCAGAATGTGGAGATTTTGATACATTGGCAAACATCCCGCTGTGTTCTATTGGCAGTTGTAAAAGAACGAACATTGCCAAAAATTGAAACGTTCGGTGTTTTGCTGTATAATCTTCCCGGAAGTAAAATTGAAAAATACGCATTTTATTTTTATTCTGAATATTCCAAGAATTACATGAATACCACAAAGCTTGGCACCTTTTCACAACCTTCTTAATGATATCATAGGTGAGTTTGTTTATTACAACCATACTTCGATTAGAGCCGCAGGTGAGCAAAACATTGTCAGATCCTACACGAAAAATTAAAAATGTGTAAACATGGACTTCTAAGAAGTCCATGATGTAAAGTGGGGGACAAAAATGAATCTCAACCATCAAAAGTTGTCACAATGAGTTAAATTCTAAGTTTTGTGTCTCAAACCCTCCCAAGCTGTAGACAAATAATTCCTATTCACTTTAGTAGCACAATAAATGAATCCAAAGCTTCATACCTGCAAATGATGGACAAATCCCTACCAAATCGAAAAAATGTTTTCATGAATCGCCATGTTTGTGATCCAAGGAGGATTGACTCTCAGAATGCAACATCAGGTAACCTTATTTACTCGTGACAGATGTCATGTTGCAGATGACACGTGTCATGTTGCATTCTGGGAGCCAATCCACATTGAGGCGTAATCGGGCTCCAAAATCACCTCAACATTTATAGAGTCGGCATTAACATGTGAATTGCACTTCAAATTTTTAAGTTCTTATTTGTCATTATGGACACAGATTCCACTATATCTGGACTTACTAGGACGGAGAAAATAGAGCACTGAATACACTGAGGTAAGAATTTATTACATGTGCGAGAGCATGTAATTTCCATAGCTTTTGTAATTCTTTATGTCCCCCACTGTAATGTTCTTTTTCGCAGGTCGTCCAAAGTTTCGATAGTATATTCTATAGTCTACTCGGCATAATTCTCTATATAATATACTGAATACTCTGTAGTGTATTGTAACCTAAAGATAACATAGGAGGGGAAGGCTTGGATGGCCCACTGTCTTACACTTAAGCTAGTACTGCCTGGGTAGTACTGCACTGGGTGGCAAGTGGCAACATAGGCCAAGGGAAAAGTATATTCAGTAAGCTGAATATAGAGGAGACTATACAGCTTACTATTACTTTTCTCTTGGCCTATGGGTGGCAATTTTGAAAAATCGCTGCCCTTTACGACACGTACATAACATGTATGCGATTTCGGTTGAAATCTGACATGTGCCTACTTTATCTTACACTTTCTTATGACAATTTGGCTAGTGAGCGACAATCGAATGTTGAAAATGGTGGCCATTTTATGTGTGTTGTTTTAAGATTTTTGATATTTAAATGAAAAAGTAGGAGAAGCATTTTCAAAAATGGCAGCCATGGTTGTTTTCGATGGGATTTGCTATGTTTTGGCATTGCTGTTGTCTTAGTTTGCAGCAACACAAGAAAGAATTATCAGCATATTTTACAATAATGGCACTATGGATTGTTATTTGGAAGATCACTGAAATAAACCAATAATCCAACTTATCAATCATTTTGTATATTTCAGCTGCAGCAGTAATTGAAGCATAACATGGCATTCCAGGGGCCAGTTGTTCAATTTTATGACAAACATGAATTACGACAGGTCCCGCTCCAAGACTTTTGGGCGAATCATACAGACGGAGCTACTGCCGAAGATATTTGTATCACAGTTGCCAAATATCTGAATATTGCACCATTACAGTCATTTCTGTTTGCATTACGTGAGCTTAGAATACAGGAAAACATTCATGAAATAGGCCAATGGTTGTCACCCCAAAGGAAGATTACTTCTCAGGATTATGATGGAAGAATATTTGAGTTTCGGTTCAGATTCCTGACGGCGAATGATGAATTTGTGTCGAGACTTTTCGAAAATGATCAAAGTGCATTCTCATATTTATTCAATCAGTGTCACTATGACTTTGTTCAAAATAGGCTGACTTTTCCTAAAAGTTTTGGAACTGATTTTAAAATTGGGATAGCTGTTCTAGATGCAGCACAATTCTATTTCTCAGAAGATCCAAAGCCAAAGCTGAACAGGTTAAAGCTAGAAAGATTTTTGTCAAAGGCGATTCTGGCAGAAGTGCCTCGTTTCAAAAAGGTTCGACTGAGTGGAACCTTTTGCCAAGAAGTGGAAAATCTTGTTAAAAAATATGGAGAAAACCCTCATGAGAAAAATGGAGTTTCAAACTGCAGAAGGTATGTAACAATACAAATATTTCATTCTGTAAAGGTGAATACCAATTGCCTTTTCACAAGATGATATTCCATGAAGTAACAAAACAAAAGGCTTCTTAGAATGTATTGTATCTTGAAATGTTCATTCAACCAGAAAAAAGTTTTGTAGGGGTTTTGCAAAGCTTACCTTTTTACATTTTGACCTGCATAAGCCTTTATTTTCATTTTGATACTATTCTAATAGTTTTTTACACGACTAAAATGAAAACTGAAAATTTGAAATTGATGAGGGTAATCAATTTAAGGTAGAACTTCACTGAATCGATTTTTTCTACAATTAAGATTTTCTTGAAACAAATCTAGGTGAAAGATAAATATTGATTTAAAATGAAATATGTGAAAATTAGAAATATTGACTTGACTGTTTGGGTTAATTCTAGAAACATTTTTGAATTTAACATGGGTTTCAATGAGAAAATGCTTTGTCATATAAAAAGATATCAAGAAAATGTATTGTGGGCAGTTAAAAATGAAAAGAATAGATTCTGCCAGGTTTCGAACCCACTCTCTCAAGGTTTAAAAACTTTACTCCCTGCCCAAAACCCAGCGCTTTGACCGATTGCACCAGGCAGCTTTATTCAAACAAGGTTAAAATTTTCACACAAACAAGTATCAATGCTTTATTCAGTTTTCGTTTTTAGCATTGGAGATGCACAAATTGACTGCACAATGGACAGTGAAGTTCTACCTAACTGAATAAATGAAATAGCCATACTCTGTTGTAAATACAATGTATAGAAAATGTGTATTTTCTTGATTGCATGCACTGTGTTCTGTTTCGTGGAAATTGATATACCATATGCCTGCTATGTGTGAATGTTTAATAAAATACACCTCGCTTACACTGATTTTGAAACAGGTTTTCTGTATATTGCAGGCAATACATTACGGCGTTATTGAAGAAATGTGCCAAGTACACAGCAGAGCAATTTAGGACTTGTGACAGAGTAATACACGTGGACCCGAATCACGAAAGACACCCTGGAATTTACTTCGAGTCCAACACATCTGGGGTATAGGCATTTTTTTATTGGCAGTCTTGTATGACACAAAGTATCAACAAGTTAAAACATTTTTAAATTGAAAATATTTTCCCCAAAAATTTAGACACTAACAAAGATGGCCATGGGATATTTGATTGAAAACAACATCGGATAAAAAGGGTAATTTTATCATCTAATCTTTAAGCACATCTATGTTTAGGATCAGACATCAATACTCCACCAGAATCCAAAATGATTTTCACAGTGATGAAGTCACATCGATGTTTGCTATTAAAAATTGCCAATATTCTGTATCAATCTCCCAATATGGCACATTGCAACAACACTTACTCTGTGCACTTAATGAGTTTTTAGGTTTTTTAAATGGCTTGGACATGTGATTATTTCCAGGAGGTTGAACTGGTTTGTAAGATAGAAGACTTGAGTGATATGGCTACAATAACACAGCGTACTCATGAAGCTTCAGACACAGCTAGTCAAAGTACAAGCAGTGCAGTCCAACGTACCACCAGTGGGTCCCATAGTGCTGCCAGTGAGGCTCATAGTGCAACAAGGTTGCTCCATAGTACCACCAGTTCAGCCCAGAGTGCCATAAGTGCAGATGAGCCTTGGGTTGTACAAATATTTCGTAACAATGGCGTCCCCAAGGTACAGTTTATGCAACCCATTCTATTAAAGCTGGCAGGCTGTTTTTCACACCACTTTGAATTTTTTCAAATTAAATGTTCCCACCTGCTGTTATGTTCTTTTCTATGTGAAAACAATTTCCAACATTTTCTCTACCGCAAAGTTTAATTGTATTTGTAAAATATCAAGGACTCTTTTATATCGTAACTTTGGGTACACATTTCTATGGGGCCTGCCTCCTCTCTTAGACATCTCTGTGAAATAAAACTACATGTGTCGTTTCTAAGATCATGAATGTACAAATAAAATATCGTTCATGAATTTTCTTTTTCAGTTTGTTGAGTTCCTTGATCAAGAAACTGCAGAGTCATTTCTGGCATTGATCGATGGACACCGCCGTCTATTGGTTGATTTTTACACTAGTATTTGTAATGTGATACAGCCACCGAGTTTGAAATTCCTGAGAGAAAACAAGTGCCACGGTCCCTATAGGTAGTTTAACATTTATTCCCCTCCAGAGGTTCAGTAAGAGTTTCTGACAACGAGCAAAATAAATGAAAAATGAAAATAAGTAGTATACAAAAAATGAAAGAAAGCAAGGCCAATTGTTGGATTCTATTTTCTTAGTATCACAGGGAATAGGCGATTTAAATGGAAATGATCAGAGGAAAAATATAAAATCCTTGAAGATTGACATTGGTAAATATATATGCTATACATTTCTGTATCTGCACTCTCTCACTACATTTACTCATGCAGATCTTGATATCCATTGTGAACAAGAATCATATCATGAGATAGTACATGTTCATATTGTATGTTCTTTTTATTTCATGCTTGTTATGCTTTCAAAATGACTGATTGTCCTTCGTTACTTTCAACCTCATTTTGAGTCAGTATATCATGGTTTAAAAGCTGCATTCTATGGGTTTCTAAAAATTTGTCACAAATCAAGCTATTATATGGTAATCACTCATTTGTTTTTACTGGTCTCAAAAATATTGTTTGATCTCTACAAATGAAAATTAAATTTAATGATAGTATTTATTAACGATTTATAATTATATTGCTTTTGTATTAATTTTTGCCTCACATTTTTCAATTTGTCTCACCTGTTTTTATTATATTATGTCATTTAACTTTTTTGTGGTTGGTGTTCGCAGTTGTTGTTCAGCATTTGGCATTCGTTACAAATGGTAGGTGTTGACATTTTGCCTTGTTGGCTAGACCCCTATCATATTCCTTGTCAAATGTTTTTCCAGACTAGACCCTAATCTGATAAAGGATTGCCTTATGGAACAAAGGTCCAAACACAAGCTGGAAACATTCATGGTCAAACAAAGAGCTACCCAATATGATGAATACAGGCTTTACTTCACTGTAAAGAATGAAGGAGTTAAAGATTCTATCATCCAAAGGAATCCACAGGGGAAGTTTCAGGTAAGTAGAATATACAAACAGCTACACATTGACACTGTATTTGGCTATACTTTGGCTGTATTTTTGGGCCTATTGGCTTCTATTTAATTTGTCAGTTTTTCAAGTGCCCCCAACATCTTCCTGTCTAACCTGTTCAACAACAAAAAAACTAAGGTTGTTTCAATTCATATTAAGGTTAATAATGGCTATTTCAATTTCAAGGTATAAAATGGTGAAATTTAATTTTCCTGATTAGAAATTGAATATTGGTTTTATATTGAGGGACAGTATTATATTTCCCTACCACTTAGCATTGGATACATTGGATTGGAATAAAAAATAAGCAAGAAAAATTAATGTCTATATATTCACTCTTTACATGTAGGTGAAGGCTGAAAACAATTCTGAACCTCAACCCACCTTTGAGAGTATAAGGGAACTGTTGGACCACTACAAGGAAAAGAAACACATTAAGCTGGTACATGCAGTGACCGCTGACTCTAATTCAACACCCAAAGGTCAGTACATTTGCAAAGTGTGGCTGAAAATAAAGCTGATACTTAATACACAATGCACAGATGGTCCTCAGAATGATTCTAAAAGGGATGGGAGCAACACCTCTTGGATTGGTCAATATTTATATTTTCATTTGACGGCATGTTTCTCCTCATATTCTGAACCAATTGAAATTGTTTTTGCCAATCACATATGCATTTGCATGTTCTTATTAGAACAAAGAAGTTTATTTGCTTGATTGCAATTCATTAATCAAAATTAATATAGAGTTTTCAAATAATTTACTTCAATTTTCAACAACCTAGGACACTCAACCAAATGGTAACAAAAGGCAAAAACAACTGGGAATTCGCAATGCCTTTGTGCTTTTATTTTGAAACAGAAAATAACATGGCTAGGTACAGATATTTTTCAAACAAATGACTTTCAACATCTTTTTCCTCATTTTTTATTTGTAAAATTTTAGGAGGCGCATCAAATTGCATTGAGGAGCATTTGGGTTTTATGAAATACATAGAGGTGCTGGGCCTCAGAGATTACAACGTAGGAAGAACACTGTTAACCATTACATGTACATCAATTGGTGTGACTTTGGTTTCAATTTATTTCAGCCCTGAAAGAGGCCCTGTTGTTACTGAAGACCAGGAATGTAGGTTGTGATCTCCCTGATGGTGAGCCTAAACCACCCGCCAAACAGATCACCATAAGTCTCCCAAACACTGTCTTTATAGGCTCTAGAATAATAGGTATGTGTTTTTGTAAAGCATACTTTAATTGGTGAACTAATGTACTGTATTTGTAGGCTCTAGAATAAAAGGTGATTTTATAACAAACAAAACCAAAACTGACATTGGAACCCCTACATGTACTTATTGATGCAATTCCATGAAATTAACAAATAGAATAGAAATATTATGCTTCTTGTCACATTAAATGTCATATTCAAGTCAATGAACAGTATTGAAAAGAAATTGATTGTTTAGGTCAAGGCTATTACACAGATGTCTATGAGGGAGCATGGCAAATGCCAAACCAAGAGAAACGCAAGGTTGCTGTGAAAAAACTGAAGCCAGAATGTGACCAATTGTTGCAGGTATGTGTAATATAAATTGTGATATACTTTTCAATATATAATGTTGGGCTTAGTACATGGGTAATCAGGCATGGTAATCGGACAAAATGGTTGGAGGGGGATTTCTTGCAGAATTGCCCACTCCCCCCCCCTCCATCCATTTTCTCCGATCACCGGGTGTGGTAATAATACTGGGCTGGGTAATTTGTTTTTTGGTATTCAGACATGACTCTATGGTTAGTATGTCCTCGATCTTTAAATGTTGCCCTTTGTTGTTTCTCAATCTCAATATATTTCAACAATAAGTAAAAATCCCTCATTGAAATATTTCAGTACCTATTACATGGAGCCCAAAAGCATGTCCAGTGGCAACACCCTGCCTTTATGACCATCAACACTCTTGTGTTAGCCCCATTCATGATTGTGATGGAGTATGGAGAGGGCACACTATGGGAATGGTTGCAGCAAGATAAGGACCTGATATCTAGGAAACAACATTACTTGATAGAGATTGCTATACAGATTGGGGAAGCATTGACATACCTAGTAAGTATAGTCTGTCAGTACAATATGTAAGTACAATGTGTAAGTTCTAGTGTATGTAGCTACACAGATTGGGGAAGCATTGACCTGCTTAGTATAGTCTGTTCATACAATATGTAAGTACAATGTGTAAGTACACTATGTGTACATACGTAGCTATTCAGATTGGGGAAGCATTGACCTACCTAGTAAGTATAGTTTGTTAGTACAATATGTAAGTACAATGTGTATGTAGCTATTCAGATTGGGGAAGCATTTACCTAACAATATGTAAGAACAATGTGTAAGTACTATTTGTGTATTTAGCTATTCAGATTGGGGAAGCAATATTGTAAGTACAATACATGTATGTTACTATTCAGATTGGGGAAGCATTGGCCTTCCTGGTAAATACAATGTGTATGTTCAATATGTAGCTATACAAATTGGGGAAATATTGATGTACCTGGTTAGAACAATACGTAACTATACAGATTGGGGACATATTGAAATATTTGGTAAGTACAATAGCAATATGTAGCTGTACAGATTGGGAAGCACTCACCTTCCTGGTGAGTACAATATCTACATACAATAAGAAGCTATATTGGATTGGAGAAATATTGACCTACCTTGTATGTACAATATCTAGTTATATAGATTGGAGAAATATTGACCTACCTTGTATGTACAATACCTAGTTATACAGATTGGAGAAATATTGACCTACCTGGTAATAAGTATAGTGTGTAAGTTTAAGGGGTAGCTATGCATACAGATGCATTGATCTACCTAGTGAGTACATATCGAGAGCAGAGTATATCCTGTATTGTACTTCAAATCATTCTATTACGTTTTTATTGTGTGATCCTCTGTATTGCTACTGAAAATGTCCCCTCCGTACCAATATTTTCTGTATTGCCACGGAGATGATCAATGGGGACAATCTCAGTAGCAATACAGATTGATACAGCACAAGAACTGACCAATCAGAAGGCTTCATTTTACAGATCATACTATAATACTGAAATTGAATATTCTTATAGCCCATGTATTTCATTTCTTGTTACAAGTATGTTGTGAAGTTTCTCTCTCATATTTTCATGTCTATTTTTCTTCAATGACTTGTGATATTGTAAATATTTTATTTGGAAATTTGAAATAAAAACGTTCATTTCTTGTAGAACAGCATGCAATCTGGATTCATACATGGAGCAGTACGCTGTAAGAATATTCTGGTGAAGAAGGCAGTGGAAGAGGGAATCACAGTGAAACTGATGGACCCAGGCTTGGCACACTATTACAATAGCCTATCTGCTGAGAAGTCAGTCAATGAAGAAAGGTCAGTTGAGTAATTGCATCTTTTAAATGCAAGGAGAATGCAGTTTATATGCATGATCTGCTCTTCTATCCTTAATTTGTATCGAAATACATCAATAACTTAAACATCTTAAGATACAGTATCCCTGATATTGCAGTGTTATTATGTTACCATCACAAATGGTGACATGTTGCTATAGTCGCCATTTATTGGCCAGTGTTTGGCAGTTGGGGACTATTACAGCATTCGGTGTCTGTAGCAAATGGTAGATGATGACATTTTGCATGTTAATGTCTTGTTTTAGATTACCATGGCTAGCACCTGAATATTACCTTGATGACCTTGGACTTCCCAGTGAAAAGTCGGATGTTTATTCACTGGGAATGACTCTTGTAGAATGTGCACATAGTGGACATAAACCATTGCCACCAGATTACAACATTGCCAAGGTGAATCTCACTCACTTAATGATTTTCCATACATATCTTGGAAGTTGAAATGATGAACATATTCATGTTAAGTCTATATTTTTAAAGATAACAACATTTAATCAATATGCACAGAAATGTACAGTCACATACATAGTTGACTCGTAGCAATATTTACTTGGAATCACTTGATTCAACCTGGAGTCTGCTGTTATTAAGTAGCATGTATTTTGGACAAGTTTACTCACCAATAGACATGAGGGATAAGAGAGAATAAAGGAAAAAGGAATGATTAGGGATAGAAAATGTAGAAAGATTCCTATCAATCCTAATCTTAATTTCCGGATTTTCCAGAAATTGACTGTTTTGGAAATAGACATGACATGGAATGATGAGAAAAAGGAATATTGAAAAGTTATGACAATTTCAAGCATAATCTCAACCTTTGTGTGCTTTCTAGTCAAATGATAAACTATTAATTAATGATATTTTGTTATTCTCATTTTAGATGAAACTTCTTGGAGAACAGGGAGTTCTTTCAATAATAAACGCGCCTGGAGTCAATCCAAAGAACTTTTATGAGGAAATTGTAGTAAAATGTCTTCACAGGAAACCAGAAGAGCGTTGTGTTGGTCATGACGTTGCCAGGGATTCAAACCAGAAACTGCATGAGTTTAGACATTATCAACAAGACGCACTGTCGCTACAAGAAGAGCTAAATAGACACGGAGCTGGTTTTGAAGTGATACCCGCAGGTCTTAATCCAGTTGAGACACAGTATTCAGTGCGACTTCCAAAAAGATCTCCAAATTTTCCTAGTGTGTCGACTAATGATAGCCAAGCTCCTTTACTCTCCCCTGGCACTCCAAGTTCTGATGGAACATTTGGTGGTTTACGAAATCCTGGTCTGGTAGATCATGACCACGAAGTTGAACCCATAAGAGTAGAGCCAGCACTCAGCCAACCCATTTACGAATTTGACAAGACACATAAGATTTTAGGACAAGTAAATATCATTAATTAATTTTTGGCTCAGGAATCAATGCATTTTTGAACAAGGGTGACAATTTAGATTGAGTTTGAATAACAAAACTTCTGTTTTCTTTAAATCAAAAAGTTGAACTGATGAATTATTTGCAAAGTAAAGAAATACTTTTTTTATTATAAACAGGGCTACTATGGTGTTGTCATGTTGGGCAGGCTTCGCAATAAGCAGGATCCAACAAAATGGCAACGTTGTGCAATAAAACAGTTGAAGGTATATAATAAGTATTTTCTTCTATTACACTAATGCCTCGGTCATATTTATGCCAGCCAGGAGGTACATGTAGGAATCTGCCAGCTTCTCAGTGCCAAAGGTGCTTGTTACCAAATTTTTCAAACCCACTCCGTGATTATGTGCACATATGTAAAATTTACCCTTATGTAAACATAAATTATGGCTGCCCCTTTAAAAATGATGTGAATTCTTCAGCCTAATTCTTAGAATGTACTTGAGGATCACTACATGCAATAATTGGTGCTTACTCAGAGATACGTCAGTGACTCAGGGATGTGATGAAATCTCTTCCAAGCATGGTTTTATTAATATACTCATTAGATAGGCCTACTTAGGAGAACTAAAGGTGATAAAAAGAATATAATTTATATCCCCTAGCTGATTCATTCCATTTGGTTATGAGAATCATATTTTGTGTGTAGTGATTTTGCGACTCCTTTGAGTTGCCGATTTTAGGTTTGATTTTCTTGTTATCTTTTAGAGTGACAAATTGAAGCCGTTGGGTCAGAAAGAACAGGCAAAAGAACTTGAGGACTTCAGGAATGAAATCAAACTTCAGAGTAGTCTTCATCATCCAAATATAGTACAAACATATGACTCAACTGAGACCCGAGATGGAAGTAGGTTCACCAGTTTAAATATTCATTATTTCTTGAAACCAGTTTCATTATTGAGTAGCCCTTTGTATTGTTGAAATTGAAATTTCATTGTAAAATTCCAGATATGGAAATGGGTTCAGCAATAATGTTTTCTTTGTTAAAAAGGAATTTCATTAAAGGGGCTTAGACTCAGCCCTTTAAATTACGAATACTGGCAATGTTGCTGTTGTTCATTTTAACTTGAATATTAATTTTTTTAACCTTAATCTTGACACATTTCTAGGAATGGTATACAGTTGAAACTTTGCATGTTGGTCCATATGGGATTTGTTTTTGCACAATTATATTTTTTCTGGAACAAAAGTTTATGTTTGTGATATTGCCTATGGTCTAATATCACATTCTTTAACCTTTTTTAGGTTTAATCCTGATGTTAGAATATGTTGAGAATGGAAGTCTTGAGAAATACATTAAGAAAGCAGACCCTGGTATAATTATAAGACTAGCTCAGGAAATAACAGAGGTAAAATAAAAACAGTGATATTTATAGGGCAGACTTGAAGCTGAACCATACAGATGTTCAGGTAGCTAAGGAAATGAAAGAGTGGGAGGGAGGGGAAAGGAAGGCTTGGGGAGGGAGAAAGAAAGAGACCGAGAAATTCGAAATAATCATTTTTGCCCATATGATAGATCAAAGGGGATAGCAAAGTGTAACCAATACTGTATTGTAAAATGTACGTTTTTTCCATTTAACTGTATTGTAATTGTATTTTGCAATTGCTTTGACATGTTTTTTCTTCTCTGAAATAAAAAAAAGTAAGTAAAAAAAAGTTATGATGGTCATTTGAAACTATTACTATATATACAGTATCAGCAACTGTGCTTATAGTTAATGAATTAACATTGCAAAAAATGAAAGGACCAAACAATAATATATCTGATGTATCTTCCTCAGGGGATGATCTATCTTCACAGTAAGAATATAGTGCACAGAGACCTGGCAGCCAGAAATGTGCTCATTACATTTGACCACCATGCCAAAATCAGTGACTTTGGTCTTACTCGTTCGATGACACCAGATAAAGACTACTACAAAGTTCAAACAAAGAGAAATTTACCAATATACTGGTAAGATGAAGCCTCTTTAGTGATTAGGCCTAATTATATGTGTATTTTAGTACTTCATTTTTATGTCACCATCAGAAGTGGTAAGTCTCAAGATTTTTCGCAGCAGGTGTTTGGCGTCTGTAACACCATTCAGCATTGTAACTTAACAGCATTCGGCAGTCAGCATCTGTATCAAATTGCAGGTGGTTACACTTTGCATGTTAATGCCTTTATTGCAGTACATTACATTTACACTATATAAATTGTTGACCTCTCCAGAGGTCAACCAGCAAAATGGTATACCGAGAGTATTTACACTGAGGTACTTACAATAAACATAGTGTAACTCATGATACACATTGAGTCCAACATAAACAAGTGTCAAAATGTTTACTTTTCAGGTACGGACCAGAATTTTTTCATTTCTCTGGGGAAAATGCCAAAGTTGGACGAGAGGTAGATGTTTGGAGCTTTGGGGTCACACTATGGGAGATGTACTGGTATAACTTTGGCCAAACCAGCACCCCACCAGTTCATCTTGGCCCATCAAGGTACAGTACATGTATTTCCTTGAGCCTTAAAATGGCCCTAGGTCATATAAAAACATATAGACATATATATAGATTCCTATTGAATTGAATGGCTTTGATACACCCATTACACTGTACGTGTATTTTGTCATAAGTTGTTTTTGTTCTGAATTGACCCAATACAACAGTTTTCTCCCCAACCTTCAATATACATGGCTAATATTAACACTGATTAAAGGATCAATATCACATACATGTTAAATTAATTGTATCATTCTTTTCAGGGAATCTATCAAACAGAATAATCTGGCTGGAAAAACTGTATATGAGGCTAACATGTATTTAGAAAACATACTGACAAAGAAACTTAGATTACCTTGTATGACCCCAAATGGCAAATCAATCCCTGTGAATGTGTATGCTATCATGATGGAATGCTGGAATAACGAGTGGGCTAAAAGAATAACATTTGATCAAGTGAGAACTAAACTAGCTGCTCTTTAAACAGTACGTTGTCCTACTGTATACAGTACTCTGGGTGAATTGTATACCTCCCAGTTTGCGTGTTAACATTATTTACACTTAAGTATATTTTTTGCTAGTCAATAAATGATCCCATGAATCAACTGGATATCTCCCAAAGTCAGTGAATACATAAATGTTGATTCCAATAAAAGTGTATACCTAAGTTTACAAAATGGACACAAATTGTATGCCTCTTCAGTTCACAAATTTTAGTATACAATGTATTAGATTGACTCCCAAAATCCTCAAAATGAAAATTGATACTGAATACCAAAAACTGTTGAATATCAATTTTGGTTTGACATCAAGAACCTTTGATCAACAATATATATGCTAACAATGGAAGAATTTGAATTTTTAGAAATCAGTATTCGATTTATTATTAATTATACAGACTTTCTTGACTTGTATTCCTGCTAATTATCCCAACAAACAAAGTTCATTTGGAATACATGTATATTAAAATTCTACTTGAAAATAATTTTACTCAAAATCAAAGGTTATCCTATAAATATTTGAAATAAAATATCATAAATTACTTCAGATTTATGAATGATTTGTTTGTTGGGATTGTCTACTCCCAGGTGTTGCCGTTTTGTAGTATTACTGTTCTTTAAAGCTTCAGTTTTATGACGACATAATTTTTTTCTTTTCACAACCTTTATTTTACTAAACAGGACGTTTCGGATCCTGTTTGGATCCTTTTTCAACTGTATACATAGGTTATAATAACACATAATATCGTTTTTTATTTAATTGTTTTGTAGCGCTTTAGTTCAGTTTTTATACAGTTGAAAAAGGATCCAGACAGGATCCGAAACGTCCTGTTTAGTAAAATAAAGGTTGTGAAAAGAAGAAAAAAATGTTTTTGTGATTTGATAATCCACGCTGAAGAACATGTTTAAGCATACATGCATTGTTATAGCAACCATATTTTGTGGCTGGCATTTTAGTATCTGTATCAAATGGTTACACTTTTCTTTTTTCAACCAGGTGATGACATTTTGTCATCTATTGAAATCCTATGTGAGGTTAATTAAGTCAAGGAAGATCAGTGTATTAACAATTCGATATTTAGATGTACTACATGTTACATGTATAAAATAAGTCATTGTTGCAGTCCTTTCAATATGACAAACCAATGTCATATCACAACTGATTACTTGACAAGTTGATTAGTTGCAATGGCATATTGTCGTAGCAGTTCGTTCGGTGCTTCTTGCCCATCTCTGCTAAATGTATTCATTCCCGGGGATCATATTGGTATTTCACTGAGTACATACTGTGATGTGTATGTATTCCATACCTGGTGCGGTTTTCAAATTAACCAGGGAAATATTCCATATCCAGGTGAACATATTTCATACACGCTCCAGCGAAGATCGATATATCCGCTGAAGCCGTTCTCCGGGGCATACGATGGGTATCCCGCCCAGAGAATTCCAAAACTATTTCAGCATATGGGATCCATTCTTATTATTTCAAACCGCCTCATGTATGAATACAACAGTTTTACACGGTTGTTTTTGATACAGGAGTATCCCTTGCAGGCCCGTAGCCAGGATTTGCCAAGGGGGGGTTCACTTTTCAAAAATTTCCAGGGGGTTTCACATTTGACAATTTTGGCAGAAATTAGGCTAAAATCACTAGAGAAGTGCTCACAATGGTCAAAAACTGCATGATTTTGAAAGAATTTTTGGCCAGGTGGGGGTTCGCCCGAACCCTGCGAACCCCCCCCCCCCCCTGGCTACGGGCCTGCCTTGTGATAATACACATGATCTTTGTACATGTAAGTTACAATGGCATATTTCCGTAGCAGTTCGTTCGGAGCGTTCTTACTTACCTCTGCTAAATCTGTTTATTCCCAGGGATCATCGTGTGGGAAATACCATCATTTATTCAAATTGAAGATTGATGGAACAACTTTTATAAGAAATATCCATTTATGTTCATGTAGAGTATAGATATGGCCGTGAGAGTCGTACATGTAAAATTATTAATATAAAATTAATATAAATAAATATTGAGCCAATTAACACAAAACAAAATACCTTGGAAAATAATGGCTAATTTAAGTTAATTAGCTACAAGAGTTTACACTTTGACATAACTGTTAATTAGCTCAATTGGATAAATTATAATACCATCTCCAACTCATCTTCTTGGGCGAAAATAAATCTCCAACTGGTGGTGTAAGCTGGGGAAGGAGGTGAGGGAAAAGAATCGAAATGTATAACTTACATTGATGTTAATGGATTTTGTACGCACCTAGGGAGAAAACCCTCCAACTACAATCCTATCGATATCTCGTCTGAAGTCTCATCTCGTACTCTCGAGATCTGAAGCTTGATGTTTCGTTCAGTGTAACTTACCAGAAACATTTACCTGGGATAACCGGGGAAAGGTCTTCTTAGGGCTTGTTCATACCTAAACCTTAACCGACTCTCACATTGCCATAAATGAAATTATTGTCAATAATTTGAATTTATGTTCATGTAGAGTATAGATATGGCCGTGAGAGTCGTACATGTAAAATTATTAATATAAAATTAATATAAATAAATATTGAGCCAATTAACACAAAACAAAATACCTTGGAAAATAATGGCTAATTTAAGTTAATTAGCTACAAGAGTTTACACTTTGACATAACTGTTAATTAGCTCAATTGGATAAATTATAATACCATCTCCAACTCATCTTCTTGGGCGAAAATAAGGCCATGCGCGATCTCTCGCGAGAGCCCAAAAGAAAAGAAGATTAATTAGAAAGTAGTTAAATCATTCATTGATACACACAAATCGATACATGAATACCAAAATATAAGAACATCATAGAAATGAACTAAAGTAAATCCGCAAATTCTGAAATAAGGATGGACAAATTAATGTAATGTAATGTAATATGCTGTCAATCTCAGGTAAGATAAAGGAATTAGAATTGAATGAAAATTTTTGAATTCAGAAAGTGCGGGTTTATCTCAATTAAATTTCTAGTACATCATGAAGAAAAAACAGTAGCTACTTGAAATTTGCATGCTCGACACCTGTTTGAGCCGACTTTGGGGTTTACATGAAAAAAAAATACTCGACACCTGTCTGAGCAGCTTTGGGGCTTTAATGAAAAATGCATACTAGACACCAGTATGAGTTTATAAATGTCTACCTAATATATTTTTTAATGTATGTATGTATGTCATCTCCCAATCTTTTGATAGTATAGTCATCAAGTCCAAGATTTGTGGCCCATGTAGCTCCGCCTATCCGCAAACTGTGGCATTTATAGAAGGTAGGATCTACCTGACATTGAACAAAGAGTTTGTGAAGAAAATTGTTAAATACAGAAGTCTTCACTGGAGCATCTCTATAAATGAAAAGAGGACCTGATTTAAAGGACCATATGTTCAGGTACAACTTCATATGTAATACTGGACAACAAGATGGTAATTGAGAAATAATTGATATCGTAGCAGGAGATGAGCTATGTTTAAAATGTGAAAAAGTAATAATGAAAAAGGCTTCATCGGGAGAGAATTTAATACTTTCTAACTGTAAGTTGTGTCCTGCGGAAGTACTTGTCAACTCACTACTTCTTAGTAAGCCAAAAAGGCTGTAGATAACATAGCTCTGTACAAGACTTGAGCAAAAGGGTCAAAATCTACTTCAGAAGTTTTAGAAACCATTTGTTTTAACAAGGCTGTGTTGATTGGCAATCTAGTGTCTATGCTAGGATTTTGATTACAAAAACCGGAAACTATTTGAGAGACTACATAAGAAGTAGTGGGATCCTTGAAATTGTTAATTGTGAAAATATGATAAATATGATATACCAGACAGAACTGACTTGAATGAATTAGGGGCATGATTCTTTAAACGAAGATGTGCTGCAAAAAGGCTAGCAGAGGCTGGGGTTAGAGGAAATTCACCTATACCTGTCTGGGAGTTGAACTGTACTAATAAATCATATGACTTTCTGGTAGATGGGGCTTGGGCAGCTTGAAGTGCTTCTAAAAGATAAAAAATAACATAAATTGTTTCTAGATAAAGCGTCAGCAGCAGAATTATGAATACCAGCAATGTGTTCACTTTGAACATGATATTGTTTAAGAGACATTTTAATATATAGGAAGTAAGAGTTGCATGGACGTTTGATTGCTGGTAGAAAATTTATTTCGGTATGTTCACTACTGCTTCATTGTCAGAATGCAGGATAACTGTGTGTCCAGACATAAGTTTTGCCTATGTAAGTATAGCAGTAACAATAGGAAATAATTCGAGAATATTGATGTCCAATTCTTTCCATTCTGATGGACATTCCCCTTTAAACCAAATATTATTGCAAACGGCTCCATAGCCTATCGTAGTAGAAGCATCGGTAAAAGATGCAATTGTTCTCTTGTCTCTTGTTCTTCTGTAAGGAAAATAGATTTCCCATTAAAGGGAATTAGAAACTATTTCCACAATAATAAATCCTGCATAGATGGAGTGTTGATTAAGATTTTATAATGTAGCTCCTTCATTTTTTAGATAGATGAATAGATATTGAAATAAATGATCTACCGAAAGGAATCACACAACAACAGTAGCTAAGGAATCCTATAGCAGATAAAAGTTCTCTTTTTGAGACTTTCTTTGGTTTTGGCTTAATGGTAAAGGGGATGATGTTACATAAAGTGTCAATGATTGTTTTGCCATTTCCATGAGCAAACAAGCTTCTAATAGTCTTACACAAGAAGCAACCTTTTCCTAAATGTTTTATAATATCTATGGCTTGTTGTACGGTTGCATATTTAACTGTAGAAGTTTCGTCTGGGATAGTATCATTATGGATTGGCCTCTGGGATGTGATAAGTTGTGAATAACACAGAATTCACCTGGAGATTTTTAGGAACGAGAAATAAGGGTGAAATAATATCAAACATATGTCAAATGGTGGCTGGTCAAAAGGTCCAAGTATTCTACCAGCTTTAAGCTCTTTGTTTAAATTTTTTGAGAGCTTCTGGGTTCTTAGAAATGATGACAAATTATCATGAGTAATGTTCTGGCAAATCAGAGTGAGGAAATTTAAATCCGTACTAGAAACCATGAACTGTTTCTTCTTGATGTTCATAGCCTTCAAGCCAATATCTGAGTCTTTCAGGTTTAACTGGAGTAACAACTTGTGTTGACATAAGTTCACTCGAAGGGTTTTTTGGAGTCTCCAGTACCTGAGCGCTTTTTGTTGGGGAATTGGGCTTGCCTGCCGTTGTTGCGGGAGTAACATTTTGCAAGTTGGGCAGGTGTGGTTAAAGGGACAAGGGGATATATATTTCAAGAGGTGAGGGGTTTGATCATGAAATCTTTGGGTATAGACAGCAATAAATATACTGAATGCTCGGACCCATTCTGGAAATGAAAGGATTTTCCCTTCTTTGAAGGGTTTAAATTCAAATGTCTTGATTCAAAAGAATTGTCAGATTACATCTCACAGAGGACATAATCATTGTTTATGTCTTCTTCAATACAATCATGAATCAATACATGAATACCAAAATATAAGAACATCATAGAAATGAATTAAAGTAAATCCGCAAAATCTGAAATATGGACAAATTAATGTAATGTAATATGTTGAAAAGTGGGAATTGGATTCATTGAAGCTACTGACACCTGTCCTTGTAGCATGGCATTTGTGTTGGGAATTAATCCATAAGCTGTAGAGACGGGTTGGGAATTATGAAAAGATGAAAGGTTAGTAGAGACTGGAGGGATGAAAGGGTAGGGTTGGATATTAGCGCTTGATGCAAAAGATGGAATAGGGCGAGTAATAGATGCTGTGGGTCTATTTAGAGAGAATGAAATGTTGGGTTGGAATGGAAGATGTAGTGGAATAAGAAGGGAAAGGGGATAAGGGAAAAATTGTTGTAAAGTTGCCTATAATTAAAGTGGGCATAGACTTGGCTGCAGTCAGGGTATTAGAAGTGTGATACTCTTCTATAGTAATACTTGGGTTAGGTCCTTCAGTTTCAGACATTTGCAGTGAAATAATTAGTAGTTATATAGAGGGTAAGCAACTTCAAGACATAAAAACATTTAGATAAATATAAATAGAAGCACATGCTCCATGTTAGATGTATATAAATATGATGCCCATAAGGCTAATCATAATAAATATGATTTAGAATACACTGCATAAATAAATGCATATGATATATAAAGATTATGAATTATCATAATATAAATATGATGCCCATAAGGCTAATCATAATAAATATGATTTAGAATACACTGCATAAATAAATGCATATGATATATAAAGATTATGAATTATCATAATATAAATATGATGCCCATAAGGCTAATCATAATAAATGCCCATAAGGCTAATCATAATAAATATGATTTAGAAAACACTGCATAAATAAATGCATATGATATATAAAAATAAATTATCATAATATAAATATGATAACCTTTAAGAATAAAGGTAAAGTATACAATGCATGAATAAATGCATATGATATATAAAATAATATGAATTATCATAATATAAATATGATAACCTTTAAGAATAAAGGTAAAGTATACAATGCATGAAAAAATGCATATGAAATATAAAATAATATGAATTTTATCATAATATAAATATGATAACATATCATGTCTAAAGGTATAGTATACACTGCATGAATAAATGCAGATGATATACAAAAAAATATATATTTATCATAATATAAACATGATAAAATATAAGTAAATAGGAAACTAAATTTCCTAATATAAGTAAAGTACTTATGAAGGAAAACTAAGTGAATAAACTATTGTGAATGGTTAACGACTCTCTGGCTTATGTTTGGTTAGAGAAGAGTAGCCGTCTCTTCTAATGTTAAGTCTAATTATTATTACCTAATAAATGTAATCAAGAAATCTCAGGACTGCGCCTTTCCAGGACTTGACGAAACGCTTTTCCCTTTTTCATTGAGATGTATGGGATCGTAGGAGTCATCTATCAAAAATTGACCATTGATTCTATATTGGGTGGTATGTGGGTGATGTAGGAACAAAAGTCTATTGCCCTTATGATGATGAATATCATAAAACAATTTGAAATTGGTAGATAAAATATTGAATTATATTGAATGCATTCTGAAGCAGTATTGATCGAGGATTTGAAAGGATGCCATGAGCGTTGAAATAGTTATCCAATGTAAAAGGCTTTTAATGAAGGATGTATATCTAAATATTGTTCAGCCAAAGTGATGAGATTTTTGGAACAAAGGTAGATGATCTATGAACCAGATCATTTTTTCCTAGCTGTAATATAGCCATATCTGGATAGGGATTTTTATATTTTACATCATCTTGAAATTGTTTAATTGTATATACAATGGTGGTATTATAGTTAACTATGTCTTCCTTTAATTTAAAGTCAAATTGGTTAGATTCTTCTATTTTTCGAACAAAACTTGGGCCTATAATGCTGACCCTAATAACATTAGGCATCTCTAATTGTCTTGTATAATGGGAGAAGAAAGGTAAGGATATTATTGACTCCTGTCTTATCCTCAGAGTAAAGTTTATTATGTGCAATAAGGTGTCAGAAATATAGAAGAAAAGGAATAATTATAGCTCTCTCAAGAGATAAATATATATCAAGTAATAAAATGATATCTGTACCTAATGGTACTATGAATAATCCCAATAACAACCAGAAATCTCTGGAATGGGATAATAAATAGAATAGATATATTTAATTAATAGCCTACAAGGTTACTTACACTTGTAAATAAATGAAATATCTATTATTAGATTGGATGGAGTCTATTGAACGTAACTTGAGGACATGTATGTGACTTACTCAGGTCCAAACCTTTTCTATATTCCGGCTTTGAGTAGAAAGATTAGCTGCATTGGTGTTGTAAATATTGTAAATCAATGTGTCACACGCACAGGAAATACGGCATAATAATATGAAATATACCTTTATGTATAGATTTGAGAAACATCAGCACACATCTCCGTCTGAATCTATTGTAATATTTGATTTCTTAAGCGAGAATAATTTCAAAGTTTCCTACATTATTGACGTCTGGAACCGGAAGCCACTTTTAGCTACAGCGAGAAAATTTAACCATGTGTCAAACTTCGAAAAGAAATTTTGAAATATCTAAATCCAGACAGGCAACGCTTCATCCTAAATATAATTAATATTCTTAAATATTTATAAAATTTATCAAAATAATTTCTAGGTGCGTGTAGCAATTTTTACATACGAAATACGAGTACATACGAAATAAATGAAGTTACATCTAGCTGTAAGGTAGAGACTCGAGTAATATGTGACGTGTCCATATTCATCAATAAATTAATTCTTTTGTATAAATTCAAGTTTTAAACCATATGTACGAGATATCAATTGAATACTTCAAACATAATACTACAAAGTCATAAAGACAAAAGATAAAACGTGTTTGAAATTTTTTTTTTTTGAACATTTTTAAACTGGCGTTTTTTGTGTGAAATATTACGATAAAACTTTCACAAAACGATTCAGCGATAGATAAATGTATATACAAGAGATAAATGTCGATAAAAAGAATCGAAATGTATAACTTACATTGATGTTAATGGATTTTGTACGCACCTAGGGAGAAAACCCTCCAACTACAATCCTATCGATATCTCGTCTGAAGTCTCATCTCGTACTCTCGAGATCTGAAGCTTGATGTTTCGTTCAGTGTAACTTACCAGAAACATTTACCTGGGATAACCGGGGAAAGGTCTTCTTAGGGCTTGTTCATACCTAAACCTTAACCGACTCTCACATTGCCATAAATGAAATTATTGTCAATAATTTGAATTTTGACAAAGCAACATTATTGAGCTAGTAGAAATTCCCGGGAAATTAATTATCAGAAAGAGAGAAGGCACGATAGCACTGAACGAGTTGCTGACTGAGATTGATGTTTTTAAACTTGTTGTAAATCCGTTGTATTCATTCATGTTGTAAAATTACTATGATTTTACTTTTCAAGAAACATATTATCAAATATAAACGTGCCATATTTTAGGATAGAATTTACTTTCATGTACATTAAATGTATACACTTTGTATCGTATTTTTTCTTTGTCACTCAAGGAAAGTTGTACTTGGTTAATTCATGTATACTTGTTTTTATTATGTCACTAACACAAGCGGTTGGTGACGTATTGTGTATGTGACATATTGCATGTTAATGCCTTATTTCAGTGATTTCGGAAGACGTCTTGTCTTGTTTATTCTTTTTCATGCTTTGCTATACAGAGATAAATATAAAAAGTCCATATTATTTTTAAAATGAGAATTGTATTTCATGTTTGTTATTTTGAATTGGGGTGACGTTGATTACGTTAATGCCATACTGTATCCTATCGTGGAACTGTAAACTATCTAGGACACACCCTGTAAATATTTTTCATCATAACTAACATTATTTCAAAATGTTACTATTTGACAGTTTATATATACACAGCGTTATCGCTTAGATAAAAAAAACATGTAGTGTTTCGGCTAAATGATTAATTGCATGCAACATGCTGTGTATAATTTATGAAAGATACATATAGTAGCATGTGGATAACAGGAAGTTTTATCATACGATGCAACACCATCTTCCATTATCGCTCTTCCACTTTGGTGCAAAGCTTTCTCCATTTGATTGACCATCTTTAAAATCGTATTCAATCACTCCACATAATTTGCGCACCTCTTCCGTTTTAGCTATTTCTGGCAATACCAAAATTGTTCTGATCTCGCCAGATTTATAGTCGTTTCTGTCTGGAAAAGTGGACACACCCTGAGATGGCCAATGCGACGTCATTTCCATGTTTTCGTATGCTCTCTTTTTAATTTCCATGTCTGAAACAGTTGACCAAATCGCCGGCGTCATGGTAACGAATACCGTGTATCTCCAGCGATTCGGCGATCGACGTCCCTCTTTGGCGTACGCGTTTGCGTGGATAGTACGTGAATCCCATAGAACGATTCCACCTTTTGGACATGGTACACGTTTTACCTGGCAACCCTTTTCTTTGAACCAGTCGACCATTTCTGTCTCTCTCAAACGGCAAAAGTCGCTGGCATTGCTGAGTTTCACCGTTTCAGGAAAACGTTGATAAAATTCTGAGTGGAACTTGTGTGACCCTTCCAAAACCTGTAGGCACCAGTCATCTTCCAGAACTTCTTCTAAGTTGACACCCCCTTGATAGCCATGTAAACCGGTTTTTTGTTCTGATTGGTCGGTATGCAACCAATGAGAACCAGGATTATCAAATCGGGTGATCCCATCTTCTGGGGGTCGGCCAATCGATACCCCATCTATACTCGACAGTAACTTTTCAGTGCCCCACAGAGCTTCAAAAACAGGCTTAGATTTCACACGAATCTTCCAGGTTTGTTCGAGATGACCAATTCTGTATGACTGAATGATTGACTTCATAGAATACGGCCATCGCCCATTTGGCAGTAAACCCGCTATCCACGATCGGTAGCTGCTAGAGTACTCGTTACATTCTGTTTCCGTTAGGATTCCAGGCACGACCGCCCAACCAAACTCGTCTAGGTCTGCCTTTACTTTGGCGCTGAAAATCAATATAATTATTTTGGTATTATTACATATAAGAGTAGAGTACTAAAATAGTTTTTGAACTGGCGTGATTCGACACGATTAATACATGTATATTCGTTTCTTGTATACAAAATTGAATCATGGGCTATGAACGTTGGCCTTGTGCACCGTCAAAGTGCTTCCATAAAATAACGCGTACTCGTACTTTGGGGGTTTCAGTTCATTTTACAGTCAAAGCATGTATAATACATGTCAAATGAGCAATGGTCAAGTGCATATCCATGTACAGTACCTGCATTTTAATGATTCTTTAACAAGAATTGAATTATAATCGAGAAGAGGGAGTAATGTCTACCAAAATGGTAAGAAAAGATGTGAGGGAAATTGTGAATAATTGAAAATTGGGCCACAATGGATACATGAAATGAAAAAAGACAAATGAAAATACTGATGGCTTCATCAATTTATAAATGGTTTGAGTTGCATTTGGGTTGCTATCGAAAAATTCCAGGAGAACAGTATCCAAATAAGAATTGCAACGTGGAGAGACATTAACACGTAGTCAAATGGGGGGGGGGGGAGTTAGGGTTGCCAAACATTTGAAGGGGAGTGAAAATTAACGGACGCCTCCTGATCGTTCCACTTAGTTGAATGTGTGGCAAACTATTTTAACTGGAAAACGGAAAACTGTAAGACTTACGTAATATTATTCTATTCCGTGAAAATATTTTGACGTCTTATTTAAAGTTTTGTGCGTTTCTCAGTCTCTAAACGTTTGGTTCAAGTCTTTTTAAGCCCCTTTAATGGGTGGAATGCAATCAGCATCAATCTCTTCCAAGCTTGGCGGAAGATTCAAGGGAGTAGTGGAACAGGAGTGGTGTTCCATATAAGTGAAAGTGAACACACGTTTTGTTTAGTTCTGCATTAGTAGCCAATCAACATATAGGCTTACATTTTACGCGACGTATTTTATCCTAACACATAACTTCCATGCATGTATATCATGTCATTATTCTTATGTGTTTTTAAACAACAATTTTTTATATCACATAATTTAATCTTATCCTTTTAATATCTTATACGAGTATGTAATCTATATTATAGTAAAATGTATTCTGTTATATAAATGAGGCAATAAATATACAATGCAATACAACACCATGTGAGCCCAGTACCCATGGTACTTTTTTAGTGTAACCCAACTTGTTGATAAATCCACCTTTCGGAAAGCAGATATAGTTTTAGTGCGATAGAATTCGAATAGGATACAATTTCAACCGTAGCATAGAAAAATAGATCTATGATTTCGATTTCGACGAATTTGAACATTGAAAGGAAACTTCCTGGTTGCGGACCCAGTAGCTTACTGCAACCCCCCAGCCCCGCCCCAAGCCACGATCCCCCTGGCCCGGCTACGATGGTGGAGTTGTGACTTGAGAGCAAAAATGAAAATGTGTGACAATTTTTTCAAAAACTTTCTCTATTCTTGTATTCAATTTTAGTATACATACATATCCATTGTTATTTATCCTGCTGTGACACCCAACGGCCCGGATCAGCTGACGACGGGTACTAATGGCACAGGTGAAGAGTTTCGATGCCACTCCGATGATACTTCTTTGTGAGAGTGGGTATCTTGGTTGTTATATAGTATTAACGTGTCACTGACGAATATGTGATTGGTCGCATATATGACCGAATCAATTCCAAGCTGGAGCCACGGTGGCAAGCGGAACCTGTTCTCTGTGAGTCATTGCCCGGGTAATTGCACCAACACCAATGTATTGTATGTCGTTCAGTGCTATTGTATGTGGCGTCTCATGAATATCGCCATATTGAATCATTGAATTTACAAACAACAAATATCTCCATAAACAATCGGAGCAATCTACAACTAATTATTAACATTTGTGCTCAAATCGTTCTTTAATCTGATAGAGAATAATACATTCTACCTATATTACACTTTATTCAACGTTTGTCTGTCGAAGGGATAACTCTATCTGCACGAAACTACCCGGAAATAGATTATGGCTGATACAGAAAACGGAGTCGATGAACAAAACGATGATCTTTCTCGTGAACTTCTTGGTGAAACAGATGATCCAGCTGACGGGGATGTTTCCAACGACCCTGCTGGTGGTGACAGTGTTGAGGGTGGTGCTACAGAAGATAATGCAGTGGAAGACCCTGTATGTACTTATGACATTTGTATTTTTAGCCTAGTTTTTTCAGTTCAAATACTTTAGACAAAGTCAAACATGAAACTGAAAGATCAAAGAGTAACAGACAGACAGATATGATTATGAAAAAATGAAAGTTCTATTGTAATCAAAGTTATACCTGGACTAACAGTCCTAAGTCTACTATTGTCTCTCTTCGTGTCTAAGAACAGAATTTGTACATGTACATGTAGCCTAGATCGGGTAGATCTATTTGAAGTCATAGATATAGAGGTTCTTGTATGAGTACCTGTGCAAGATTGTTGATTCTTGATGAGCTTTGATAATTCTTCTCCATTGAGTCGAAGACGAGATAAAGAACCATTATCAAAGCGAGTCAAGAATGGACGATGTTGCACAGGTACGAATACTAATGGGTACACAAATGTGTTTCTCATATGAGTCTGTATTATGCCATATTTTCACCTTTTCTTAATAGATTTGAGTGAAAAATAGCTTCAAATTAATTGAACTTCATCTTTCAATTGTTATGACATCATAACATGGATATGTGTGGCAACAAAGCTCCATTGTTATGACGTCACACCTTTTTTTTGTAGAATGAGCATGTTGTTGAAGTTTATAATCCAGTGACGTTAGAAGTAAATCTCATCTTGCATGAGTGACTTTTTAGGATGAAAGATGGCAGTATCTTGCATGGTTTAAAGATGGCTGTATCTTTGTCATATGAGAGAGTTATCCCATCAAGAAAATCCACTCTGATTTTCATCAGATTCATTCTGGGTTGGATTTTCATAGCAGGACCACTCTAATATCTCTCCACCTGCCTTATCGCATCCTACGACCCCTTTAGATTGTGGTCAATCTAAAGAGGTCGGTAGGATACGATAACCCCTGCCTGTGTTGCAGTATTATATTAGGGCTTAAAGCCTTTATTTGTTTAAGTAATATAGAAGGGGCTGCAACAGCTCTGAGGGGAATCTGAGTTTTGACTTACATCAGACCCAATGCAGGAGCTATTCTGATTTTGGCAAAACTCAGAAGATTTTTTAATTTTGAATGTAGCACTACTGAGGAACTGATTGCTTAGAATCTCTGTAGCTCCAAATAACTTTGATTATTTGCAGGAGTTAGAAGCAATAAAGGCTAGAGTCAGAGAGATGGAGGAAGAGGCGGAAAAACTGAAAGAAATGCAAAAAGAAGTCGAGACACAAATGAATATGGGATCTCCAACTTCTAGTAAGTTTATAGTAGGGAGTCGTCCTGGCTCAGATGAGATTGTATATACAGTGTACTGTGAACAGTGAACATAGAATCTTGGCAAAATCAATGGCAAAGGATGAACCATTCAGATGACTGTCAATCTAAAATAAGTCAATTTATATAACACTTAACAAAACAAGACCTTAAAGCTAAAGTGTCATGGATGATCATGGGGAGAAAATACAAATTAAATGATTATTCCCTCCTCTCTTTTAGCCAAGTGTTTAATAGCCTAACTGGTCTCTATACAATACAGCAAAATGACGCGAAATCAGATCCTTGCTGTAGTGAACACCAACCAACAGTGAACGTTTTTATTGGCAAGAAAATGTTCACTATACACAGGTTTTTCTGTAGTATAGTCATTGCATTGATTGTAGATTATTTTCTGTGGTATGAAAACCACTCTGGGTTAGAAATGTATTTTGATGTTTTCTTAGTATTTTTATGAAAAAATAGCTTGATTCACTATTGTGGACACTTTTTATGATGCTACTCTGTAATTGATGCATACACATTCTATTTTGTAAAGGTGGCGCTGCTTCTGTGATGTCCCCTGAAAATAAAAAAGACGCTGATGCAAGGTCCATCTATGTTGGAAATGTGAGTGAATAATATCATTCTTTATTTTAAACAAAATCATTTCATTCCCTCATTCCACAAAATGCTAGCTTAACACTATAACTGTTACCTTATTTGATATAATGTAAATATTGAATGATTTGGAGTTGGATGGATCTGTATTACAGTGTGTTTTCATCATTCGAGTCAGAAATATAGATGTACAGTATATAAAGTATCACACATGGCATCATTTTTATCCAGAGCTTTTAATCAAATATCAACTTCAATGAATGTTTTGAATGAGTGTTGAAGCATGCAGACTTCAAATGACAAGCTGCCCTTGGCTTGATTATGTCCTTTATAAGGGGTTTCATTAGAATTTCTTACAATAGGCTAAGTGAATGAAAACAACAGGCAAAATTACATGAATTAATGGAAATCATAAATTTAACATGGAAAAGTTGAAAAGTCCCTAAAATCAACAGGCGATTTTGTGAAAACAACCGGTGAAAATGCCTGTTGCTATTGAAACCCCTGTTTATTAAACTTAAGTGCAATTGAGGTTTACATCTTTACCTCATTTATGTTTAGGTGGACTATGGCGCAACAGCTGAGGAATTAGAAGCACATTTCCATGGTTGCGGATCTGTCAACAGAGTTACTATATTATGCGACAAATTCTCGGGTCACCCTAAAGGGTAATATTCAAGAGAATTCTTTATTTTTTGATGACAATATACTATATACTGTGTCTTTAGTTCCATGACATTTTATTTTTCTTGATCATATTTTTATTGTAACTCTGAGTGATGCACTTGAGCAGTTTGATATAGGCCTACTCAATATCAAAAAGGCCTTGTCGATGAAACTCATCAATTTGAAACCACTAATTGAAAATCGGATAATATTTGCTTGTTCTTATTTTTACGCTTTCCCCAAGTGGAAAAGGCATACAACAAATTTGGTGTCATTGAAATAAAATAGTAGTTAAAAATCAGCAAAATATTATAGCTGCATAACTTTAGATTTCACAAAACCATATCGTCTTGGAATACTTCCAGTTAACAGTAAATAATTTAATACATTACAGGTTTGCCTATATAGAGTTTGCAGACAAAGATGCCGTCACGACAGCACAATCTTTAGATGAGTCCTTGTTTAGAGGGCGACAAATAAAAGTAAGTAGAAATGCAAACATATTTTCTCAGAAAAACAGCAATAACCAGAAGAGCATGATTCACACAATGACTGACCAAGTCAGTTAAAGTCTCTCAGCAGTGTAACAGTGTAAATGACTTCCAACAGATAAATATATTTTACCCAAATGTATCAAGACCAAAGACTGTAAATGGTTAACCTTTTGTGAATGAGAAACTTTGAAAAGAACTTGTTATTAAAGTTATTTTGTTGCCATGATATTTCCATATGCACAATGTTACCTACATATGGAGAAAGGAGGTTAGGTGAAAAAAAGAACTTGTGTACTTTGAAAGCTGTACTCTCTCAGAATTGCATTGAATTCACAAGAATTCAAGCTGAAAATCCAAATGTTTATGTTCATCTAAAAATTCATGGTTGTAATACATGTAAGCTGTCACCGTGGTGATGTTTAAAATGCAGCCTAATGGGGAAATACAAATCTGTTGATATAGCAAAATAAGCAGTTAGCTTGTTGGTACAGGTCTTTGCTCCCCCAATCCTACCTTTGTAGGAAGCATCTATGTTAGGGGTAGGATGTTTATTTGGGGGTAGTCTCTGGAAGGGGAGTCACCAGGAATTGATGTAAAATGATACGTTAACTGACTAAACATACTCTGTTTCTCTGGTATTCACTAACCTCTATTTGTTCAACAGGTAGGGGTCAAAAGGACTAATCTCCCTGGGGTTAGCTCAACCAACAGACCACCACGTGGAAGGGGAAGAAGATCATTCAGAGGGGGATATGGTGGATATGCACCTCGAAGACCACGATTCAGGTATTTTGTTTTCATAGATTGTAACTCACATACATGTTTGTATATATTACACCCTCACAAATCTTGTGCTTTAAATACTATGTCTTTTATAATGAAGTGTTCATATTCAACAAGCATTCACATAGATGAAACCAACATCGCAAAATGGCTAATCATTTAAAAGATCATTTAACATGTTACATGCATTCACTGAAATTTGGACTGTTTCATTTCAGCTCTTATATCGAATTGCATTTATTTGATTTTTCATGTCACCACCACAATTGGTGACATATTGTTAAAGTCTTCAACTTTTGTATGGATGGTATTCGGTGGTTGGTGTTCAGTGGTCAGCATCTGTAACAAATAGCAGGTGGTGACATTTTGCATGTTAATGCCTTGTTATTCATGTTTGCTGAACATGTTTATGTAGTTTATTGTAGGTCAATGAGATTTCCAGTTTATGGTGCCACTATTACCACAGTTATATTTGCTCTACAGCAATCGTACGGCGGATGTAGCTTCGCAAGATTGAGAGAAATATGCAGCATAAAATTACAATTTAGATTTTCTATATCTATTTTGTGAAGCTACATGTATGCCAACAGTAGAGCAAATGTGACTGAGGCTTTATTCTCATTTAAACCTCACTTTACTTTAGATGCTTTACCTTGAATTTAATAGATATTATTTCAACTTCATTTACACAGTTTCAGTTGACAAAATGTCTGAATAAATTTGAGGCAGTTCCTAATGCATTCGTCGTGTCTGGCTTGGCTATGGAACATAGTTGTATGTATTATTAGTGGTACATGTCATTATCAATGTTCATTGTGTTGTAGGGCAAGAAGAGCCAGCTATTATTCCCCATACTAATGAAAAAGCAGAGATCTGGAGTAATTTGGGTTTGTAAATGGGTCACAATAACCCCCCAAAAAGATACCAACAAAAAAAACAATGAAAAAAAAGAAAAAAAAACAATGAAAAAAAGAGAAAAAAAGAAAAAAGAAAAAAAACAATATAAAAAAGAAGAAAAAATATATGAAAAAAGAAAAGAATATGAAAAAATAAAGAAAAAAGCATGTCCCAATTGTTTTCCTTTTAGGTTCAATCCATTCGTTGCTATAGCGACGTGACCTGCAGACAACAAATAGAACTGAGGACGAGGAAAGGTAATAATATCATTCTTGCAGATTGATTCTTTGGTGTTCGAGCCTGATTCTCAAAACCAATCACAGAACTTGTATGTTACTGGAGAAACAAGTTCAGTATTTTCACAATGTGTTTTAAAAATGAAAAATCACCTCGAACTTTCCAATGAATTAATGTGCGAGGTTGAGTTGTAACATTTCTGTTCAACTAAGCAGATATGTATTATGAATGAATTACTAGTAGTTTTTCAGAAGGATTAATACATACAAGGCCCCTGGATAGCATGTGCATCAAAAATCACATATTGGGTTACATTACAATGGAGTCCTAGTCTCTGAAGTGCCCATACTTCAGGAATTCTTTACAAACAGACCATATCAATTCTTGACGGTTAGACTGAGATGGATTTCAATGATTGGACATTTAAATTCACTTCATTATACTTCACGGTGTAATACCTGATTCCTACCTCATTAAAGAGAGAATCAAAATAGAGAATTAATTGCTTTTTTAAATTGTGACATCTCTGCTCATATTTCTAAATTTTTTCCAGAATAGTAAAAATTATGAAGGATGCATCATATACTATAGTATATCATCACAAATTATCCTAGACTTTTGAATATGGATAAAGCATGTTTGTATGTCATGCTTTTGCTCTCTTTAAGTAGTGAATGGAGGTATTTTTACTGATAAGCATAGGCTGCATCTCAATTCTATGTTTATCAGTTTATGTGAGCTTGTTAAGAATTCAATCATGTCAATTGAATGTCATGGCTGTATACATGTATGTAATGTATCATTATATATTTGTTTGAAAAATAAATTGTATGAAAACATAATAACCGTGTTTAGTTAATTTAAGAATGTAAGACGTGAGGGTAACATGCAAGGCGCTGTCCCTCACAAAATAGAATTCAGTTTTGAATCCCATAAGCAATAGCTATGTTATTGAACCGGCCAGAAAAAAGGTTTAATCAACATTGACTCCATCACCCATAGTTATCAGTATTACACGTAGGTTTGAATGATGTCCTTAGAGCTTTGATAATTTGACTTGTCGAAAGTTCGTAGGGTTTTGTCTTATCACTGAGTGTCACAAAGTGGTGGACCTCTTGAAACTGGTTAGAGATCGGATCAGTTTCGGTAAGAATATGTCATAGCTTGGAAGGCGATTTTTTATATGGTTTCGCGAGATGTGTAAGCAGAATCTTCACGACTGTTTCACAAACATTTCAGCATCGTATATTTTAGGAAAATCTAAGCGTTTGTGAACTAATAGTTCACGAGACGCCAGATGCAGAATCATCAATATACCTTTTTTAGCTAAACGAAACGTTAAAAATTAAATATCCTCACTTTTAACTGTCTAGTTAACTATAACAATAGTGAATTATTTCGACCACTCTTGCGTCTCATGAACTATACGCTTGTGCTAAAAAGCTTGTGAAGATTCTAGCTACATTTCTTGAACGGATCCGTTTTCGAAACCACACCATTTGTCCGAAACTTAATCTTCCAAATCCAAATGGTCCGAAACCCAAGGTACGAATCTAAATCTAAAAAGACCCAATACATCAACGTCTGATAGGTGCCTTTATAGTTGTGCTGGAGACATGTGTGATTATTGTCTTGTCACTATATCGTGCCATTAAAAAGTTTAACGAGAAAAGTGAAACTTACCCGCAAATGATATATCCATTGCATAAAGTAAGTTATTTTCTTTGATATAACAAAATATATGAGTTAAAAAATGATCCGAAACCCAAGGTCCTAATACCATTGGTTCGGATTCCCAATGATCCGAAACAACTGCCAATTTTTAGCTCAGCATTCCTGGTAGTGGTACGTATCTGAAACCTGAATGTCATGCATTCTATCGACCAAATATGTGCGTGTGACGTTTCTCTTATGAACATTCAGTTTAGTGATCGTGTTAGGGTTATCTGGTTATGGCAAATACAAATTGAGGCTTTTGCACGTTAGATTATAAAGTATCTATAATTTTAACATCCAAATCCGGGATCCAAATTAATTGTTCAATTCAAACGTTCTTAGAGAATCAGTAAAGGGACGTGCCATTGGTCATTTTTCCAAAAGAGTAGCCTTAACAAAAAATACACACCGATTCGAAATACAAAATACAAATAATGGCATATAAGCAAAATTCTGAAAATTAACATGAAACGGGGTGTTTTGCAGGTTTCAGATACCAGGTTCCCTTTGCATTCGTTCGACTTCACTTCTTAAAAGAAAGCGTCGTCTTCATCTTGACTCTGCGCGCAGGGTAGATACCAGGATACATTGGTGCGTTATATTTTAAGTGAAGAACAAATGAAAATTACATCTATAACTATTAGCTGAGACCATCATATGATGATAGTATCTAGCTATGGAGTCCATAGGATGCAGGCTTCTAAACTGAGATCAAAAATGTTCCCAAATTGCAATGGCTAGTTATGAATCGGAACAGAAAACGTGAAGGGAGAAAACAAATCAAATTTCCAAATCGTTTTTCAATTCGTACATAAAAATAATTGCAGTAGAGATGTTTCGCTTTAGCAGACTTTGTATTGTACATGACTTTATTAGCCTACTTCTCGGCTATATGGACCCTGAACAAGTCGATAACCTGATCATACGGACTTGGCTACGGTGGGTATAGTTATCCGACCGGACAATGCTGAAGTTAGGAGGCATACCCGGGAGGCTCGGGAGGCATACGACATGTCTGAAATTAAAATTGATCCGTTACAACCTTTAATGATCAGGAGGATCAAAACATGATCATCTCCATAGCCCCAGTAATATCTGAGACTAACATAGAAATAATATGGAAAAAATCGAACAAGGAATAGCCTACTGAATAAGTTCAACCCCGGCCCGAACTCATATTTTATGTTTGTTTGAATATCTCAAAAGGTACCAGAAATAATGCCTAGCATGAACGTTGACTGATGTAATCAGCAAATTTAATTCAGTTCGGTAAAATGCTAACGGTAAGAAGGGCACAAGAATAGATATAGGCCTTTACAAGCACTGGTGAATCTTTGGCGGGGGGGGGGCTGCCTCCCCGCTTGGGTGGGCCCAGAAAAAATGGGGCCCAAATAAATTTGGGCCCAAAAAGTGGGTCATTACTGGGCTTGCCTTACTTTTTAATTTCAGGCCAAATTTTGAAGAAAATCATCAGTGGCCCCCCCTTGTTGGTTCCCAGATATCCGCCCCTGATAAGGCCTGGCAAGATCCTCCCGCCAGGAAATTTCACATTTGGTGCATTCTGAGAAATTTTAGAGCATAGATAAGCATAATTCATGTTTCAAGGCACCGACATAAGCCTACATGTATCTTATTGCCTTTTTGGCCGAATTCAAGCGTGAACATTTTCGAGCTCCCCCACTGAACCCGCCATTGACTTCTTCTTGGTATTCTAGCAATCATTCAAACTATCAGGCTAAACACAATTCGATTAGTCTGACTGCCGTCTATAGCCTAGCCCAGCCAATAGCACAGTGAAAGTATGTTCGCGATTTTATTGGTAATTAGTCGTTGATAAGGAGCGTTCGCATTTTAACGACATTGATGGTCGCTCTTCGTACTCACCTACGATACTTGTAAACAGTTTTTACAAAAATAATTTTTATTTCATCCATTTTCAGTCTAGTCTCCTCGACAATGATGGTGGTGTAAGATGACCTGCATAGCTGAAATCGATCCTATCGCTATAGAAGTTACAAATGAAATCAATGAAAATCTAAACCGAGACGCAACAACAACGTCAGCGACTTGGGAACATGAACACTTGGCAAAGGTACAGTTGGGGACAAAAATAAATGATAGGTCGATTTTCGATCACCATTTCCTAATTATGGTGGTCTGAGAGCCCACAATTTCCAATATTGTCTAGATATATATCCCTTAAAATTTGTATATTTTACATTTTGTATAATCTCATCCACTGATGTATGGCCTCTTGTAAATTCTCTTATTTTTAACATGGGAAATCCTCACTTCAGCAAATCCACCTGTCATTTATTTATGTCCCCAACTGTAGACTGATTTACATTACATTACAAACTCCCATCATGCATGCAGTGTCTCGGAATATATATGTTGAATACTAGCACTGCACAGGAGTTTGGTATATTTAGCCTAGTTTTGTAATGTTAGTAGACGAAATCAGATACATGAAAATTGTCTCTGCGTGGGCTAGTGAATGTTTGTAAAATTAACACATAGACTAGGGCAGGCATTTATTTCTATATCTGAGCTTTTCCCTAGTGTACAGAGTCTGATCTGCTTGTCAAAACACATCAAACCTGAGGCAGCCCAGTCTTCTTGACTTCATTACTCTGCAGACCTTGAGCCGGATCAAAATCCAGTCCCCAATTGGTAGTAGGCTCAATGAAATAATAAGACCGGACATAAAACAAAAATTACTACAAGGATGGTCAATTCGGATGTACAAAATTGACCACCCTAAATAATGACCCTCGTACTGACCTTTACCTAACCAAAGGAAGCAAATGATCACGTAGCCTAAACAAACTTTGATCATTGTTTCTACAGGATTTCAAGAAAAGTAACAGTGTTTCTTGGTAATTGCTGGTGTGACGACATCTGAAGTGGCATCACATTCTCAGAATAGACATATGATCTCCAGAATAGATGTCATGATCACCGGAAATTGCCGAAACTTGACGTTATCTTTCCGCTCAACTATTTTATGATTTTATCAACAGACGGTTACATATATGCATGGTTTAGGTGATTAGAGATAAAGCTTACAACAGTATGTATCATTTTAGGTATGACATGTTATATTTATTGATAAACCGACTCTAGAATCAAGGATATGAACATTTTTCGAAGATTTTATGTCCACTCCTTGAGTAAATTTATTGAGCTTGGAGACCAACAGGAGTAATCTGGCAGAAGTCTGTGCTGAATGCACGTCCTCTCTCACGAAAAGGGAAATTAGACTGAGAGAAACAACTCTGTGTTGTGGTTGCATATAAAATACCACTAATTACCATCATAATGGATGGAAGTGGATTGAAACAAAATCAAATTTTAATTTCAGGTTAAAATCCGGGTCCTCAGAGGCCATTTAGATGCTATAAACTCTTGTAAATTCTGCAAGTTCGATCAACAAATCTTAACAGCCTCTAATGACAAAACAGTGCGCCTCTGGGATTTCAACACTGGGGCTCAGATCCAATGTTATGAGGGTCACTCAAGCTATGTCAGCTGTGCCAGTCCATCCAAGGACATGACAAGGTACATGGGATGTTATGTAAAATCTGAAGATAATTACATTGCACATTGTATCAAGAACGTCCTTGGCCACAGGAAAAGGGGTCTTATCACAGATTTTTCAATATTTTGATTTTTTGTTTATCTTAAAAAGCATAAAAAGTCTTTTCAAATGAGCTATGACTTATGTCTTAACAATTTTTCCTTGCATATATAGACCAAAAAGTCAGATTTGAATTTAGCACAATTTCCACATTTTTGGCTCTGTAGCACAATTTTCATTTTTGTGATAAGACCGGTTTTCCTATGGCCAGGCTCATATACTAAATGTGTGACAATCCTAATAGGCCTATCCAGTAAATCATCTCTCCTACAGTATTATGGTTGTGATGTAATTTCCTACAGTTTCAAGGCAAAAATAGGATCATAACTTATTGCTATTTTTCAAAATGCTTCTCAAAATGTTCATGAACAAAACACATTTTGTATGACATGAGAAATTGAGATAATAAATCATACATGTAGTTTCCTTGGTTCACCAACTCAGGTCAGTTTTTATTGGACACATCTCCAGTATTGTGAAGTATAGATTAAAGATACAATTTCACTTTACTGACACTACTGCTTTAATTTTTGTTTTGTGATTTCTCCCTAGATTTGCTTCCTGTGGATGGGACAAAATGTTGCATGTTTGGGATACAGCAACAGGAAAAATAATGGTAAGATAGATTATCCTCATTATCTTCATTCAAATGTATGTACGTTTATTTAACTTAATAAAATGAATTATATATGGGCTCATCTTCTATCAGCATTCTAATTGTATTTCAGAAAACTAACAAAATTGGGTTTTTAGACCATGCACTTTTATTCTATATTTGATTGATTATCAGGAACAATGTTCATCCAGCCATGAATAAACACATTATATAGCACTTCTTATTTATCATACATTGCAGTGGTCATCTCGTCACGATGGCATCGTGACTTGTTGTTGCGTTAGCCATGATGGTAAACTTGTCGTGTCAGCGTCTGATATGGATTACCATATTAGGATATGGGATATGCAGTCAGGTCAATTAATCCATCATATAAAAGGTTGGTTCATGTTTGATTTATTTTATGATTTTATTTTTCTGATCATTTTTTCAAATGTTTATTTGAAAAATATTGAACTACATGTATGTATGTATTGTGCATGTACAGGGTGTCCCGAAAGTATGCCCCCCCCCCTAGGCAGACATACATCAATGTCCCCATAGTATGTATCATATATCATTTTAAAGCTTATCCAAAGTTACATTGATTTGCCAAGTATCATGGTTCAACTCACAAATGGGAAAAAAATTACACACATTTCAAATAGCACCCATATTTTTGTTCAGGTGCAGGTTAGCAGTGTTTCCAGGATACAGATTTTAACTTTTGACCAAACACTAAGTTTTGAAATGCCTGTAACTTTTTCCCATTTGTAAGTTGAACGATGATACTTGGCAAATCAATGTAACTTTGGATGAGCTTTTAAATGATATATGACATATATTTAACTATGCTAAGAAAACTGCAGAAATATTCCTAAAATTGATTGATGATCTGGGTGTCAGATTTGAATTCATGATTTTTTGATTGGGTAAAATTATCTCAGCAATTTTATATACATGTATATCTTAAATCTCATTAAAATGTAACCAGATTTTTTAATTTAATTTCAAAACAATAATGTTAAAAGGTACTTTAGTTCAGTACTGTACATGTAGTTGTTCAGCAGATATTAAATAAGATGTAGTAAGCATACTTTAAGGAATAGAGAGTGTGAGAGAAATATTCTGCATACATATTTCCCTTGGACATGTTGGGAGAAACCCTTATCCAAAACCTCTGTGTACATAACTCTTATTTAATCAAGCCTCTAAAATCCTTTGCTTTTTCAGATCTCCACACAAGTACAATAACAAGTTGTCATTTCTCTAACAATGATGACAGGGTCATTACAACCTCCATGGATAAAACAGTCAAGTTTTGGGATATCACCACACAGAAAAACACAGTTTCATTAACAGGGTATGTTGCACCCTCCACGAATGTTTAAAACAAACTTCTCTGTTGGAGATATTTATTATATGTTTCTTGATTTTAAAAAAATGATTATTGAAGTCATTAAAAATCAAACATAACACTATTAAATTTACTGGGGTTTCACATTGCCAAACTCTCTTAAATAACTACAGTAAAACCTGTATACAGCGAACATCTACGGAGCCACAAAATGTGTTCACTGTAGATAGATGTTCACTTCAGAAAGGGTATGTAATTTATACAGAAGTCAGTATAATATGTGTGGAAAATGGGTGGCCACTAGAGACATGTGTTCACTAGAGAGGGTGTTCACTAAGACAGGTTTTACTGTTTATGTATTCAATATCATGATACCATGGAGAGAGCAATTCACAAATATTAAGAACAGTTTTTAAATTTTGAATGGATGACTCACACAACCCTAAACTTATTCATAAGAAGTTTTATCACACCTCTATGATATTAAGACCAATACTAAATTATTATGTTTTATGCTTTAACATGTACGGACATAAACATCAGAAATGATGTCACCTGTTAACGCTATTATATGTACTTTGTAGGAATAAATTGAAGATATTAATAAAAATGATGTTTACATTGTATTTCCAGGGAGCATATTAATGTCATCTCAGACTGCAGTTTCAGTCAAGATGAAAGAAGACTTGCCACAGTATCCTGGGATAAAGATGTCCTAATATGGGATGTACCCACAGGAATGTATAGGTACAGTATGGGTATAATTGCCATGAATGAGGTTTGTTTAAGTCATGATCAGATCCAAGGTCAGTTTATATGTCACCACCAGAAGTGTTGACATATTGCTATAGTGGATGGAGTTCAGTGGTTGGTCTTTGGCAGTCAGCATTCAGTGTTTGGCAGTTGGCATTCAGTGTTTGGCATCTATAAAAATGGCAGGTGGTGACATTTTGCATGTTAATGCCTTGTTTAAGGATGCAGGCAATGATAACAGTTACATGCATTTTGGAATATTTTGGGAAAGGAGCAAAAAGAACAATGTCAAGAGATAACATTAATACGACTGATCCCCATTGATAGTCAGTGTCTGAAACAAATTATTGCTCCTTTTTAACCATTTGTATCGCGAAAACTTACCAGATGGTGTAATTTAGTCATGATAATGCCTTCAAGTTGTTCCAAGTGGCAATTGTTATATGCTTTCATTGTTCCGTATTAGTTTGTTTAAACAACGCGCTATCCTTACTAATTGAAACAAATATAACTGCATTTTTGAATACATGAATAAGATTCAGTGTTTTGTTCCAGGTCAAGCGGGCCAATAAAGCTGGCAAAAGCTCATGAAGGATCTGTTAGCTCATGTGCTTTCACTCGAGATGGTAAGTGTTTGTGATATAGGGTGAACCCAAAAAGTTCAGGTTTGCAACTATCTAATTTTGGAATTACAGTATCAATTTCGTTGGAATCCAGCTAATATGTAAAGCATTCCATATAATAAACAGTGGTGTACTTATATTGATAATTCTGTGAGATATAATAGTGTAAGATGTTGACAATTTCTCTAAACATCATCCCCATCATAAGTTTGGCAACCTTAGCTCCCTCATTGAACTACATGTTAAAGCCTCTTTACATTTGAATTTTTATTTGTCATAACCTGTGATGAAAATACTTATAATATTGATGGAAATGTAACTTGACTATATTTCCAATGCCTCTAAATTTAATTACAATAGGTCGAAAATTGATGAAATTTTGAAAATCGTCATTTCCATGTAAACCAATGGAAAATTGTGGGTTCGGGGCAAATCTGATTTCAGGATATCTATCTGGTAAAAGATTCACCAAAAAATATTTTTATATAGAAAATTGAATTGTCTAACTTTTTTGAACGCTAAGTGTTCAGTTTACTAAATATGTATCAATTTTTTATCAAATAAAGTTAGCAAATTCAATTGACTACCTAACTTGTATTTTTGCAAGAACTCAGATGGATAAATATTCTGTCATATGACTTGCGGTTAAGGGGCTTTAACACATAATTCAATGAGAGAGCTAAGGTTGCCAAACTTATGGAGGGGAGTGTATTTCTAGGTTCCATACTGGTTACAGACTCCTATGATACAATTCTGGTAGTTTGGGATGTTGGACAGTTTCACTAAATATATGTTTTATGTGACAGGCTAAGTCTGGAGTGTGGGATGTTGAGAATTAAACAGTTTCTTTAAACATATATTCCTAGGTTCAATATTGGTGACAGTCTGCTATGATACAAGTTTGGTACCAGACATTCTCTAAATATATATTTTTAGGTTCCTTACCGGTAACTGGGTCCTATGCTACAAGTCTGGAAAGAGCCATTCTCTAAATACATATTTTTACATTTAGGTTCCATACTGGTGACAGGCTCCTATGATACAAGTCTGGTAGTTTGAGATGTTGAACAGTTTCACTAAATATATATTTTTATGTTCCATACCGGTGACAGGCTAAGTCTGGTAGTGTGGGATATTGAGAATTAAACAGTTTCTCTAAACATATATTTCCAGGTTCCATACTGGTGTCAGGCTCCTATGATACAAGTCTGGTAGTTTGAGATGTTGAACAGTTTCACTATATACACTCCCCTCCATAAGTTTGGCAACCTTTTTCCCCCATTGAACTACGTGTTAAAGCCTCTTTACCTTTGAATTTTTATTTACTTAACTTGGATAAAAATACTTATACTATTGATGGAAACGTAATTTGACTTTAATTCCAATACCTCCAAATTTTCTCAATTTTTTTCCTCAATTACAATAGGTCGAAAATTGATGATGAATTTTTGAAAATCGACATTCCCATGTTAACCAATGGGAAATGGTAGGTTTGCTGCAAGTCATATGACAGAATATCCATCCATCCGAGTCCTTGCAAAAAATACGAGTTAGGCAGGCAATTGAATTTGCTAACTTTATTTAACCCAAAATTGATATGTTTCTTCAGGTTCAACAAAGTTATAGGACTTTAAAGTCAAAATTGTTTTTCAAAAAACCTCTCCCATTGAAATAACACAGGAGGCGAAAAATTATTTTCAAACATGAGTTTGAAGCGTTGTAACTTTAATATTCATCAAATAAACTAAACACTTAGTGTTAAAAAAAGTTAGACAATTCAATTTTCTATATAAAAATATTTTTTGCTGAACCTTTTACTGAAAATATATCCTGATTTCTGATTTGCCCCGAACCCTCCATTTCCCATTGGATTACATGGGAATGACGATTTTCAAAAATTCATCAAATTTATCATCAATTGTCGACCTATTGTAATTGAGGAAAAACTTGAGAAAAATTGGAGGTATTGGAAATAAAGTCAAATTACGTTTCTATTAATATTATAAGTTATTTCATCATCGGTTAAGTAAATAAAAATTCAAACGTAAAGAGGCGTTAACACGTAGTTCAATGGGGAAAAAAGGTTGCCAAACTTATGGAGGGGAGTGTATATCTTTATGTTCCATACCGGGGACATGCTAAGTCTGGTGAATTAAACAGTTTCTCTAAACATATATTTCTAGGTTCCATACTGGTGACAGGCTCCTATGATACAAGTCTGGTAGTTTGGGATGTTGAGAATTGTGTACAGAAATTAAAACTTCAGGTTAGTATAAATATCAGGGATCTGTGCCTCTTGAATTAATGCTATTAGGATATTTTACTGACCCTATGTTGTGTTCTATATGAAGATTAAGACTGTTACCAAGAATTGTAATATGTATTATAATACATCATAATGTGCTATTTCCAGTTGTAATAGGCCTTTCCACTAAACCCACCGAACCTTATTGCTAATTTTGATGAATTTCATAGAGTTTTGTTACTCACAATCTAGTATGTAACATCTAATCTCTGGCCAATAAAAGTTGACAGGATATTATAAGAAAATTCAAATTATTGATTATTGAGTGGCATCCCTTACTGTAAGGCCTGACCCAGAGACATTATGCAAGTTAGTTTGATATTGACCAGTTACATGTAATTTTAAGTAAAGTATATGCAATTTGACTTTGTCCTATAAGTCTCAAATGATATGATGCATCCCAATCCTAAATAATAAATTTAAAGAAATATAATTAAATGGCAATGTACTGTTCCAGGGACATACTGATTGGATAGAAGATGTAGATATAAGTAGGGACAAGAAATGGCTTCTCTCTTGCTCTAAGGTAAGGTTGATCGCCTAATATTCAACCAAAATATTAGCTAAATTCCAAGACATGTTATATATAAATCCAAGTAGCCTGAATCATATTTGATACATCCCTGCCATACCACATGAATTTGCATTAAATATCAGTATACCACTTTCATAGAAGACCAATGGACTTATATATTCAGAAAAACCTGTATATTGGAATACCCTTTGGTACCAGCTCAAATATTGTGCACTTAAGATGAGTTCCACCTGCAGAAGTTCATTTTATACTTTAAGTCAACCAGTATCAGAACTTTGAAATGTTTCACTTTCAGTTTGATTTTACCATACCTTGTAGCTATGAGTTATTGATCAATTCTACGAGGGAATTGCCTATATTTTACTTTAGAAAAATAGCTTATTGAGATTAGCATGTAGTTTAATGAAAAGTATTAATTTTCTGAACATGCCACTGAAAAGTATTAAATATCTGACTCGCCAAATTATCAATTCTTCTTAATATTATCCAGAATATTGATTCTACCCCGTTTACCTTGAATTAACATATTATTCCTCTTTTTAGGACAAGACAGTGAGAATATGGAACATAGAAAACACAGATCACATTCCAAAAGTGATTGAGAACAAAAGATCAATTGGACTCAAGATGGTGAAGGTAAATGATATGTTTAAAACGTTTCCTGAAAATATATCATAAATCATAATTCCTTTTCAAAGAATGTAGTGATATGGTATTTGATATATGAATTTCAGGATAGTAACTCCTAAATATAGTTTTCATGAACTTAAATGAAACAAGCAAGTAATACTGAATACAGGAACATCCTTCTATCAACAAATAATGACATCAGCTATTTAGTGGATAAACTATTTTGACTCTTTGTTAATAGATTTCATTTCAATTAGCAATTGTTAGCAGTGTTAGCAATTAAGAAGACTCTTTATCTTGCATTTTAGTTTTCAAAGTTATTTTATTTCTCATTTCAGTGTTTCGAGTGTGGGAAACCATTCTCCATGGCACAGGTTGAGAGACCTGAAGACAGCACACAGTGTGTCTTCTGTAGGATGGAGAAACGTATCAACAACTCAGAATCTCAGAACTTTCTTAGAGAAGTGGAACAAGACCATGCTGATTTATAAATGTAACAATTGGACCACACTGATTTATAAATGTTACAATTGGACCACACTGATTTATAAATGTTACAATTGGACCACATTGATTTATTATAAATGTTACAATCGGACCACACTGATTTATACATGTAACAATTGGACCACACTGATTTTTAAATGTAACAATTGGACCACACTGATTTATAAATGCAATAACAATTGGACCACACTGATTTATAAATGTAACAATTGGACCATACTGATTTATAAATGTTACAATTGGACCATACTGATTTATAAATGTTACAATCGGACCACACTGATTTATAAATTTAACAATTGGACCACGCTGATTTATAAATTTAACAATTGGACCACGCTGATTTATAAATGCAATAACAATTGGACCACACTGATTTATAAATGTAACAATTGGACCATACTGATTTATAAATGTTACAATTGGACCACACTGATTTATAAATTTAACAATTGGACCACGCTGATTTATAAATGTTAGAAATGGACCATGCTGATTTATTAATATTACATGTTAAAAATGACCATTCTGATATATAAATGTTAAAACAAATCCATGCGCAGGACCAATCTGATATAAGAATGTTACTTCAGAGCTGGACCATACATATTCGAGAAGGAACACCGGCAGATTTATAAATATTCTACAAGAAAAACAACGCTGGTTAAGAGTGTTCTACAAGATGGGGCTGATTTTAAACATTTGTGTAGCTTATCCAAACTGATTCAAAAACATCCATCTCAAGCTCTAATAGCTTATGCCTACACAAGTTCTGGAACAGACATAACATTTTTAATGGCATACTTGATGTATATATTTAAATAAGTAATTTGTACATAATATTAAGTGAAATTGAATAAAGATAAATTGTCAATGCATGGAATGTCTCTTTTTTCCTTTTTTCTTGCCCTTTCCTTTCATTTTCTTAGCACTGCCTGATGACTTTCTCCTTTTACTAGGGACACCATCCTGAAAGCAAACCACACAAACGTGAAACATTTAATGAATTAAGTTAAAGGACAACTGAAATAGTAATTTTATTTAAGAAACAAATTTTTATTATGGTTATGGCAAGAACTCTACATTGGTCTTACAATGCAGAAAATCACATTTTTGTACTGCAAGTTAAGAAAACCTATTATTTTTTAAGTTAAGGTGTTAAATCAATAGACCAATCCACAAATACTGCCAACTATTGGTTATGATGTCATTTTTTTTAAAACTAGGATTATAAATACATGTACTGCTAATTTTAAAAAATTCAATTTTCTTACTAAACATTATGTGACATCATAAACAAAGCCAATATAACTAGATTATATGGTTTACCAGAAGGTATCAGGATTAATTGGAAAGGTCTAACTCTATAATATAATGGTAATGTCAACTGTCAAGGTCTAGCAAATCCCATTAACATCTATGAAGTGTCAGAGAAGACTGCATGAAATCAATTTTGTAAATGGATGAATTTGAATTTGTGGCATTGTAGATCTGATGAACGGGTGATATATAAGGTGATATATATATCACCCGCTGATATCACCTGCTCACTTCAGATATCAATTATATTCCCGCATGTATTTACCTAAAACACTACTAAGTATGGAATAAAAATAGATTTTCAACAGGATACAGCATCTAGTTCTACACAGCCAATTGCTAACAGTACCATAAGGTGCCATTTTGGGTACAGTACTGTATGGTACCTTAAAATATGGTACCATATTAAAGCAGAACTGTATGATGCCATGAACACTGTATGGTACCACACTACGGGCAAATTATTGATATGACGCGCCAATTTCGTCTTATGCTTTTCACTCTAAAACCTACCGCTAGGTGTTCACGCGCTCCCGGTCTATACTTCTTGTAAAACCCGCTTTCTTGGTGAGCAGAATAGAATTGCTTAAAATTAACAGATTTTTCTGATTTTTTCAATGGTGGTACTAGGGGGTCTCTACTGCATGTTTATCTAAATTATAAGTTGCTATGGTGTCAAATGTTTTCGTCATCTTTCTGTAAATAACCTTGAAAACACCGTGAGTGCAAAATTGTTGCGTCAAACAGACATGTTTAGGTTGGTCGCAGGAGAAGCCGTTTTACACCACTGTTCTTGGACGGATTCCGAAAATAATTTCACAACAGTAATCATTATGAATGTAAGTATTAAAGTAATTAAATTCACATCCATACTATGAGTGTAAGTTATGTTTTCTTATGTCTAAATATCGAGGAATGAACTGCGCTGGCAGTCAGAAATAAACTTTTGATGATTGAACCGTTCAGTGTATAGCGTAAGCTTTAGACGGACAATTCAATAACTTAATGTGAATGGATTTTTAAATAGATTTCAGATTCATGATCATATTAATATGTAGATTAGAGGGTCTTTATTTTATAATTCTATGATCTAAATGTACTGAGTAGTGGGTGCATCAACATTACGCATTGGCAACGCTTTTCTCAAGTGAAATCAGACGAAGCTCACGCGTAAATATTGACCAACGTTTGTGTTTACACAGTCGTATTTCAAAAGTAAAGCATTATTTTAAAAATCTAAAACGATACGATTGCGATTTAGAGTTTCTAGTTTTTGAATATGTGAATTTAAATTAATTTTATTTATAAATGAAAAAAATGAACCAAGGGTGAAAGTATGACTATCCATAGACGTCCTTGGACTATCAAATCGTTCGTTTTAATGACTTGACCAAATGTAGCAAAATGTAGCAAACTGGGAAGTACATTATAAACATACGACTTTTACACACTCACGGACGTATAAGAGCCAGATAAGTACAGCTGTGCACGTTCTCCAAATAAAAGGTCTCAATCTTTCTCCATTGACGGTAACATAATAATTCTGCACCTGGAGATGCAACATTTCGTCCAGTGCGATCGTGATCAGCGCACCTAGCGGATGGCGCGTCATATCAATAATTTGCCCGTAGTGCCATACTTATAGGATATCCTATGATTTTGAGGAATATCATTTTTATCTACGAGGTGATATTGATATCTGCACGAGAAAGCGAAGCGAACGAATATACAGATATATCAATATCACTGAGTATATTGAAAAGATATTCTAAAAAAGTCATAGGATGACAATATAATACATACCTCAAAACCTCCTTTCCCTGATAAAGCTTCATAATTCACATCTCCAAACTTTGTTATGTCGTTGAGATGGGACATGGTTTTATCTTGCTTTAGGGCAGTCTGGAAGCATATGCATTTAAAGCATTAAAAAATTATACAGTGAACGTTTTGTTTTCAGTTTGTGCAAAAATATTTAATTGTGAGAAAATCAAATATTTTAGTTTATACAATATTTTAACTCAAACTGAATTATCTGAGTTAGAAATGGAAATAGCCTATTATCTTAAACCCTTTCTTTATTCCTTATAATATATTTCGTCACTGTTTATGTCAAGCAACACACGAATATGATTTGCCAATGTAATAAATGCTTACTTTCAATGCCATTAACTATAACTGACATTAACTATAATTGACATAAACTATCATAAAGATATAGCATATATAACTTATGATATCCTACAAAGCTTGACACTTCAAAATCATGAGTAAAATGCAAACACTAATACAATACAATAAACTGATTTCAAATTATTTTACAATACAGTCATGTACAGTGTTCATTATGAAAATAAAATAATATATGATTACCCTCTCCTTTTTGGTCATGCCAAGTCTGACAAAGTTCCTCTCTTCATACTCCTCCCTCTCCTGCTCCTTACGCTTCATAGCAGTGTTTCTGAATGATCCACCCTCCTGAAAATGAAGAAATATGACATAATAACTGTTTTTCTGAATGATCTACCCTCCTAAAAATGAATCAATATGACATAGTATATAAATATGTCAGCTTCAAGAATCAAAACTAATTGCCGTACTCATGCAATCATGAATATTCATCACTCAGTCGATGCTACATGTACTTTTGGACTTTTTGCATATTGGAACTTTGGAATTAATCTTATTTATGAAGGGGTAAAATGACAGCAACAGTTTGCATATGGGAAATATATTTCTATTGATATGCTCACAAATATGCTCACAAAAAACTCATGAATACGCACTAAATATGGCTCACTGTGTTCATTCTAAAATGACAATTTTGACATTACAGTAAAACCAGTGTATGTTGAATATTTTTTTGCCAGGAAGTCTTCACTAAAGAGTAGTTTATACAGAAGTCAATAGTATGTGCAGAGAAAGAGTGTTCCATAGAGACAGGTGTTCACTTAAAAGAGGTGTTCACTAAGACAGGTTTTACTATGTAAAGCTTACAATGCAGCTCATACTAGTCCAGCCAATAGGTAACATTTTTGAAAATTATGATTTTCATATGGAAACTGTTTCAAGTTTCTAAAAAACAGGTTATTTAGGAAAAACCCCCAAGGAAAATGTTGCTGATGAATTCCTTGAAAAAGTACTAACCGCTATTTCCTCTGGTGCCTCAGAGTATTGAGCCTTTAGTTCCTGTATGACACCACTATGTAGAGCCTTTTTCTTTGCCTTCTCCATGTGCTGTTCTAGTTTACTCTGCTGGGTCTGATCACCATCTGAAATATGTATGCATATTATACAGTAAGTCTAGCCCTGTCTTGTGCTTGTCTAGCTTACTGATTTGACTTCCATGTTATACTCAAGCCTGTATAAGTGAAACACATTTTGTTAGGTCCCTCATATAGCGTTCGACTTATGAGGTGTTTGATTTGTGCGACTTCAGTAAAAAGAAATCTCACATTTGATTATATTGTTGCTTTTAACAAGACATCCAAGAATGGACATCACACGTCAAAGTATTCCCACTTAACAAACTGTAGCAAATTAAATCTTAAAATATATTTGAAAATAACTATGAAGGGAAAATATTAATTTGATTTATGTACTGTATTGAATGTTTTTACACAGCAATATTTACACACAAACTAGGTGTGAAGAACATCTTACTTGGGAAAATTAGTAGTGAACAACCATCCATTGGTAATGATGTCATTCTTTAGATTTCAGGGCATGATTATAAGATTAACATATTGCTAATTTTCAAACTTCTTACAATTTGTTTTCAAATACTTGTTGCTTTCTTAGTATCATCTCATGAATATAGCAATAACGTCATTTCAAAGGGCAACTTAGTGAAATCTTGGCCCAAGGGTGAAATGAAAGATATAACATACCATAATGAACAGCAGCAAGTTTAGGAGGTCTGTAAACTTTTGATTTCTTTTCTTCATCATCGTCTACATTTGATCCGCTGTCAGAGTCTTCCTCGTCTAGTTTGCTAACAAGACTGTCGGGATTTGCTCTGAACCTTAGAGGGTCGTTCACTAAAGAAAAAAAGAAAAATGACTCCATCTCTGAATACTTGTGGTAGTGAGTACCATTTTAAAAAGATGGAGATCATCTACATTATACATTCTTTTAACCACTAATCTGGCAACAGTATCCAAAGAAAATGCTTACATTTTCTACCTTGAAGTCGTTAGGTTATTTAAAGTTTTTGAAGTCTATATTTGAGAACATTATTAGGACCTTATCAGCATCAAAATGTAAAAATCATCCACCATGTAATAGGCATTGGGAAGTGTGGCAAGCAGATAGGAATTCAGGTCGAGATACAATAGGAAATGCTACTTTAAATCGGTATATAATATTGTTCTAGATATATGCTTTACCTGCTGTACCAGTATTGGCAGTTTTTATCAATTTATCTATCTGATATTTCAATTTTGAATCTATTGGCTTCATCTTTTCCAACACCTGGAAATAAGAAACAGATACCAGTATTTGATGCAATTTGTTAAATTTTAGGAGATGTAACAGTTCTTCTGACAACCTGCTCACAAACAAGTAAATAAATAACTTTTGTATTTTATTATTTTCTGCCCCACATAAAAATGTTTTTCTACGCAGCTATAAAATGGTAACAACATTTTAAACATACATTAATAATTAATTACACTACACATTTCTCAGGCCTACCGGGACTTTCCTCTAAAGATGAGAAGGCCTAAAATTGTATAATTTCTTTAATTTTGAGTTGAATTTAAAAAAATTGGCCTAAGTAAGTTAGCCTTATATTTGTAAGATAGGTACTTAAACTTTTCCTTACTGTTCTTATCTCTACTAATCTGTGCACATCTTGAGAGCCCTCTAGTGAGCCGCCCTGGCACTTGTGAACCATTAGGTGGGTTACATTGACCAGGTAGCTCAATAACATCTGGTACTTCACCTCCAGAAAGCTTAAACCCTGTAAAGTGTCAGTTTAGTGTTAGCTCAAGGTAAAATCATATAATATATGGAACTTACTTCATTCATAATTTTGCTGTATCAAGCATTCATACACATTGTCTACATCTGTAACACAGCGTCTATAAATATGTAAAGGACGATTCTCGGTTTGGAGAACAGTCTCCTGGGCTAATAATTTTTTTCATGAAAAATATAGAAATATTACCCAAATTAAACTATGAATACTCAAAAGAGGACATTTAAATCTACAAGATGTAAAAAAAACAAATTGGTCTGAAGCAGGATAACACTCAATTAGACCGATTCAATAAAATACAAGTCTCGATTTGGGGAAAGAAGTTCATCAGTGTACTGCGCTAATATTTTTTTGCGAAAAATCTAGAAATATTACCAAAATTAAAGTATGAGTATTCAAAAGAGGACATTCAAATCTATATTATGTAAAAAAATCAAATTTGTCCGAAGCAGGGATAATACTCATTTAGATTGATGAACTTCGTTCTCCAAACCAAGAATCGTCCTTTATAGAAAATTCTCTCCATGCTTATGATAAGCCATTGCTAGTTCTTTTTCAGTAAACAATGCAAACAAAGTAAATGAATAAACCTCTAATAAGCCCCGACAGTTGGGCTGGCATGGAATGGAACGGAATCGGAACAGAACGGAATTCGGAAATTGGCTTCGGAATTCAGAACTTTCGGAATTTCGGACCTTATTTAAAATAGTTCCTACTTCTCCCCTTAAGTTCTCATTTTTGTTACCATTTGAACAGCAGTGTACAACTATATATATATAAGTTGCTAACACTATCTAACTGCCAGAACAAGTGGCATAAATGTTCAAAACTAATGGCAAAATGTTTGAGTCCTAGCCTTCTTGGCACCTTGGCATACAACTGTTACTGTATATTGTATATTGTCTTTCTTACAATAATTGTCTTTTCTTATAGGTACTGAATACATATAAAACGATCATACTTTATTTATTCCTATCATTCATTACATATTAAACAACTTTACCAAGTGCAAATGTTTAATAATTATATATATTTATTGATTTTGTTTCATAGTACTAGTTCGCTTTAGCGAGTTAGCGTGTCGGTATAACGATAAGTGAATGTTCTTTAAGGAAAATAAAAATTCCCCAAATTATCGGAATATGAGAAGGTAGGTCCGAAAGTCTGTTTCCTAAGGCAAAATCGGACGGTTCGGACAATTATTCCGTTCTGTGCCAGCCCTACCCGACAGCTTGTCTTCTCAGGAATAAAAGTTTTGTTGGACCATGTTAGGCACATTGAATTATTCAAGGAAAATAGGTACACTTTGTTAACAGAATACAGTTAACATATTCATTACCTGAGATGTTGATATGGCCCCCTCCTTCACCTTATTTGTAAGTGCCTCCACATTGCTGGTCAAGTCACTAGCATTAGTTACCAGGTCCCTGAACAGACCAAAGGCCTTCGGGACATCTTCATTGATTACCTGTAAAACATAACATTAATCTTAAAAAGGAGTTAGGTTACTTGAGTCTTCAGTCAACCAACTTGTCCTCTCTAAAAAATGTCGCATGTCAGGGGTTTCACTAGAATTTCTCACAACAGGCTAAATAATTGAAAACAACAGGCAAAATTAATGGAAATCATAAATTTAACATGGATAAGTCCCTAAAAACAACAGGCCATTTTGTAAAAAAAACAGGTGAAAATTGCCTGTTGCCTGCTGCTAATGAAACCCCTGCATGTGGTAAATATTCAATTCAAATATCTTTTAAGAAATATTTGCGAGAATAGTTTTTGAATTCAAATCGAAACCAGCAGTGCCACAAGTGGAATATTATTTTATCTCGGATAATATCAACTATAATGGTCTGCCGTTTTAGGAACATCTCAATAGTTGAGCTACAATTCACTTTAGCAATATTGCCAGCTTGGCCAGACTGGTAAGGAGGGTACAGTAACTATAAAGGACATCATGAAAATAAAGGTGAATTTCATCCAAAATACTTGACAGTTGGTGAGTTAACATAACTTTGGATGATCTTTCCAATGGTATATCACACTAGGTACCATCTAGGTTTTAGCTGTAGCAGGGGGACGGAACTTATTTGACACCCTGTATATACTGAATAGTGTAACCTATTGATAACATGGGGGGACTTCTGTTCTCTATGGAACTAATGAATACATTAGAGGCTTCATCTGCCATAGATCATGCAAGGCCTGAATACAGAGAGGGCTTTGGAAGAGAGTAAGCCATAGGAGCTACTTGACTAGTTTCACTACATCATCATAATCATCATCAGATAACACCATACACATTTACACACGTACTCATGTACTGATATACATCGCAGGTGCCTACTTTATAACCATAGGTTCTGGGCCGATATAAGGATGGCAGCACAAAAAGAATCCAGTATTATCTTTTCTCTATAGATAAACACAGATCGATTACCATGCCATCTTTATTTAAAATTAATATTTCTATCGACCTTTGCCTATGTTTATAACCTTGGATCAAAGTCAGCACTATCAGACAGACATGATTATGTCTCTACCTTACCACCCCTTTTGTCAGAATATACACCTCCTACAGTCTGTTACACTGCTTCAAAGGCAAGCAATTAAACCTGAAATATAAGAAATCTAAATAATATTGTGTAATTAAATATAGAAAAAAATATTCATATTGCACACGAATGACATTTGTATATGTTGGATTGCTTGTAAGTTGGCTCATAAAGTCTGTAACCTCTTATATTTTGGACCTTCTCTCCCATGTTAATTCTCAAAAAAATAAAATGGAGGACAGACCTCAAATTACAAGAGGGCACAGGCTTATTGCACTAAACAATCTGAAATATACAAATGTCATTCGTGTGCAATATGAATATATTTTTCTATATATTATGGCACAATTTTCTATAGATATCTTATTTTTAAGGTTCAACTGCTTGCCTTTGAAGCAGTGTAACAGACTGTTGTTTAGGAATACAGCACGTTATTGCGATTTATCCCGTACCAGGACTAAATTGTCCTGCATTAAGAGCATTCTTTTGCCTGTAGGATTACAACTTGGGAGAATTATCTACGCCCCTTACACTTAAGATACCTACTTCAATTAATTCCTGGGTATTTTAGCATTCTTTTTGTGTAGTTGAATCCACAATTGTCTGGGTATATCAGCAGAACGGGAACATTTTTCTTTTTCATCGAGAGATATTCCATCACTTTCCAAGATGGCAGTTAGACTTAAAAGGGGATTCCCCGTTTGACTGACCCGGAAGTGGCCCGGAAGCACCAAAAATGGAGGAATTTGACGGTTGAAATAAGTTAAATATTACACGCAAATATTGTGATTAAAAACGAAAATTTCTTTGTTCTGCCGATAAACCCAGACAATTGTGGATTCAACTACAAGAAAAGAATGCTAAAATACCAAGGAATCTATTGAAATAGGTATTTTAAGTGTAAGAAGCGTAGAAAATTCTCCCATGTTGTAATCGTACAGGCAAAAGAATGCTCTCAATGCAGGACTACAGTCCTGGCACGGGACAAATTGTGATGTTTAGAAAATTTTGAAACCATCATTGTTTGTCTACATCAATTTGACCAATCAGCGACGATATGTCTTCTCATCATCATATTTCCCAAAGACAGTAGGTGAATATGTCGATAAGGTTAAAATGCAATACAGATTTACATTAAGGTTCAGCTGGAAAGTAACATTTTGGTAAAAAATTGCTATACCTGCACATGTTATTTTCTGGTACGAAATTAAGTATGAAGTCATGTGTGCATTTCCTTGCCTTTTTCAGTAAAGTATCATTACATTGTTTATTTTTAGAATATCTGGAAACATGTCAATGGTAGCTCCTGTGTTGCCTGGAAACTTTGAAAGAAAATTTGGAAAAATAGAAAGTGTGAAATATCATAATTTCCTGGAGTTCCCATTGAACCCCTACCAGATATTCTAAAAGAAGACAATGTAATGATACTTTCCTGAAAAAAGCAAGTAAATTGACACATGCCTTCATACTTTATTTTGTACCGGAAAATAACATGTGCAGGTATAGCAATTTTTTACCAAAATGTTACTTTCCAGCTGTACCTTAAAGACATATTTCTTTTTTTAACCCAGCGGTAAATCCCCCCTTGTTGTAAATTTACACTATACTATACTATAGATTTGTACTAAAATATTCATACAGTTGGGGACATAAATAAATGACAGGTGGATTTGCTGAAGTGAGGATTTCCCATGTTAAAAATAAGAGAATTTACAAGAGGCCATACATCAGTGGATGAGATTATACAAAATGTAAAATAAACAAATTTTAAGGGATATATATCTAGACAATATTGGAAATTATGGGCTTTCAGACCGACAGATGAAAATGAATCAGAATCTGTCTAAAGTAGCTAAACTTTAGATATTTATGAAATAAATAATAGCATTACCTTTTCCATGCTCGCCAAGTGATGACGTCATTCAAACGCATTCCCATTTCTACATCTTTTAAACGGGAACTATATCATCTTAATCTACAAAAAAATGATAATTGAAACTAGATTAAATGGAAATAAAGTATATTTAAGTCTAAATTGTCATATTGTTTAGGTTTATAAAGCAAATAGATAAAGTTCAGCATAATTTTTGAATTTGGAATGTGTAACTTCAATAATGGCGTCGCAACAAAAACAAGTTTCTCGACGACAAATCAAAGACTGGAGCATAAACTTTAGGGGTTTACAAAGGTATAGAATGTATTTCATTAAGAGGCTATGTTTTTCTCTCTATTCAGGTTCAAGCTGTGTATACTGCTAACCTGATTACTTGACCATGGTCGATATAAGATTGAGCCGGGCCGTCTAAAAATATTTTTTATTTTATTTGATCCAGACTCAGTGTAAATGGAGGGGCAACACTAGGTGCACAGGATTCGTAGTCACATTTAGTACACAGCATTCGATTCCAGAATTGTGACTTTGTTTTATCCAGGGTTTGTAACTGGAGTTCATAATATAAAAAACAGTACATTGAAAGTGCTGCGACTGTTTCCCGCATCAGACTGATTTTTGGGAACAGAGGATACTGATTCAGTATCCTCTGTTCCCAAAAATCCATAAGTGTTATACTCTACTTACATTGTGATTGTACGACCCAACAATGGTTAGGGCAGTGTTTCTACAACGTTGGAGAAACTACTACACATGCTGTAGAAACACTGCCTGAACAATCATTGGAGCGCACTGACCTAAAATTGGATAACCGTAAGTGATCAGCTGCTTATGTACCGATCTGGACTTCTTTTATTGGTCTAGTGGATATTTTCTTCTGCAATCAAAAATTTTGTTTTATTTTATTTAAGAAACATGGACTGCAATCTTTGATGTGCACTTAATTATACCGAACATGCCTTCATGTATCTCTTTAAAGAGTATTATATCATTCTACATCTACAGTTTGGACCATTAAAATAAATGAGTCATGGATTTGCTGAAGTGAAGATTTCCCATATCAGCGGTGGCGGTAGGCATATATTTTTGTGAGTCATCATGACTCAGGTAGTTTCAAAAAAGTGAGTCACAAGAAAAAAAGTTGAGTCAAAGCTATAAAAGTGTTTTTCTTGAGTAAAAATGCATACAAAATGTAGAAACCACATACAAAATCTATTTTTTGATTTTGTGCATACCTTTTATTGTACTCTTATAGCACATTAACAACTAACAATTAATTAATTAGGCAATTGCAAGAAAAATGTCACTATTAATCATCTGATTATCTGGTCCAGCGAGTCATGGGTGTGAATGGAGTGGGAGAGGAGTTTCTCCCTGTGTGGAGTTACACAAATTGGGGTCAAAGCGTTTCATGTTGAAATTCAACATTTTTGCAATCATTCCAAAGTCTAAAACGGCAATATAAGTCCGACCACAATACTGGGCATCATTTAAATTGAATACGGTAGAATCTTGTAATTATAAAATGAAACCGAAAGTAGATTTGTTTTCATACCTAATTTATCATCATTACCCCCCTTAATGTGCGATCGACTGGATTTTCATGTGCCCATTATCTATCTTCATAGGATCAGCTTCAGATCTAGTGAATCGAAGATCTTAACTTGAGGGAGTTAATTGAAAATACTTGGTGAAAACTTACGATAGATCGGTCACTGTGAGCACCATTGATAAACCTACTGCGCATTACATCTGCGCATGCTGATGAAGGGGACGGCTCAAGGAAACTTGCTAACTTAGCGAAGGAATTTTGCGAACTTGCGAAGGAAACTAAAGGTTCGTAAATCTAGCGTGTGAACATTCAAGGAAAGATTTTATGCGGTAATTTAGATAAATATACGATCACTAAAATCCTTAGAAGGGAGTATGAAATTAATAAATTATTGTTCAATGTTATGTTCGTTTTATTGCATTTTTGATACGCCCCCTAGCACACGAGATAAACAAATCGAGGGATCGATCAATGTTTTCAAGTTTATCATTGAATCTGAATCACAGGGCTTTAAAAATTATATGAAATACCGAAATAAGAAAATGATCGGTAGGAAGGAGGCTCGATTGCGCTGAACGAAATGTTAGATTTCCGGAATTAGCAAAATTATAAATTTGATCAATCACGTATTTTCACGTATAGGGATCAATTTAACCAAGTACCAAGCGGGGATTTTGCATGTGAAACAAACGTGCGTCAGAAAGACTCGGTAGACAATGAATATTTGCGTCAGAGTTGCAAAAATGTGAGTAAAAAACGTAAAAAATTGCGTTAACGCCACCTCTGCATATTAAAATAAGATAATTTTAAAGAGGCCATAAATCAAAGGATGAGTTTATAAAAAATGTATAGGCTTTCAAACCACCATGGTTTTGAAATGGTGATAGAAAATCTACCATTCATTTATTTATGGTCCAAACTGCACATTGGTTGTTACTTGTTATTCATTTTTTTCATGGGAGCACAGTTTCACCACCTCTGAAAAGGAGTTGGTCAAGTGTGACATGTTAAATCTAACATATGCCATTTAATTATATTTATGAGTTAAACAAAATTGTCTTTGTCAGCACCTCCACTTTCTAAAAAATTATGTATTTTGACAATTTCTGAATGCCTGTTTACTTTTATTTACTAGTAAAAAAGACTTAGCTTTGCCACCTGGATTTTCAAACAAAGGGCAAGATTCCGTCTCAACAGCTGATGCTACAGAAGAAGACACAGAAACACTAATTGTTAAGGTGAGTGACTATTAACTTTAGGTAGTTTAGCATTGCAGAGATCTCCCCAGCACTAGAGCAAGTGGGTGCAGCACCCACCTGAGATTTTGAAAATAGGCTTGCACCCACCTGAAAATCAATTTGCACCCACTTGAAAAAGTCATGAAAAATGGGCATATTTTAACCAATTTTGGTCTGAATTGTAAAATGAGAATTTCGCACCCACTTAAGAAAAGAATTCTGTGGAGTACACTACATTGTAGCAAAAAATGAAAACCAGTAAATTGGAGAAATATCATTTCAAAATATATTTTGACTTTGAACTTGATAGCAGTATTATAATTTAAAAAAAAATGGGAATTATTGAATATGAAAATGTAAAATATATTATCTTTCTTCATGAGAATATTGAACATGAGAATTCTCATCATATGGATTTACACTCAAAACTTATTCATTTCAGAGATCATGGGACATAGTACTAGCACCAATCAAGCAGATCCCAATGAATATTTTCATCATGTGGATTTACACTCAAAACTTATTCATTTCAGAGATCATGGGACATAGTACTAGCACCAATCAAGCAGATCCCAATGAATATTTTCATCATGTGGATTTACACCCAAACCTTATTCATTTCAGAGATCATGGGACATAGCGCTAGCACCAATCAAGCAGATCCCAATGAATATTTTCATCATGTGGATTTACACTCAAAACCTTTTCATTTCAGAGATCATGGGACATAGCGCTAGCACCAATCAAGCAGATCCCGATGAATATTTTCATCATGTGGATTTACACTCAAAACCTTTTCATTTTAGAGATCATGGGACATAGCGCTAGCACCAATCAAGCAGATCCCAATGAATATTTTCATTATGTGGATGGCTGGTAACACTATCTCAATCTTCCCCATTATGATGGTTGGGATGTCAATGTTTAGATCATTCCAGGCCTTCTTTCAAATATCTGCAAGTAAGTATGTCATAAGATTGAATGATATATGGAAAAGCCATCTTAACTCATATAATAACAAAGTATATGTATTGTGATCATCCAAATGCAGTTCTTTGGACATCAAGGAAGGGACATTGTGGCTAAATTCTGCAGCCATGTGTTTGGAGAAGAACATGTAGTACTTGAAATTTCATTACTTTTTACATACAAGTTGTATAAAGTGGTGTCCCCAGCATTTAAAATTTGACTTGCATCCATTTTGAAAATTGGAAAAATCATGGGAATGAGAACTTTACACCTAGTTTGCAATATTACAGTGAGCTCACTCGAATGATTCTTGAAAATGGCCAAGTTTGAGGAACACACTTTGAGTTTGAAATACATTTTTTGAGCATATTTCACCAAAGGTTTTAAACTGTTGGTATTAAATAGACTTATTAAATAGGAATAGAGTATAAAATGTTGAAAACAATCTTTTCAAAAATCATGCCGCTTATACAATCAATTTTTTGTCATAATATTATGATCTTTAAAAACAGAATTGATGATACTGAAGTAAAGTCAGAACTGTTGGCCTATTTAGAAAAAGGCATGTAAAATTGTGAGAATTTTTTTTATCTTATTCTCAATTCCTCTGCCTCCCTAAATAGTCCCTTTAATGGATGAAGTGCATACATTAACTTAACAACTGTTACTCTAATTTCAGCTTTTAAAATGATAGAAGGTAGTCAGGCAAATTTACAAAAATTTGTATTTTTCCTGGGTAACATCGCTGGAGTTGTGATAGCTGTATACAAATGCCAATCTATGGGACTGCTACCAACACATGCATCTGATTGGTTAGCCTTTGTGGAACCACAACGGGTAGGTGTTATTTAGTCTCAATGTCAATTGGTTAGAATGTACAGTAAAGCCTGTCTAACGTGAACACCACATCATCCTCCTAAGCAGGTATCCAGAATCCGTACCTCCTTCTTCCCCCTGCTATAACCAATTTGGAAGCACCCGATTAAACTGAATCACGTGATCTAATTATGCGCAATGAGTTATACATGATTTCTGTCGCAATCCAATCAAGCCAATCAGATTGCGAGTTCTAAATTGAGGAAATTCTAACTGTTTATCGCAGGGGGTAAAAAGAAAGAAAAAATTCTGGATTTTGAAGTCCTGTGATCGGAGGATGACACCACATGGACTGGCCAAAAGTTTTTTTTAACAGGGGGCAGAAAGAAGTGTTAACATTTAAGAGATGTTCAGATATACAGGTTTTACTGTACATGGTTCTATTATAAGGTATTGTGTGCTATTCAGTTATGAAACTGGTTTGAATGGCTATTCAAATAGCCTGCTTCAGTCAATATGATTTAACTAATAGTGACACCTCCCCCTCTCCCCCTATACTTATGAATATAAAAGGACATGTTGTCCTTCACTATTCATTTTTGTACAGTCAACTTTTAAAGTTATTGACAACCCCTTGACCAATCTCTGTATTCAATCTTCGTTGTAACATCAAATTGTAAAGCCATAAACAAAAACTTCTTGGATGAATTGAAGTTTGGTACTTTCATTTGCCTAAAGGCCACTGTTCTTTGACTACAGTACATAGAGAATTATCACTTCGGATTTGAACAATGTAAAACCTTCTTCAAAATTTGATATTTGATCATTTAAAATGATCAAATAGTAAATATTTTGAAGCCATTAATCTCTCATATAAACCAATGACCTGTATGTCTTTTCTACGTGTCAAAACACTCAGTTAGCAATGCACATTGTTTCTGTATATTTACATATATACTGATATATTTATTATTTATTGGTCATGTAAAAGATACAATATTTCAGTTTTTGTCTATATTTTATCATGTTTATGTAGCAAAGTAAATTAGAAATGAATGAGTAGTAAAAGTAATTGCTGCTTGATATACAAAGATGTACTGAGAACAAATATCTTTCAAAGGTGTGAAAACATGACATGTATTTGACCTATTAAGCTGAGTACTCATCAAATCATTGTTCATATGCTATATCATGGAGCCATCTTTTGACTGTGTATTAAACCACCTTAAGGATTGAATATCAGTTTAAGGCTGAACTTATTATACTAAATAGATGGCATACACAGGTAACTTTTGTTCCTTAACATGTAAGAAAGAATCAACCATATTAAGATGATATAACTTAAAGGCTGCTTTCGCTAATACTACTTTTGACTTTCAGCTGCCAGGCTAATTGCAATTTGAATCTGCCATGCATCCTGGTTGCTGCAAGCTATCACTTAATCATAATGGCTGGATCAAAGGTTTAGATATTTGATCAAATATCAAGCTTCGGAAGATTTAAGTCGCAGTAATGTCTTAAGATAAGAATCGAAAAATGGACATCTAGTTTTAAAAATGTAATTGCCAAAATATTGTAAATATCAAATATAGTGATACGTGACATACTAATAATTAACTAGAACATATAGTCTTGCAATGGTATATTTATAATGACAACTAAATTTCATAAATGCAAAAAGTTGTTTTTGATTGTTTAATCATATTATAAAAGTAACAAAGACCCTAATTTTATTATATGTCAAATGTATGACCTTTTTTTTATTTTAACAAAATAATTAATTAACAAAACGATGGTTCCATAAAATAGGAAGATTTGATAATAACCCAGTTAATACGCTTTGATCGAAGCCGTCTATCAAGGCGATTTTATTTTTTAGGCTACCTAAAACTGTATGTATGAGGCTCATTGTTTTAAGCTTTTGTGGTCATTCTCCATGAAATATTATTATTTTTTCTGTGTTTGTTTTTATCTAGCTCACAAGATGATTAACAATAAAAGAACAGTTACACGACCGTCTCAACTCCATTTCGGATCTTAACAATCCGTACGTGATTCTATAGAATAAATTCTATCTTTCTGTTATTTGCATTTGCAAACAGTATCAATGTTTATATCCTGTTCCCTATGGATATGTATCATGGCCAAGGAAGAAAGTCTTTCCTCGTTCATTGTGGAATGCAAGTATGACTTTATGCGTTTCAAACTGCTAAAGCTTCAAACTGATTCAAAACAAAGAAAATGAAATAATCGAGAACTTTTTTATTTATTAACACGAGTCTTCATAGATCTCCTATCGATTTCTATCTCTTGGTAAAATATTTATTTTTCATCACAATTAATCAGGTAAATTTCATTTTTCCTTAAAATTTGAGAGTACGCCTGGGCGTACTTGGCGTACACGTAGCTACGCCACTGTAATGTTTGTATTTTTGTGACAAATACAGATCCATATCTGTTATAGTGGTTGTTGGAATTTGCTACTCCATGGAGTTGCCATTTTCTAGTTTAGGATTTCTTGCACATTTAATATTGATTAATAACATTTTTTGAGAGGAAATTAAGTTTCTTGATTAAATCTTTAATTACTCTCATGTTTGGTAAGCAATCATGCATTCAAGGAACTTTTTGATGTTTTTTCTGGAGTTCGTCTGATTAAAAAGCAGGGTCTGATTGAAAAATTGGTTTTGTCAGTTTGATATATGTTTTCCAAAGACTGGCAATTGCGTCATTCTAGCATTATTAAGTGTTGTTTGAAAAACAATGATTCCAATTCTCACACTTGATATAGTTTTCCTCAAACTTGTTGCATTAGAAACGAAAAAATAAATTAGAAATGACACCTTGGTACAACAATACTTTGGCACCAAGCAACAGGCAATTTTCTCCATATGTTTTTACTGAAATTGCCAATAAATAATTTCGTTTTTTCCATGTATGTTAAAAACATTTCAATAACTGCCTGTCTCCAATCATTTACCCCCTTGTCTGAATTGCTAATATAATGAAATTTTTGGAGTGGTACATTCTTTTGAAATACATACAGTAAAACCTATCTATAGTGAACACCTATGAAGCCACAAAGAAAGTGTTCACTATAGGTAGGTGCTCACTACAGAGAGAGGATTTTATACAAGAGCCAATTTCAAATGTGTATTGAAGTGGTGTTCACTCAATAGAGGTGTTCACTAGAAAGAGGTCTTCACTAATACAGGTTTTACTGTACATGTAGTGTAGTTCTTAAATATTGGCAATAATGATGTGCCAGGGTGTGAGAAGGCACATTTTCAAGAATTCGACATGAAGGAAATGTTTCTTCCTCCGCTTAGTTGAACCCGCATGCATAGTTGTATGTATTGTGGAATAAAGTGAACAAAATAACAATTAAATTAAGATGTTTGCAGAGGAAAAATTGAAATATTACATAGCTGTCATGTTATTAATAAATAAGGAGAAATGGAGCGTATTATTTAAAAGATGTTATTATGATCTGACTTGATAGACCTTTAGGTTGTTTTAAGCAAAATGAACTGAACTTCGGAAGTGAATTTAAGCATTAATCTTTACAGAATGAAATGCTTTAAACATGAATATGTGCAACTACTTTGTTCATTTTTAAGAAATGAATAGATGTATTTTATCAGCTTTGTAGCTAATTTTTTTTATAATTGGTTAATTAGCATTAATAAAATGTTTTAGCTAAGAAGTGAATTCATGCAACTATACTTGTTCATTTTTTAGAAATGAAGAAATCGATACATTTTTTGGAGACTTCTTTCTCAATTTTTCATAATTATTTGTGGAGGCTAAATGTCTGCAAGATTTCATCAAAAACAAGAATTGCTAACTTGGTTCTCATGATACTTCTGATGTTCCATTTTTGTCTGAAGATGATTTCAGAAGATACTAAACATTCAACCCCATGTATTTCTCTGAGAGGCTGAATAATATGTCTATCTGGTGCTATATCTTGAGACATGCTGCTTTGAATATCATTCTGAAATTTGTATATTTTCAAGTAGACCCTTGTAATGTTTGTTCACATTTTTTATCCCATCGAACGAAGTTCGGAGGGATATAGGGAACGCCTCCGTCCGTACGTACGTACATCCTCCATACGTCCATCCATCCGTCTGTCCATCCATCTGTCCAAGCAATAACTCAAATACCGTTGGTCCGATTTTCTTCATATTTTGTAAACATATACCCTATGGGGGTAGAAGTTCTGCTCGAAAGCCGATTTTCAAAATGGCGGCAATTTTAGTGCCGATTTTACAGTAATTTAGGTGCAATATGTAAAACTGTAATAGCAGTATGTTTTAAATGTAAAAAGAATTATATAGGACATTGATAAAGCTAGTAATATAGATATTAAAGAAGCACATGGCAGCCATCTTGAAAAATGGCGGCCTTTACTCGTTATTTTACGATTTTTGCTGTAACTCAAGAAGTAGTGGACCGATTTTGTTCATATTTGGTGTGTGAATACTATAAGCATGGCACACTGTCTAATGACACTTTTGGTTGAAGGTGGCCATTTTGAAAAATGGCCACCATTTTAACGTATTTTACTATAACTCGAAAAGTAGTGGAGCGATTTTGTTCATATTTGGTATGTGAATGACGTAAGCATGGCACACTGTCTAATGACACTTTTGGTAGAAGGTGGCCATTTTGAAAAATGGCCGCCATTTAAATGTTTTTTACTCGGCCTTTACTCGTTATTCTACGATTTTTGTTGTTGAAGGTGGCCATTTTGAAAAATGGCCGCCATTTTAACGTATTTTACTATAACTCGAAAAGTAGTGGAGCGATTTTGTTCATATTTGGTATGTGAATACTATAAACATGGCACACTGTCTAATGACACTTTTGGTAGAAGGTGGCCATTTTTCAAAATTTCCACCATTTTAAAGTATTTTACTATAGCTCGAAAAGTAGTGGAGCGATTTTGTTCATATTTGGTCTGTGAATTCTATAAAGAAAATGCATATTACTTCTTCTGATGACAACTTGGCTAC